GTATATTTTAAAAGTCAAAATCACGAAAATGACACTGGATAAGAAATTATTTCTTCTCAAACTTTGCAGCAGACAATTGGATGCTGTATTTTATGCATCTGTGGATTTGTGGTTTTAAATAGTTTTTCAAATATGTTAAAACATTAAGTTATTTTAAATTGACAAGACATACTATTTTCTTCTGTAGACAATCATTCTCACAACCATTTGTATCACTAAATTATTTATTACTGTCTCAAACTTTTTAAAAAAATAGTTAAATTGATTTCTTTTGCCATCCCAACATTGTGTAAATAAGACAAACACTTAGGATGGTGTCTTGTTTTCTGTTTTGAAGGATTGTGTTGGACTTATTAACATATTCAACCTACTTTATGATTCAGTTTGTTGAGAGTATACACTTTTTCAGACGATTGATGAACTCAAAACGCAAACGGAAGAAAGACCGTCAGTCTTCTCAAGAAGGACGAGATCCAGCTCTTCTGAGTTTGTTAAAAACCAGGTATGCTGGTGTTGTATAAGAGTACATATTTTATGGAAAAGATGAGTGAAGGATGAAAGTTAAACCGACAATATGACTGCAACAGCTGTGTTACTAACCAGGATGAGATGTTTCTTTGGTCAATTTATTAAAAGTCTCAAGGACAGCTGGGTCCAGTTTAAAACCATATGGCATTTTTAGGATCCAACCAAATCTTTTTGATCGTGAGCTCTTCATCCACTACCTATTTGAAATAATCTACACCTCTTGAGCTGGTAGTTGATTGGTTTTGTAATGAATAATGAACTAAAGCATTGCAAAAATGTTTCTTGTGCCAAGGCCAACTATGATATAGCTTGTTGAAGTAAGCATACAGAGCTTTCAAAGGTCAGAAATTCTTATTTTGTGCTTGCGCTGTCTTACCAAAATGTTTGGAAAGTTTTTTACCGTGTTTGTCATATTTGATCATGAAAAACTCATTTAAATTGCTTCCCCTATTCTGCTTTCATACTAGAATTCATTTATTGTGTTTAGGATGAGAATTTGGGGGTTTTTAAAGGCATACACAATCACAATAAATGGTTATTAACTTCTGAAAAATAGTAAACTATGAAGTAAATTTTTTTTGTTTCAGTCTTTGGCGCGACAAAAGGTCACCAGAATCAGGTAATCAACCTAATTTTATTTCCAGATTTAGTGTTTATTTTTTGTTCATATATGTACCTACATAATATATATTTATTACCGGGACTTTAAATGCAAATAATTTTAATTATACTCCAACAATAAAAAAGAATGAAATCCCAAACAGAAAAAAAACTTACTTTTTCAAACTGTAATTTGAAGATTAAATTTCTATTTAAAAAATAAATTGATAGGTTACACAATTAAGCGTGGATTAAGAAAATAAATAAATTGATTAATTTTTAACCACAATGAGCAAATTATGATATTTTTAATCTGATTTTTTTGTTCTACACATGGAGTTGTATGTTTTTACTTTTTTCAGCAACGTAGAGTTGGTAATTCCTATACACAAATCAGAAGATGAGTTTACAGTTGACCGCAGTAATCTCCGAAGGACTAGAGACAGACCACCTACGCCAATGGTAATAGTACATAATAAAGAGTGTGGATACTTTATTCTGTAGATAGTCAAGGGATACATTTCCAAAAATAAATACAAGCATCGATGCTAACAATATTTGGTAACTATTCCCCACAAGCAATTGATGCTTATCTGCGTTCAGGGAACAGTTTGTTAACTTAACAACAGAAAAATTAGAGAAATTCGTACAAGGAGATATCAGCTGTTTGTATTTCCCTTGTATGCTAATAGACAGCTGCTTGCAATTCCTCTTCTATGGTTATTTGTATAAAGGGGTGTCCCACAATGAGGTTTAGACATTTTATTTTAGATTACAAAAAAGTTGGCGTATTTGACAGAAATCAGTAATTTAAATCAGCACAATGTTGGTAGCTCAATTACGCCCATTTTTATCTGAAACCTACAAAACGTGGTAATGGAATGTATATTTCTAATTCCAATTTTAGTTTTACTGTTTTGAAATTTAATATATAAATTACAACTAACTACCAGAGCCCCTTTTAATCATAGTTTGTTGAGAGTTTTGTTTCTCACATTAAAATTATGTCTATTGTAACTATTCATAATTTTTGTTTAGTTTATAATTTTTAACTGTCAAATTTAACTTTCTGTTGACAGCCCTCCGTAACAACGTTCACCGAGGCTATCTTCAGGGACCAGGAGCCGGATGAATTTTACGAGGTTCCAGCAGATGATTTTATCTTCTACGAACAAGCAGCCTTAAACAAAGAAATTCAACAAATCTCAAACAAGATGCTGCAAATGATACCGAGCCGAGTGAAGTCAGTCATCGAGAGTAGAAGTTACGACAGGATTTCAGTGGAGACAGTGAATTCTTTGGGTGATTGCACCTTTTTTTGTTCCTAGTACCCTAGGCTCTAGTCTGGGATCGTTTTTCACATTACTTTTGGCTAGACCTATGAGTAGTGACATTATCACTTATATTAGATAAAATTCATTAGTGATTTGGCGGGATTGGAATTCGGGACTTAAGTCCTGTGGCCTATAACAAGACCAGCTTGCTCCCCACATTAGTATCATCAGCTGTTATACAAGTGTTACAAAGATTCAAATAGCTTATAGCTAAGTATTTTACGTTTTGGCACTACATATTATACTTATACAAATTTAATCAAATATGTGTCATCCAAAACATTTTTCATGTCTAGACCAAACCACCCCCTTAACATTTACAAGACAGTATATTTGTAAAAGACGTTACAATTTGAATTTGGTAAAATTTGGCTCTAGAGTCAGAGATTTTGTATAAAAACAAAATCAATTATCAAAAAATCAATAATTTGTTCTCAGTCGCAAAGATTTTTGATCACTCCACCAGATCAGATTATGATTACCGTACTGACATGCAGCGGAATAATTTGTATGAAAACATTTTGGTTCGGATAGTAAAGCATATACTATTTCGTTACTGCTAACTTTGTTGCATAACTGTTTGTACAGCAAATTTTTAACGTTGGTAGGATTTTAAGTCTTTAAAATCTCTCAGGCTAAAATTTAGAGGCTTACGTTTTTGGTGTTATAACATGATCGAGAACCAACTTTGAATTTGGGTAAAGCTATAGGCATTTCAATTCCATTCCCAGTTTCAGTGGAAAATGAATCTATTTAAATTGAGCCGCCAACAGTGTCAGCTGTTGCAAATTACCCTTCCTGTTGAACACACCAACTATTCAACCAAGCCAAACTGTAAGGACAACTTATTGTTTTTGGCATGTTTTATGTAACATCAACAAACGTCAGACACAGTAACAAAGCCTTTAAGGGAGAAAGTACCGTAGAGCTTTTGTGGACTGGGACGGTGGCATTGTCCTGTAATCCAGCTACTAGGATGTCACGAATTGTGGATTTTATAGGCATGCACTGTGGATGCCATACTCCCTGGCGTGGATTAACGTCCGCACTAGTGAGTACTACGACTATCCACAGTACTATCCTGATAATTAGACCAATTCGTTATTACCAAGGCAAAAATGTGGTTCAAATTCCACTAAACTGTAGTTGCCATTAGTATCCGGGCTATTAATTAACAGCTGTGTCTAAGGAATATGTTGGCCTTAGTCACTAACAAGACTACAAGATCGCACCACTCATCCTACACTCATATTTGGGTTAAAATATGCACATAGTGGCGTCACCATCATAAATAACTGATATAATTGATAGCACTATTTTTCAGTGGCTCATTCAACTCATAAATAAATTTAGGGAATTTTGTACATCCTGTTTGCATAAAATTAGATACACCAATCCAATGTCTACTTCAATATCTAAGAGTTAATTTTGATCCGTTCACTAACTTTCGGTTATATTTCAGAGCTGCCAGACAACAAGCCCGTGGCGAGACTTTGTTCGATGCTGTTGTTCGACGAGTCGCCCATGGATATCACTCTGACCAGGATCGTTGACAGGATTATCCTCGGGTTCATGCAGGATATTAACATGACGCCGTCCTACCTGCGACTACGCATCAGGCAGATGAAGCATGAGATGAGAGATTGATAATGAGACAACTGAGATGTTTGAGAAATCTGCTGTGTATGGGAATAAATAAATTGGAATTTGACTGTGTTTGACTAATTCTTCGAGATTCAATCCCTATATGGAATATAAGAGTAGCATGTGGTAACTAATCTTGCACATACAAACTATTTAAGTACATTCAACAAGAGCTTAGGGGAGGATATGCTAGCCCTAGCCTAGTGGTCAGCGTATCAGACTTCGGTGTGAGGGGCGGCTTTGATTCATGAACTTGGATACATGGATTTAATGGATTGCAATCCCTTAAAAGCACATGTATTACCTTCCGTATTTAAAACTCCACAGACCATCGGCTCCGAGAGTCTTTTTTACTGTTTTTCAAGGGGTTTTTAGGAAAAAAGGCGAAAAAACAGTTTAAAATAATTGTTTTGTTGTTTACTAAATGGACTCATATTTAACAAACTTTGACAATACATCTTTTTCCGATACAATCTGTCTAAACACTCACAGAAGTTAGTTAATTTTAACATTTTTCTTCAACTGTTTTTTACACAGGAGGGGCCATACCCCTCGGCGTAGACTCATTAGAATCATAAAATCTTGGGGATGTCTTTTATTGTACCTGTAGTATAATATACAATGCCAATCAAATGGCAATAAATAAGTTTAATGGATAACCCACTATTTTTGCTAGTTAGGTACAGTAAAGGTTTTGAGTCCCAGACAGGCTAAAAGAATATTTTTTCCCTGGTTCTTTGACAAACCTTACAAAATATAAATCATTATTGTAAGATTAGATACAACCACACTGGCCCATGGGCAGTATGTTTTCTGTGGCATGGGCTACTAAAACTTTAGTGGAAACATGTGTGTTAAGTTTTATCATCATATGTATCCAAACAAAACATTTCAGAAAACAATAACATTGACAAAATTTGATGTGTTACTTTGACAGATTAATAAAAAGAAAATGCCATTAAAGGTAAGGAAATAGTGAATTTGAAGATTATAGAAATAGTTTTGGTCATGATCTTGTGTAGATTTACAATCAACTGTAGCTTGGGTCTATTTTGCAACCCCATCCAGTGACAGTGAATTTATTAGGTTATTTTTGAATCACTAAAATTTCCCTTATATTCATTGAAAATTGAAAATACAACTTGATTGTCAGGAAATTTGTACGCATTTTGCCAAACCAACATCCGTGTTGGTGTAATCTAAGATTTCAAGCTTTGGTGTAATTTTGTGCTTTGGTGTAATTTTGTACAAAAATGTTTCCTTTTTCATTACCTAGCCAATGTTATATGCATTGAGTCTGAAGAATTTTCAATCATTGATATATATTGAGGCATTTTCTACTCGATGTTTTGTAAAGGCCATAACAGAGATTATTATGATAGCTACAAATGAGAAAAGTAAATAAAAACAGAATACCGGCTTGCAGAAACATTTCCTCATGGGGGTAATCCAGTAAAAACCACAGTAAACCAGTACTGGTTCCAGAGGGGTAAGAAACTCTTCTGCGTACAATTTTGACTTAAAATGCTTAAGAACATATTTTAAGCTGTCTATTTTTAAACTCATCATATACCTATTTGCAGTCCTAAAGCCCTAGTTGCACATTAAAAATTATAATAGGTGCAAAACATCTGTACCCTAAATAGTTTTACCATAGACTAAACCATCACAAGGATAATTAACAACCTAAGGGAGTGTGTTTTATCTATGGTTTTACTTAAATTTAAAACTGTACTGTCCTAGTGACTAATCCAATGGAAATATAATCATCACTAACCTCTAACTCAGAAAAGGTGAAATTGCATATTTGCATAGAAAAACAAATAACTATAGTTCGGCCGCTTAGAAAACGACCTGCGCGCTAATGCTAAACCAATGCTGAAGGAGGTCGTTTTCTAAGCGGCCGACCTATACCTCTGAAATTAGGTCTTGACACAACCTGTCAGCAGTAATAGTAGCTTTTTGTAAGTCATTTGTTATTTGACTGTATTCCTATGACAATAGGTAGCCTACCTAGACTGCTAAGGTGATTGCCCGACACCTTTCTAAAAGGCAATTACGATAGTTTAACTAGGGTATTAAAACAAAATGATACTTTCATTATTATATCCATGAGGAGCGAGCTGGTCAAGTGGTAGTGCGGGACTTCAGTCCCTGAGACCCCGGGTTTAAATCCCGCCCAATAACCAATGGATTTTATCCAAGTGATAATGCCACGACCCCTGCTAGTCCTGAGGCAATGTAGAAAACAATTCTGGACTAGAACCTGGAAGCAAAAGGCCTAAAAATTTGAAAAAAATATGATGTAGGCTACATAAAAAGTTATATAGATTTGTTTAAGACACTTTTTGTAAAAATTAAAGTCTTAGTTTATACTTTTGGTTTAGTTTTTACTCAGGGGAACCATCGACCCCATCTTTAATGGCCCAAACCCCATAATGGGAATTATCAGAGCGTGCTCATTCCCCAACTTAAGTGAGCATTTCTGTAAGCCAATTCGAGTTGTACCTTTGAGTTAGTTACAGGGTCAGACTGTGTCGGTGATTCAGCCATGTTATGACGGACAAGTGTTGCCAATAGCACACCATGTGGTAGCAGAGGGGTTGGCACTACTGTCTATCAAGACTGGGCACGACGACTGCAGGTTGGTGCGAGACTCACAGTCCAAACTGACAACACTGAATTGTGTGCAGGGCATGAAGGTAAGGAGTACTCCGGGCATTAAAATGTGTAAAAACATTCTCATCTAATTTTGTTATAGGGATTTTGCTTGAAGCATTTTAGAAATTTCCACATACAAAAAACAGTTTTACGAGCAAGAATAAAAGGCTTCTAAATAAGAAAGTCTACACACTGTTAGTGACAGTAAAATATTCTAATTTTTGTATACAGTAATAAGCTAATGTAAACTTGTGCTAGGGCGAACTCTTCCTATTAGGTTAATTTGCAAACAAAAACAAAAGCCAAACCCTTTTGCAATGTAACTTAATTGTTTATGAAATATTTTTGGGGGGCAGACTTCCGGAGAGAACCTACCATATATTATCGGATGAAATATTAGCTTGATATTGGTATCGGATATAGATTTTACATGATATAAATATTGATTAGGCCTATGTTTTTCAAGAAGACTTTTGTCCACTGTGCTGCGGCAGTTTATGCTTTGAAGAATGTAACATTTAAGAAAAAATACAATATTTTGTGTAATTTAAAAATAAACTTACAAAAACATTTTCTTGTACCCTATTTGTATTTTTTATTTCATGACTTTCATATATTAATCTAACCTAAAAGCTAAACCCCGCAACACACTTTAAAAAAGTGGTTGATTGTACTCTACAAGATAAGTCCCATAGGAGAAGATCAATATTTACATTCAATATTCAAATCGGTTTATATCAAACTAATATTTCATCCCATAATATTCTATCATAGGTTCTCTGCAGAACTGTAGGTACCCTTTTTTCGGTTCAAGGTATCTCAAAATAAATTCATTATACCAGACCTAAGTATATATTTATGTGCCCAGCCCTACAATGTTTGTGTATGATATCCCTTGGCCTATCGACTGGAGATCAAAGGGAAAAACAGGTTACCATAGTCAAAAGGATCTCATGGTTCACTGACCTGGGATTTGATGGAGAATGAGGACCTGTGAATGAGGGTGCACAATAAGCTGTTCCAGCTGCGATGCAATCCCATGGTAACTTGTAACTAAGCCTGGCCCTCTTTAAAAAAACAAAAAAACCTAAGTATATGTGTTCAACATTCTCACAAAGGGAGTTTTGAATGAAAGTATAGAGTATGAAGTACAGAATTTAGGACAAGATATGAACAACTGGATGAAAGAGTGTGTCCTAATTTTACAAGATTCTAATACATCCAAAGACTTTTTTGACGACTTGCTTATCAAACAATTTTAGTAAAGAGTATTTTAGTAATAAATCTCGGATTATTGTGAATTTTGGTCAAATATGGTACCGTACCTATATTGTTGTATATTAAATAAGGGTGATTCAAAAACTAAACAAATACTGTGCAAGTTTGAGTTTTTAAAGCGCAGAGCCTAATTTTCTTGATAGTTTTGATTTTGAACACGTTAATAGTATTATTATTTGTAAATATAATTTATTTCAGGCCCGTAATTCCTTTTGGAACCTACACAAACCGGAATTAAGAAAAATAAAGGGATTTGATGGCATTACAACAAACAATGTGATAGAACTGCTGAATAATCATAACGTTGAAAACAGGGGTTTGAAGTCTTACAAGAAAATGGTTGTGAGGTAGTATTTTTTTTATAACAAAATTGTACGAGTAGCTAAATGATGTATGTATTCTTGTGGAAAATGCCTATGCAAACTAAGTTCATCTAGTAATAAATTTTGTATTTTAACATTTTTTTGTTGATTGAAAAACTTATTAACCGATCAGGACTAACTTATTGTAACTTTTTAAGAAGTGCTTACAGTAACTTATGGTTTGATTTTCTAAATGAATGAATCTTAAGAACACAGCCTATACAGGAATAATTTATGTTTTAACATGATGAATACTCTAAAAATCAGCCCAGAAGCATCAGCACAGACAATGAAGCAATGTTTGGTCCTAGTAACCTGTACTGCAATATAGCACAGTCTAAACCTGAAGACCACTATACTGTAGTTAGGGTGCGCTCTACCTCAGCTCGGATTTCTCAGTGGTACGATGTTGCAACACCGATGTTATAGCACTGAACGAACAGCGCCATGAAGAGCGCTTGTAAGCCTTTTGAATCTGGGTGATTACATCGTTAGGCATATCCTTAAACTTTTTAGTAAACTAAGTTTAACTGCAGATTCTTGTTTTTAAGAATCTACCGCACGTCTCCCGTGTTTTATTTTTTCTCTAAAATTTATTTTTTGTTGTTTTTAAAACAAACCTTTTAGTGTCACATCAAATACCTGAATAAAAATTTTCAAACGCCAGAGACTCGCAATATTATTTAAGAAACTATGACACCAAGATCTTTTAAATCGGTATACAATTTGTGCTACAAACAGTAACCAAAACCCTTGGCCCTTGCATCTGCGCGTGCCAAACAACCAGCACACTTAAGTGCGACAGTAAGTTTTTTTTCTAATGTCCCATGTAATGAAAATATCTCTTGATTCAACGTTACAAAAACACTTGATAGAATTAGAGCGGTCGGTTACGGTAGTCCTAAGTTTAACTGCTTAACTCTTCTTAATACCAAGTTTCAATTTTCATTATAAGTATTACATAGGTACCGTACTCATTAATTTGGCGATTAAAATGTTGTCACTAGCTTGGATAGATTTTCTGGGGTTATGATTCTAAAAGTTACATTTTTGCCATAGCAAGTTAGAATCGATACTAAACAAGAAATCAAAACCTCTGGCTCAAACTCAAGTTCTGGTACCGAACGTCTCATGGCCAATCAGCGGATGCGTCCTGGCTTCCATCTTTCAAGAAACAGGTCTGTACATACCATCACTTTATGTAGAGTCTTTCAGTAACTTAAACACCTTTTTGTCAAAGTGTAAGTAAATAAAATGTCAACTCCGGTGAAATCTGTCAGCATTAAAATTTTAATCAGCCTATTGAGTGTTTCAAATGAGGAATTTAGTCTAAAGTACCACCCTGTAGGCCTAGATGAATAAAACATAAAAAAATACTTTAAATTAAGGGCAACATTAAGGCCAAAGCTATATAGTAGAGTTAAAGCTTTTATTCTTTAAATGCTGCTACTGTACATGAGATTCTAGAAGAGTATGTTTAACAATTCAAACAATAGCCTTCAGTAGTTTAGTTAAAACAGCTACGTAGGCTACACTAAGATTTACACATGCCGACACACCGAGGTGCATATTTAAAGGCAAAGTTAGCGTAAGTGTTATGGAAATATTATGTATATGTAAATATGTATTAAATATGTAACTATAGGTACCTCGTTTTGTTGCTTGCCGCTATCATTTTTGTCATCTTGTTGCCGTTTCTCATTTTTGTTTTGTTTAGGCTAACTGATTCATTGTTTTTCACTCAACATTATTGTATAGGCCTACCTTATACATAACTAGCTTTAAGCAAGTATTGTATACCGGTATTGCACTAAATTGTAGGCCTACCAAATATCAAAACGGAGCTGTCTGTTGGAATGTAAAATAAATAATTAAATAAAATAAATAAGTACCGTACCGTAGCCTAAGTGAAGAATGGGTTTTTGATGAATAAAATATTAGGGTAGCCTCATTGCTAGATCAGCTGTTTTCTTTGCCAGAGAATGCTTATTTGCTTAATGAACAAATGGGTCCAGTTTCTAGCAATAAAAAAGCTCTTCGCTTTTACTTAGCCTGTAGGCCTACTACAAATAAATGTAAAATCCTATGGAGCACTAGCCACTCATTTTAAAACACTATTGCCAAAGTTTCTAACTTAAACTTTAAGTAGACCTATTTTAATTAAAAGGTAAAAAACAAACTCTTTGAAATATTATTTTATTATAAAAGTTTTAAATGACAAGTATTAAACTGGGTTTAAATTAAATGATGTCTGAGAACCACGATACAACTTTGAACAAAAGCTACAATAGAATTTTATAGAAAACTGAGATAAAAACAGAAGTACCGGTAGGCCTATAAGTCAGACTTATTTTAATAAGCCTAAACTTAATAACTTTTCCTACAACTTACTGTTGTTAAAGATAGGTTACTGAGCTTGAATTTATACTCACAAAGCTTATCAGGACCTAAATCACAGACATTTCAAAATTCAAACAAAACGCTCAACCCAGCACCATTTCAGTATCAGATTTGTTTGAAAACTTTAAATTAAATACTACTGTGTTGGGGCTAGTCACATCAGCTACCATGATTTCAGAGCCATTTTCCAGTCCCAATTCTGCAACTGTCTTCTTCAGGTTATCCCTTGTTTGAGCCTCAATACTTGCAACGTGTGGTAAATATAGAGTTCTGTTCTTCCCGTTGATGTAAGCAGTAATTCCAGGACTCTTCATTTGATAAGTAGGATCATCACAAAGAAGATCTATTAGCTCCTGAAGTTTGATATCTCCATTCTTTATTTCAAGGCACTTGGCAATATTGCTGCACGCCAGGCAATCTTCTTTCTTCTCCGCTGCATATGTGTAGGTATAAATACCGTCGACATCGTTGAAGACCATGTAGTTGTTGATCGGCATGCAACAACTTGTGGCAATTTTGAATACTTCAGTCACACAGGCACCAGCAATAACAGCGTTTGTAGAAGACACAGCTGGTATGATATTCTTTACTACACCTTGAACTAATCTGTAGGTAACACCACTGATGTTGAATTGACTTGCACGTTCATAAGACTTCTCATATATCCAATTGATGTGGTTAGGGTCATCCCCATCGATGGTAACATCAAAAGGGTTCTCCTTTGGCCACTGTATAACCTTAACGTATTCAATACAATGTTCCGGGAGTCTGGGCGTGTTAGCTATTGTACACAAAGGATATGTAACCTGTGGAGGGTACAGATCCAGGGTGCATTCGATGCAAGCAGTTATTCCAGGAAGTATAACTCTAGCATTACCTTTGAATCCCTCAGTTCCACCATCCACTAGCGGGATCAGTGAGGATTGATCGAGATCTCCATTTTCATCGTAGGACAGGAGAGATATTACCATTCCGTTAATCCATCTACGAGCAACAACTGAATCAAGACCAGAAATGATAATATGGAATTGTCTGTAGAAAGATTCGTCATAGTCTTGAATTTTCTTGAAGTGCGGAACAACATTACAACCGGGAACTCTTTTGTTAATGAATTCGGCAGCAACCTCTGCTTTGGATGATCCAATATCTTTCCTCCTGAATAGGAATTGACGGTTCAAGTTTGACAGGTCAATTGTGTCCATATCAATTACATGTATCTCTCTAAACCCCATTAAAGCTAAATCCTTGAGAAGTTCACAGCCTAATCCGCCGGCGCCGATAACTAACAGTTTGCAAGAGGTACCAATAAAATTTAGATTTTCTGGCGAAGGTTCAAAATCTGGATGACAAAAAGGGCCAGATCTCTCTAGCACTTTCTTGAGATGACTCCAACGCCTTTGCATATTGTCTGGACTATTTGAAACCACTTCCATTTTCAGTATTAACTTGAACTATTAACAAAATGAATTAATTTACATTTACTTTCATGACAAACATAACCTACACATAAACTTCACAAACTTGATCACACACAGACTCAGACTCAGACAGTACCTATTCACACTTCACAGAGACAGACGACAGCGGACGGACAGACAAGAGAGTTGAGTTTTTTACTGTAATAAATTGCAATATCAATATGGCATTGGCAATGGCACTGGCAGTACTTAGTGGCAGTGGGAGTGGGCAATGAGTGAGGCAGTGTTGCCGTTATATAGTCTGAGAATCCAGTATCATAAAATGTCCCTAATATTACTACATTTTCCCGTTTATTAGGTAGAATTACCCAAATAAAATTTTCAGTCCAGATAAATTACAAAGTGTTCATTTCATGTAATTCATTTCTGAGTTTTGATCCGCATTATGACATGACTAAGTATTTTCAAATAAATGGATAGATTTTAGAAGTAAGTTACAGTAACTTGGACTTGGAAACTTCTTTTTCTAAAATCAGTTCAGAATTTAGACAAAAATTCAGGGCTTTTAAAAATAAAATAGTTTTTCTAGCCATTCTGCCTCCTGAGAAGGTGCTGTGGAAGTCGACAATAGAATTTTAATACTTTTTAAACATCTTGTTGTCAAAAGTATAATACTTTTGACAACAAGATGTTTAAAGCTCTTTGGCTTTGAAACCAATTATAAAACTAAAAGAATGTCTTTAAATAGAATGTTATTCTTTTTCGAACATAATAATGCTGCCGATGATTTATAACGTCTTGTTTTTTAGCCTAATTTGCATAACTTAATTTAATAAAACAACCTTTTTTGAGACAAAACGAAAATAAGTAAAGACACCATTGATTGGCGTGTGATGTACTTCACAACTACAAAGTTGTAATTTTTCTATTTCCATTACCTTAAGATTCTGTCTGAAATTCCCCAGTCGGCTTTTAATTACCAATGAAAAAATTCCCGTTATATTAAAATTACCCGCACTACTAAAATACCCGGAAAGAGGGCAATTGCTCGACTTTTTTTACTACTGCTAGATAACGAGTCGAGTCAGTGTTGCCAGTTTCTAAAACTAGATATCGTACCAACTGCTTAAAGCTGAACTGTCGAATATAACAAAATAGTATTTACCCAATATACAGGGTTATTACAAATGATGTTCATGATTTCATACATACGTAAAATATAGTTTTATTTGTTATACAAAGAAATAAAATGGTTACAACTTTTGAAAAACTCAAAAAGTTTCGACACAGATACACAGAACTGTAAATGCTCGATACGGGAACCCCTTGTGGTAAGACAGATGTCAATAATGTAGTCAAGCTCTTGCTAGACTTTGAAAAGTGTGTCTAGGTCTATTGTTTCGATAGCATTGGTAATCCGTTGCTGGATCTCAAGTATGCTATCTGATAATGGTGGTGTGTACGCCTTATCTTTGATGTATCCCCACACAAAAAATCAGGGGGTGATGTCCGGAGATCGTATAGGCCAGTTCAGGGGTGTGTCATTATTCGGACCACCGAGCTCGTTCCATATCTCAGGCAGCACATTGTTAAGTTCAGCGCTACTACAAGTAACTTTCAAATGCAGCCATTTCTCTTAAATTTCAAGTGTCACTTGCCAATATAGTGGTTACTAGGAGGTTTAATCGTTAAACCTGGTTCTAAAGTGTCGTTGCACACTAATAACAGATTGGTTAATGTAATATTCCAACTGGCAAAAATCTTTCCTGCCTTCAAATTCAGCCATTACACAATACTTACAACAATTGACTTGACAAACAGCTGATATGCACCCAAACCAATGTAAATGAAACTTTGTGAGTTTTCCTTTCCAATGGTACCAACTAAAATAGTCTTGAAACAAATTAACCCAGTAATATTTATAATCAAAATCAGGAACATCATTTGTAATAGCCCTGTATTATAAGATGGATTTCCAAACAACGAAAATTACGCAGTTTCTAATTTTATTTTCCTTCCTTAGTTTCTTAGGACAAGAAGCAGCTTTAGTACTTGAAACTGTGCCGACATATACACTAAGCATTATGTTTTTTTTTTCAAATTTTGGAATTATTTATCTCAAGTAAAATTATAGTTTTTGCAATGTATATTTTTTAGGCACCTTAGGTGGCGTCCTAATCGGCTGATGCCCAGTTGCACCGATGGTTAAAGGAATTTGCAAGGGTCGACAAAGTACTCCCTCCCAAGAGTGACCCTTGGATGATCCTTCCCCTCCTCGGACGCTTTTATATACCTATCCCCTCTTTTACGTTCCATCGTATATAGTCTGCGCTAAATATTTACTATATATAGGGAACTAGCATATATATAACCCTTTCTTTGGTACGGGGTAAAGAGTAACAAACATTACAAACACATAGGCTGATATCAACACACCATGTAAGTTTGCCATAAAACGTTTATCCTCTTTGTCTTGAAATATACGCACTGAGCGAGCCTTTCAAGACCGGAAAATGCCGCGCGTCTGCGCATGCGCAAGTAAGCGTTATTCGTATCACTTGTAACAGCTGCAGCTGTTTCAGAAAATCACACTAGTATCTTCACTGCAACTCTTGCAACAATCTACTTGAAACTGGAACGGTTCTCCCGCGCTTAACTCCAAACCATTTAATTACTGTAACTGAATGAAGAATTTTACAGATTATGTTTATGTATGTGTTCCTTTACTTACTGTAACCTCTGGCACCTCCTTTATTTTATAAAACAAATTTTAAGTAACTTGGGTGGGCTACGTTACCGTTATCATCTATTCATCTATCTTCAATTGTACCCAAACATGTTTTCTAAAAGAGAAGATCCCAATTCTCATTTCATTTTTAATGGTCTAAGCTTTTTGAGAATTATTCATTATTGGAATCTTGCTTACAATGAAATTTATAACAAAATGTAAATGTTCAACAACGCTAATACATAATAATTTATTTTATTCACTAGCGCTTTCAGAAACTAGGTTTCCATTCAAAAGCGCTAGTGAATAAAACCAATTATTTTATTGGCCTTGCCTTGTTGAACATAGCTGGCTTATTAATTGGAATCCTTCTGTACTTCTCGTCCATAAACTAAAAATAAACTTTTCCACATAAACTACAAAGTACTCCGGTGTTATTGATGTCTTCCATTATCGTATTTCTCAGAATTTTCGCATTGAAGAAGGAGCACATCATCGATAATAAATGACCTCTGCAGTCCGCAACACAGCAGCAATCAAAATCTATCAATAACATTAACCCCAACTTCAACTCAGACATAACTCGATCATAACATAAAGAATAACAAACGATATGAATAATAATTATGAGGAACTAGTTGCAGTTGCAGTGCAGTCAAGATAAATACTACGACAACGACGCTAGTTAGTGGTTAGTGACTGTGACTTTCTGAAATAGCTGCTGCTACGCCACCAGTTACTAGCGCATGCGCAGAAGCGCGGCATTTTCCGGTCTTGAAAGGCTCGCTTTACTGAATTGTATTTTTTGTAAACCTAACCTAACCGTTTACAAGTACCGTAACCGTACTCGTACTAACTATGTTTAACAACATTTCAATGGGATGGGAGGGCGAAAGGGATCTTTGACCATCGGTGCAACTGGGCAACTACCTTCCAATCTCATTGATTGATAATTATTATTGATAGACTAGCAACAGTGCCCGTTGTGGTTAAATACAACGGTCTCTAGTAAAATAATGGTTATGAAATCCATGCACAACTTTACTCACTAATATTAATGGTACAGATTAAGCACATAACATTAGATAATTATATTATGCATACTGGTAAACCAATTATTGCCATCTATAACAATTATTAGTTTTTCTTTTCCGAGTCGGGTTAGCTCTTTTACCCAACCGATTTTCATTATTTTGGCCTTAAACTAAAGGTATGGACGTACCACAGATTTTCCATAAAGCATCGGCATTCATTTTGACGTATATTTTGAAAGAATTTAAATTTTATTATTTTAATTTTTCACTTTAATTAAAGTTGTATTCCAGCAGTTCTATATGTTACCCCTATATGTTTTGGTTTAAAAACCTTTAGTGAAATACCAGCTTTCATTTGAGCTATTGATTATTAAGATCGGACTACCTAAAACACACTGCTGAATCACAAATCAACAATAATTACAATCGTTTTAGTACTTATCTGCAATCAATGATACGTAACTCTATTTTTATTTGAGTTATTTTAATATGTCTTGGTCTTAAAATACTTCATAGGCTTTCACTTGAGATATTGATAGTTTTAAACAGTTAAGTTTAAGATACTGTATCGCTCAATCAGAAAATATAAATTTGATTATATCTTGGATATGGAATTTAGTTTTAGATATATTTACTTAATTCTAATTACGTTATTCTATTTGTTTTGACCTAAGAACCTTCTGTGAAATACCAGCATCCATTTGATTTATAGATTATTAAAATCGGATGTACCTAAAGCACACAGCTAAATGACGTACAACACAAATTGTTCAAAAAATGTAGTTATTTATCATTGATTTATAGTCAAACGATCTTGCTTGCAACCTCAACAGTAACTGTCGACTATGACGGGTTTAACCTAGTAAATCTTTTAAAAAATCAAACTTTTATGATTATTTGCAAATTTACACAAATTAGGCTTTCCAATGACCTATTATTTAATTAAATCGGTTCAGTAGAACTGTAGATTTAATTGTACAAAGTTTAACAACAACATCTCTAATTCAGTATTTTCTCACCACTATAAATTGGGTGGTTGCTTAACGTTTTTGCAAATAACTTTGAAACGGTGAGGAAATCGACCAAAGTGGAAGGTGATATTCTGAAAGAGAATAAAATTTCCTACAAATTACTAATATGTGTTTTTGAAAATACTCAATAAAGGCAGCCTAAAGTTGGCTACAAATATAAACTTGGAAATATAAACTTGGAAAAAATGAGTTTTAAATGTATTATTGTTTATTTTTATTTTTTCACCTCAAATATCTAATAAAATCAAACTTTCATAATTATTTGCAAATTTACACAAATTAGGCTTTCCAACGACCCATTAAGTAACAAAATTGGTCCGGTAGAAGTCTAGATTTAGTTGTACAAAGCTTAACAAAAATATCTCTAATTCAGTATTTTCTCACTACTATAAATTTGGAGATCACTTAGATTATTGCCAATAACTTTTAAATGGTGAGGAAATCGACCAACGTGGATGGGATATTCTGAAAGAGAATACAATTTACTACAAACAACTATTATGCATTTCTTGTAAATGCTTAATAAAGGCAGCCAAAAGCTGGCTACAAATAGAAACTTGAAAACAGAAACTTGAAAAAGCAGTTTTTAATGTATTTTTGTTAATTTTACTTTTTTACCACAAAGATATAATAAAATCACACTTTCATAATTATTTGCAAATCTACATGAGTTGGGCTTTCCAATGACACATTAATTAACAAAATCGGTCCAGTAGAAGTCTAGATTTAGTTGTACAAAGTTTAACAAAAATATCCCTAACTCAGTATTTTCTCTTTACTATAAATTCGGAGGTTGCCTAGCTTTTTTGCAAATAACTTTTAAATGGTGAGGAAATCGACTAAAGTGGAAGGTGATATTCTGAAAGAGAATAAAATTTCCTACAAATTGATACCATACACTTCTTGGAAACACTCAAAAAAGGCCGCAAAAAGTCGCACCCAATTAAAAAGTGTGAAAAACACCGTTTTCAATGTATTTCTTATGGAAAACATGTTTTTTTAAAGATTTTCACCATAAATCATAACAAAAACAAACTTTCATAATTATTTGCAAATCTACACGACTTGAGCTTTCCAACGACCCATTATTTAATAAAATCGGTCCAGTATAACTCTAGATTTAGTTGTACAAAGATTTTCAAAACTGAATTATATATAGAATAGATTATGCATAAATACCCATTGAATAACCAGTCATAATTATTATGGTTTTATTGTAAAATTTTATTATTTACCAGATCATGTCAAATGTTTATTATCAATTGCATAAGCCATAACACACTGACAGAAACACCATTTCAATCCCAAGTGTTTGATTAATATTTTAATTAAAGTGTGAATAATTTCTACCACGATAAATGATCATGATTCACGTTTAAAATACAGCACAATATTTCAACCATGTACCAATATTTTTCCATGGAAGTTCTTTATTCAAATAAATTCACATGTAAAAACTGTAAACTTAAAATACACTGTTTGTTTTTCAGAGATGGGCAACCCTGAAATTTTGAGGGGGGAAAACATTGAGAAGCAAATACAATCTAATAATGATTTTCAAACCAATGTCTCAATATCAGGTAATGATAGTAAAGAACCCTTGCTTATATCTCTTCATTCCACAAACCTATGCGGAAACCTGTCTGACAATTTTATCCCAGCAAGAGAACTCTTAATCCCATCTGGAGAGGATTGTTCGAGGACAATAAGTTCTTCAAACCCAGTAAATGATTCACATGAAGTTGATTCATCCCAACTAGTTGTGTCTTCTGGCATTCTACTAGAGAGTAAACTATCTCAACATCAAATTTCAATTCCTTCGGAAATTCAATCATGCAAGGTTAATTGTGCTGTTACAACAAATGAAGTTGACATACTGGTAACCAAGAATGACCATGAACTGGACATCTACCAAGTTTTTGATAATGTTGTAAATAGTGACAAAGTTGAAACATCATCGATGGAGGTTCAGTCTTTATTATCAGATCTATGTCAACATATAGAAGATATTAAAGACGTCATTAATTCCTATATGTCTTCGTTCTACACCCAAGAAGAGGAACATGACAACTACCCAAATGTGTACACACCTCAAAAAGAAGTTGCTGCTTATTTTGTTGAATGTTTATCGAAGGAAAACAGTAGTGATCAAATAGTAACTGGTGCATTCTATGAAAAAGAGTTATCTGGAGTTGATCAAACTGATGTCTTGCAGAATGTAGTTGAAAATCATATCATTTACGAGAATGAAGATGAAACCCCCAGTTACTGCTATTGGAATGAAACCAATCTAGAGAATGATCTTGTAGCTAACATAGGCGTAGCCGATTTAAACAAATCAGAAGAAGTCAAAACGAGTGCCATAGTGGCAACAGAATTTGTCGAAAAAACATGGACAGAGTTCATAAATAATGTCGAAACACACGCTGTTCTTGAAGATTTAGTAAATCAAAACGAAACAACAAAATCTGCGCACGAAATGCCAAACTACATGAATGGTTTCTGGGCTAACATGTACGACCATTGTATCTTCCAGGAAGCTGAACATGTTGTTTATACTCTTGACAGTCTTCTGAAGAATGGGATTTTTCCTTTGGATGAAGCCAATAACGCTGCATACATACCTTGCAAGATTGTGGAGCTTGACGATGAAGAGGATTTTACTGTGATTGAAGAAGAAGCATACAAACAAGATGGCTCAGACAGAAGTTTAACAAAGAATAAAGAACATCAAGCGAATCGTCAGGATGGATTATATGATAATGTAAATTATAATGCTCATGACAATCTCCTGATGAATGACATTTTTCGTTTGGTTGATGCCAGAAAGACTGCAGACATGTCTTGCAGAATTGTGGAGTTTGATGAAGATAAGCATTTTACTGTGTTAGAAGAAAAGGCACAAAAACAAGACAACGGTTTAGCAAGGAATAACGAACATCAAGCGAATCATCAGGGTGGATCATATGATTGTACAAACGAAAATCCTCATAATCTTGACAGTCTGTTGATGAATGAAATTTTTCCTTTGGATGAAGCAAAAAAGGCTGCAGACCTCCCTTACACATTTGTGGAGATCGATGAAGAAAGGCATTTTACTGTGATAGAAGAAAAGGCACAAAAACAAGACAACGGTTTAACAAGGAATAACGAACATCAAGCGAATCATCAGGGTGGATCATATGATTGTACAAACGAAAATCCTCATAATCTTGACAGTCTGTTGATGAATGGAATTTATCCTTTGGATGAAGCCAAAAAGGCTGCAGACCTCCCTTGCACATTTGTGGAGATTGATGAAGAAAGGCATTTTACTGTGATAGAAGAAAAGGCACAAAAACAAGACAACGGTTTAACAAGGAATAACAAACATCAAGCGAATCATCAGGGTGGATCATATGATTGTACAAACGAAAATCCTCACAATCTTGACAGTCCGTTGATAAATGGAATTTTTCCTTTGAATGAAGCCAAGAATGCTGCAGACATCTTTTGCAGAATTGTGGAGTTTGATGAAGAAAGGTATTTTACTATATTAGAAGAAAAGGTGCAAAATCAAGACAGCAGTTTAATAAGGAATAACAATCAAGCAAATCATCAGGATGAAATACAAGGAACTAATGATAAAAATGGAACTATTACGTCAGATGGAACTGAAGCAGAAGAAACTATCTTGGGAAACAAAAACAAAGGGATGCACTCTGAGCCATTTTTCCATCAGGAAAAAGTAAATGTGAATGAAGTAGAATCGTCTAGGGAACCTGACTATAAAGTAGTTCTGGAATCTGTTAACCACCAAGGAAAGGTAGATTTCTTGACACAAACAGTAACGGAGATAAAAGAAAAAGACAAAAACGAAACTTACTATGGTATAGTTCGGAAAGAACAGCCGGACCAAGACTGTGCGGATGGGCAAAATATATCAGCATTAGACATAAGTTATGAAAAGGTAAACATACAAAATACCGGTAATCTAGACGAAGAAAATCCTGTTTCGGGATATTCCATGTTCGAGAGGATCAAGGAATTGAACAACGCTGGTATATCAAATTCTTCTTTTCTTTTTTCATCACCTACTACTGAACTCAACTTGACAAATCCCAACATTAGCAGGAAGTAAAGTTTTGTTTGTGACTGTATAAAGAATTAAAATATTGACCAGGCATGTATTCTTTGATCTTTCAGTGCTTAATTCATAAATGTTCTAACTAAAATTTAAGTCATCTTTTTTTTAGTATAATGGTTTATTTGTTTACCAAGTTCCAGCATGATGTTTGTAGAGTATTTGGTGTTTTGAGGCATATTTGCATCCATCTCGGAAACATCAAATTCTTTGTGGAGTAACTACAAAATCACTTAAGTGATGTTTGAAATAGTAAGGTTAGTTTTTTAAAGGACACACATCGACCTAATAAAAGAGTTACTGGCAGTTGATGGAGGAAAGTATATACAATAGAGAAAAACTTACATGAGGGAAATAACCTAAGCGAGGATACCTTGAGACCCAAGTGTCCTCATGAGTCAGCCATCTTGGGAAAGCCAGAAGTCACTTTGCATTAGAGCATTGATGACTTTTTCTAATGATGTTGTTTACATCGATAGTAGGTGACCGATGTTTTCGGCCACATATTCATATTTAGATATCCATGTTTTCCATTACTGGAGAATACAAAAAGCAGACAAAAACTATTAAAAACCATCGATGTTTTAGTCCCAACAACATCGATGTTTTCGCAACTATGTTATCGGTACATGGGGGGTTGACCTATCGATGCTCATCCCTACTTTGAATATTGTCTCTCTTGCGGCAAGGGTATGGCAGTAAATTTCAATGGCGGAATTTAATTAGTATGATTAGGTAAGCTAGAATTTAGGTATTGTGAAAATGTTTGATTATAGAAAGATTTAACAGAGCCAGTTTTGTAACTGATATTTTACCATAGACTAACTCGAAGCTCGTTTTTCGTGTCTAGTTCATGTTCGGCGACACTGGTGGCTAGTTACTACAAAAATTTTATTTCTATTATTTTAGAGTTAATTTCATGATTAGTGCTTTACTGTTTCGTTATAACTTACAACTAGAGGATGAGTTATTGTTTATGATTATGTAATTTTCTTTGGCTAAACGGGGTTTTAAAAGACTGAAATAGCAAGAAACAAAACACAAGTGCACCGGACAGAACTAACAATAAAATTGGCTTCAGCTGTTCCATAAGGGTGGGAAATATACTAAGGGAGTATGTTTTATCTAAGATTTTACTGATTCCATCTTAAGTCCCGGAAAGACAAAATATCAAGTTTAAGATTTGAGTACATGTGTTATAACTTATAACTGCTAGGAACTATTTTCTTGACTTAGTTGTGTATGTGGGTTTACTTCCTTCATGCATTAAAAAGAATATTGTACCACAACAATGGTGAGAAAAGTTTTCATAATTGAACAAACATTGACAACACTCAAGAAATCTACAAATTGAATGTGCTACTTTAGGTGTCCATTCAAAACTTGAAACTAAACTCCCTGAGGTTTAAAACCCACACATGATATAATGTACAAATCAATTGACCGTGTAGGCAAATAGTTTTCAATTTTTTTTGGAGGAAAAGTTTTTCCTATTTTAGCATTTGCATAAAATACGTACAAAATCCAAAACACCAGACACATACCTGCTTATGATGTGTCATAAGTAGGACCAAGGAACAAGTCAAACAAAACAAAACTTTATAAAAACAACTTTACTTGTTCGAAATTATAAAAAACACTTGAGATGTTAAATTACGCAATAAATGCAAAGTAGTTATATTCAATTAAGTAGTTTTGAAATTGTACAAAATTGTGTGGCTTAGGCAATTCAAGCTCATACGTACAATTTGTTTATTACCCAATGAAAAATAGTAGAACTCCTATTATCTGAACTCCAACCATACGAAGTACTTACAAAAAGAATTATAAAAACCTTAAACTACGGTAATACAAAATTTTATTAAAGGGAGAAGCCAAAATCACAGAAAAATCCTGAACATCTTCCACGAACATCATCACTGTCTGCCACAGTTATGGGAACTTCTTCATCCGCTATCACGGTAAAGCTTTTTGAGACATCTTCTGCGACTGTGATGGTAAAAAGCTCAACTCAACTTAGCATATTTTCTATTAAATACCCCGAATTTAAGTAAAAAAATCATCCAAAATGTTAATTTTCTGTTGTGATGACTTCAATTGATTCGGAAAGTTGGAGTTCTGGTTTAGTACTAAACTTACAACAAGTAACATATTCAAGTAAAAATTTGTCACTTACTAATATCTCGAATACACATAAACAAGTCATATTTTGAACTACACATAAACATATAACTTTTTTCATTGCCTCAATCTTACTTTGGCATGAGTAACAATAGCATTGGTCTGAAGCACCGAGAAAAGTGATGGAAGTTGTTTCGTAATGGTAAAAAAACAGACCTATAACTAGAACGTCTTATCGCGTATAAACTAAAAATCAACTTATAAACGTAACAAAAACAAAAAATCGTTCTTATAGCTATGTGTGTAGGTACAATACAAACTGCTCACATCGCACCGGGGCATGTGATATAAATTGTCCTTCTCAAAACAAGATCTGTTCCACTAACAAAGGCACTAATGTTTTTTTCAGTCTTGCCTCCGCAGGACCCAGGAATGCATGTATCACATGAAAAATCACAGTCCGCCACGTTTTGCTCACGATTAGGAAAATCACCACACACACACACACCAGTTTGAACAATCACCATACTTCTTCGGTTTCTGCGGCCTGTGGTTGAGGCCCACTGTTGAATGAGTCCGCCTGAAACGTAATATAACATTGTCAGTACATCATATTAATTGTACTTTTCCAAATTAAATCCAATAGTAAAGCACAAACTCCCTAACAGTATTTCTAAAAGGAGATATTTACTTCAACAACGGAATTACTACAGCACCTAACAGAAGGAAGAGTTTTAAACCCTCTCTCTTCCTTAGTTGAAAATGCTGTCAGTGACAGTGAAATATTCTAATGTTTTGTGTATATAGTGTTAAGTTTTGTGTTTCTTATGACAGATTGGACTCTTTCCGATACAGGTAAGTCTGCTTTTCTCTCAAAAAACCTAAAAATCTAGGCCCTTGTGTTCTATGCTAAACCCTCAATGTTACAGTAATGTATGATGAAATATTAACTTAAGAATCAATAGTTTTGCATTTTCGTTGACCGTCAGATACCAGCTAAACAACAGTTGTCCTAGCACAGATCAGCAAAAACATTCGTTCACGTTGAAGCATATTAATCATGCACTGTAAGCTTGATTACCGAGCACAAAATTGTATGTGAATTGCTTTTCGGATTTTTAAAACTTTTGCTTTAGAGGTTGAAAAAAATCACAGTTTAATAATTATGTGGATTGACGAAATAATAATTAAAATTAAAAAGTAAATCGCAAATTGTGGTTTCAATAGTTTTAAAATGAGATATTTTAAATTTGTTTTACTTTAATAAACAATGCCATAATATGCTTCAACCATTAACATTGCTGTTATGGGCAGAAAATCCAAGATGGCAGGCGGTCCTGCCGACTTTTGAGTCAACAAGATAACACGCCCAAACTCTATAAAAAAACCCCAAACTGACTGACAGAAAAATATCTCAAGCTTTGGGGAATTAACTATTTCTTTGGTATAATAAGTAATAAATATTGAGGATGACTACATTCTGAGGGTTTTCGGCGACATTCGGGAACCAACTGAAATACAAGTGGTTATCTGGGAAATCAGGTATAGTGAACTGTAGACACCCTACACAACTACTTGGCAAACGTCATTTCACTGGTTTAATTTTTGACTAGTGTACATGTTGCTCGAATTCGAGCAATTGCAAAGTATTACAGGAGTTATTTCAAAACGAATAACAGTCATATTTACAATGAATTTAAAAGAGTCAACTCAAAGATTATCGGTGTGTAACTCAGGCCATGTTTATCTTCGTTATTGATAAACCTAAAGCATTCCGGTCGGTTTTCGTCTCCTTCTCAAAATGCCTCGCTGTACAGGCAACACAGGTCATTGATAGATGGCCAATTGAGAACGAAAAGTTGTTTTGGGGTAGTGTTAGGGCGCATTTTTAACCTAATAGTTAAGCCTATTACGTGTCACTGTTCTGTAGCTGCGGTCGTTATCACGATTACGCCTCCTGTGCATGTTTCGTTGTACAGTAGTAGCGTCGGAGGCATTTAAAAGAAAAAACAACAAATAAACAAATTATAGCTACACAAAACAACGATAAATTCACAAATTTAAGATACAACCATACTAACACGATCCGTCTTGGGGGTTATGTTTACACAAACTCAAATAGTAAATAAATGTACTCAATACGTTTCATTGAATTGAAAAATAAATAACAGCAATTAAATTATACAGCTGATCAAAATGTAAACAATTATGTTCTTCATAAGGATAACATGGGAACTTTCAAGGCCACTGGGGCAGAGCCCAAGGGACTTTAAAAAATGTAAGGCCAGTTTGCAAATCTACGCGACACGCTCTTTCCAATGAGACGTCAATGGATAAAATCGGTTAAGAAATGGCGGAGGAGTTAAACCGACAAACTTTCATGTAGCGTATTAATTATATAGATATTGGATAAGTTTCAAATAACCCTGTGCATACTATAGCCAAGGAAACACTTGACCGTGCTGACCAATTACTTGGCCGACAGTTTTAGACAGTCTCTCTCTCACCTTTCGGTAATCGTGTCCTCCGAATCCTCTGCCCTGGTAGCCGCCGCCGCCTCCGTAAGATCCTGAGTCCAACCATTCAGGCACTTCTTGTCCAGCTTGCTGTAGGATCTGCACAAAACCAACAGTATTAACAACTTTGTCCTGGAAAATGTTTTGTCAATTCAATTTATAACTAGCAACTGTTGAATTTTCAAAACCCTTTACTTTATTTCTGGGAGGAAATAATGGATTACTAGCCCTTAAATTTGATTGTGTATTATTTTTTAGTTAAAAATTCAAAATCGGGGAAAAAAGAACAAAGAGAAAAAGATTTTGTATATTGTTTTAATTTGTCTAAAATTGTATCATGCTGTTGATGTTTTTTTTATTTTAGCAGGCAATACATAAAAATCTTAATCCAGCATTTTTTTTTTTTTAATAACTTTGTGTCTGTTTTGATAAAGAAAAGGAAACTTCTAAATCTTGTATTTATTTTATGGTGATCACCCAAAGTACTTGAAGAACTAATATTTACTCTTTATCAAGTTAAACAAATAAAAATATATATAAACTATACACGGTTAAAATACCAATCTCGGCAAAATTACTTGATGTGCAACAATAGACTCTCAGTAATCCGTCAGATATAGGACCGTGATACTGTCGGATTACTGGAATGTCATCAATAATACCCCCGCCGCAGCAAACCTGCAGACTAAGCGAATTTCCATTTGACTGATTTGATTTACACTGAAATGTCTACTTAAAAATATAACATTTATTCCCGATTTAAATAGAATTAGTTTAACAAGTACTTAGGTTTGCTGCATCAGGGAGGGTTAAATTTTCTTTTTTTTTGTAAAATGTTAATAGTTAGTAAGAAATAAAAACATTTTCTAAATTTGATCAAAATATGTTCATAAACAAGCAAACTACAACACTTATTCTCCATAAGAATAACATGGGAATTTTCAATTTCAAATTTTTTGGAATTTTCTCGGTAACCATTAGGCGCATAATAACGCTTCAATATACTAAATTATTTGTTTTTATAAGCTCTACAAAATAGTTTGGAAAGAAATTGCTAAATTTTATTTTTTTTAGGTCAAAAATGGGAAAAACCTATTTTTACCCCATAAAACCCCCCGTAAACCCCCGTTCCCATGGTCCGATCATGCTGGATCGCGAACTCGTTCAAATAAACGTAGGTCTACACATTTGTACCAAATTTCATCAAAATCGGATCATTTTTGCTCGAGTTATCGTGCTAACGGACACACATATATATATATAAATAAATATATATATATATATGAATTTGAACGGATGGTGTTTTTGGCCTCTAGGGACCTCAAAACGAAAAAAAAATCGGTCCCGCGTCCAGGTCTTACCATGAGTACTACGGTAATAGCTTATTCCCTATATGGGAAATTCGCTAAAAACTCGTAAAATGCACAAAACAAGTATTTTATTGTGTGTACCAATACCCGACACGTCTGCAAAGACCGGAATCGGAAACCGCTATTGGCAAGATTGTGCATAATCAACATACCTTTACAAGGTCAGGTGCCAAGGGACTGTCTGCGTCAGCATCGTAGAAGGACGTAGCCTTTCCTCGGTTGCCCACTCTCCCAGTACGACCAATGCGGTGGACGTACTCATCAATTGATTTGGGCATGTCATAGTTTATTACATGGCCTACACCCTTGATATCTGAAACAAAGAATAAGCACATAGTATTATCAAAAACCTATCTCATGCAGCCAACAACTAATTAGGTAATTGACTTTGAAAAGTACAAGTACACTTCACATCCATTTGTTAAGTCTGAAGCCAGGTTTGACTTGTGCAACTTATGCATGGTAATGGCAATGGCATTTTGTTTTTATTCAAGGAAAGGCTATAAAATCAGGATTTTGAATAGTAGAATAACAGGGATTATAATATTTTGTCAGTCTTTGTTATTTAGATGTTTTGATGTTAACACCAAACTCAAACAACAATTTTTTATACTTTTTACAATAGAAAGATCCATCTTGTATTGTGTTAGTGAAGTGTGTTGGTTTAGCATAATTTTACTGTTTTTAATTCCCTTTGTACTCTTTAAACATATATTTGACAAGCATTTGACTTCCTAATGTGTTACCATAACTCCTAACCTCAAAATCTAAACGGCCTGCAGTTTTATCTAAAATTCTTGTTAACCAAGGTAGCCTCGGTCCCAACAACTTCGGTTAATCAGGAGTATACTGTAGTGTAAGTTATTACGTGTTTCTTGTGCCGGAGTGCACTCTTCCCCATTAAGATAAGTCTGCTATCCTAAAATCCTAAATCTTTTACTGAGTTTTGGAACAAAATACTATTTTTAACTAAAAGTTTAGTGTACTCACCCAGTCCTCGAGCAGCTACAGCTGTAGCCACCAACACCCTCATCCTGTTGAACTTGAAATCATTCAAAGCCGTTTCACGTTCTCTTTGTTGTCTGTCTCCGTGAATACTTGTCGTTGGGATCTGTTGTTCTGACAAGTAGACTGCGATGAAATCTGCGTTTCTCTTAGTCTCTACGAAGACTAACACCTTGTCATCTGTAATTTAACATAAGATTCAGAACAGCCGTGTAACAAGCAGGTATTTTACCAAATGATTTCTGTAATATACAGCAAGAAGTTAAAAATAATATCTATAATCTTCTATTATAGAATACAGTAGAACCCTGGTTAACCGAAATAAAGGGGGGAGAGCCGTTTCGGATAGCCAATTTTTTGGTTAACCCATCATAGGCTAAAAATAGCCAATGTATCAACACAGTGTGTAGGAAAAATGAATTTAAGAGAATGTCTACAAATAATTCAGTGTTTTATTTTAGCTACAAAAAAGTAACAATGGGATAGAAAATACTTTAAACCAGACAACTGAAGTTATTTAAGCATTTTACAGCCCTTTATTATTTTATAGAACCATTTCGCTTAACCCGGATTTTGGTTAAACCGAACTCGGTTAGCAGGGATTCTACTGTAGAAAGAAAGAGGACGGCAGCTAGCTTACCTCGGAAGAAGTACAGGCACACACTATTTCAACCACTGGGGGACTTTGTCAAGTGTAGAGAAAGAGGAATTATTATTTTGACTTTTTCTCTACACTTGACTATGTCCCTAATGGGACAAAGTAATTGTGTGTCCTATGGCCTACCTGTACCCCTAATGACAATCTATTGTAAACTCAAGATTCAAGATTCAAGATTCAAAGAGTCTTTATTCACACACAGTACAAATTTTCGTACATGAATAGTGTCTATTGTCTATTGTTACTTACTACCTGAATTAGCAATAAGAAACATTTAAACAAAATACTATAGGCTACATTATTTTAAATTGAAATTACTAAAATCTTCTATTTTGTAAGGTGCAAGGTCAAGTAAGAATGCCTTCAGATTTTTCATAAATTTAGATTTGTCTTTTTCTTTTTTTAAAAAGCTAGGAAGTTTTCTAAAAAAATAGTTTCCAATATAAGAAGGTTTATTTTTAAAAAGTTCAAGTCTTGGTTTTTCTTTAGCTAAATAATTTTTACCCCTTGTATTATAATTATGCACAGGCGATTCTTGAGTCTCAACAATATTTAAAAAATATTTAATTGTTTCAAAAATATATAAGGCGTGAACTGTAAAAATGCCCATCCCTTTAAAATAAGATTTGACGGACTGGTTGTATTTTAATTTATGTATTATCCTGATAGCTTTTTTTTGTATTTTCAAAATCTTTTTTAAATTCTTTTTCTTTGTCCCACCATAAATACTAATTCCATAGTTAATATGTGATTCAATATGAGCATGATATATCATTTTAAGTACTGATCCTTCACAGAGATATGACATTGTTCTTAGGACGAATATACCTACTGAGAATCATTCAAGTTGAATCAACTTTTATAGTATTAGAAAAATCAATCAAAAATATAATTTTTACTAGAACAGCTATGTTAAATGAGAAAAAAATATTAACAACATCTTGGTCCATGTATATAGGATGAGAACTCACCGTTCTGCATAAGCAGTTCTCTTAGTTTGTTCCGTTTTTCGTTTCGAGCAACCTGATAAAATACTTGCTCGACGTCAGCACAAGCTCCACCCACAATGCCGACTGCCAAGAAAAGATAATCATTGAGGAAGTTGGCTGCCAAATGTTGTATCTCCTCAGGGAATGTTGCGGAGAACATGAGTGTCTGTCTTTCACCCTGCAAACATCAAACTACGGTCAACTAAATATTATGAAGATTGTGACACTTTATGAGAAACTGAGGCCCTAGTTTGACCAACACATATCGTCCCAGACCATCTCTTGAGGCACTTCGGCTTTCGCCGGATGTTATTTTAAATCACCGATAGTCAGAAATTCATTTGATTAGTATTCATGTAGGGGAATACATTTACTTTCATGTAATATAGTTGGTATGTGGGTTTTATGTGTTTTTAAGATCCTAAATCTTGTAACCAGGAATGGAGAAGTCTAAAAATATCGACTAATCGTGTAAAGTACTGTCTGTATTTTGATTACCTTACTCTGCAATCCATGCCAGACATGAAACATGTTTTTAAGATTACACACAATGAGTAATTTGCTACTAGTGTAATGGAGGGTAGTCTAGGCAACCTGGAAAGTATGTTGTGTTTTAAATTTAAACAATGAGGGCCTTGCACTTGGTAGCAGTCAAGGTTCAATAAATAGTCCAACTGAGGTAGGGATAGGGGTCAGTCAGGCAGGAGGGTGCCCGTAGGAGGTTTGATGAGTGTGGGTTTAAAGTAGGGGTGTGCGAATAGTGATTTTCAACCTCGAGCCGAGCCGAGCCGAGCTTTTTAAAATATTTTCGAGCTCGAGCTTTTTCGAGCCGAGCTTTTCCTAGCGTCACCTTATAATAATAATAATAATAATAATAATAAATCTTTATTGTCGTTTGGTAATATAAACATTACAATAGACAAGGTCAACATGTTTTGTTACATATGTTAAATAAAATATTAAATATTCTACAGAAAATTTTAAAATAAAGTTAAAAGAATCTTAAAAGGATAAAGCATCAGTAATAATAAAAACTTTAAAATTAACAGGGAAAAGACCATAACAAGAACAAAGAATCATCAAGACTGCTTGGCCTCACATTTAAGCGTTAAAAAATCTTCATTCTGCAAAAACTCATCAACTGAATAATACCCCCGCCGCAGCAAACCTGCAGACTAAGCGAATTTCCATTTCCCTGAATGGATTTACACTAAAATGTCTCCTTAAAAATATCACATTTATTCCCTATTTAAATAGAATCAGTTTAAAACATACTTAGGTTTGCTGCAACAGGGAGGGTAAAAGTGTTTTTATGTAAAATGTTAATAGTTAGTAAGAAATAAAAACATTTTCCAAATTTGGGCAAAATATGTTTATAAACAAGCAAACTACAACAGTTTACTTATTCTCCATAAGAATAACATGGGAATTTTAAATTTACTATTTTTTTGGAATTTTCTCCGTAATCATTAGGCGCATTATAACGCTTCAATATACTAAATTATTTGTTTTTTTAAGCTCTACAAAATAGTTTCAAAAGAAATGGCAAAATTTTATGTTTTTTGGGTCAAAAATGGGAAAAACCCATTTTTACCCCATAAAAGCCCCCATAAACCCCCGTTCCCATGGTCCAATCATGCTGGTTCGTGAACTCGTTCGAATAAACGTAGGTTTACACGTTTGTACCAAATTTCATCAAAATCGGATCATTTTTGCTCGAGTTATCGCGCTAACGGACACATATATATATATATATATATATATATATAAATATATATATATATATGAATTTGAACGGATGGTGTTTTTGACCTCTAGGGACCTCAAAACGAAAAAAAAAATTGGTCCCGGGTCCAGGTCTTACCGTGAGTACTACGGTAATAGCTTATTCCCTATATGGGAAATTCGCTAAAAAGCACGACTTGTAAGCCAATCTGATAATTTTGACCTATACAAATTAATACTTTCCTGATTTCTAAAATGTATTGGAAGTTTATTAAATAGTTTTATTTGCAAATATTTATAACTTTTGATAAATTTTGATAGCCTGGCTTGAGGAATATATAAATCTTTTGATTGTCTGGTGATATACCCATGGATTGAGTTGCAAGGAACAAATTTATTCAGATTATCTTTAACGGAAACTAAATTGTAAAAAATTAAAATATTAGAGAGTGTCATGATTTTATTTTCAGCAAAAAATGTTTTGCAACTAACCCTATCTGGAATTTCAAACATAATTCTGAATTCTGAACATTATCAAAAAAATAAATTATTAAACATTTTTCTTCAAAAAGTGCATAGTAATAATAATGTTCAGTCAATTTTTAAATAAACACAATATTATTTTAATATGTCTAAAAACATTGAGAATTGTCAAGACATCAAATAGTAGATAATCACGATAAGAACTGAACTGAACTAAATTAAGATGCAAGAAATAAAAGGATATGATTGAAGGCCTGATGAGATATGCAGTGCAGACTGAGCCAATCAGATTGTCTTTCATAACAGAACAGCGCTAACTTGAATGACAACAAAACAACTAGCAAGTCGATTAAATATGTATGTTGTAACTACTATGAATACTTTATTCCATTTTGTATAAATAAATAAATATAAAAACACGTGATTATTCTTGTTGTTTTCCATGCACAAAATATTTTTGTTTTATGAATCGTATTAATAAAAAAAAAGAACATGATTGATTTGGATCCAAAAAGGTGAAGAGACAAAGTAAAAAGTAAAATTATATATTAAAAATATATAATTGACATATAGAGGAAATAGACCAAAACACTAAAATTAATAGAATAACACACAAAGTAAACAAGAAATGAAATAATGAACACGATGATTTAACACTGTCACTAAATTCTGTTATCTAGAAGGGTCGGTGAACTAATCAATAAATAGCCAAAACCAGTTTCCTCCCCCATTTCTCTCTCAGTCTCACCACCACCCCTCCCCCCCTGAGCCGGGAGGCCCAGCACTTTGTCCTTGAAACACCCTAGCCTCTGAAACAATAAACCCTTACACCCGCGTTGCTGTTTTGACAACAGGGTTATGAATGCATTCACTATTTTTCATTTTCCAGGATTAACTATCAATTATTATTATTTGCAAGTTATAAATAGGAAACTACATCACATTATGGTATTCAATGACCCATGTATTATCAAAAATTAATAATCCATTACTTATTTTGATAATAAAAAGCATTCATTACAGCACGCACCACTTATTGATATTTAAATAATCATCAAAGTAACTGTTACTTTATACAAAATAAAATAGGTACAAAATTGTGTGGCCAGTCAAACTTTATAAACAAACATTTTATTCTATAAAATACAGATGGTAAATATGGGTTGGTTTAAAGGAAATAAAATACAAAACAGATAATTAATTATTTTGATAAACATTAGAAAGGTTATGGGATTGATTGAACTAAAATAACCGCAGGGAAACTTATAAGTAGAAAAGTCGTCAACCACAATCTGTTCAATCAGTACATTGTTAGAGAGAGCAGAGAGAGAAATAGAGATAGCAGATAGGGGCGTTTGATAAGGAATCTGAAAAAGTAAACAAACAAGGAACAACGACACGACACGACGATTGATACTTGTTTACAGCCTTATTGTGTCGCCCACTACATTTGCACACGTGACCACTTTTTGTTTCTTCCTTATCTTTCATCCGTTCCAAAATAGAATTCCTGAAATTGTTTTTTGGTATAATCTCCCCTCCCACACAAGGCGCAGTGCTCAGTGCGCACTGTAGGTTGTCACGGCAACCGTGTGTCGTCATAGCGACGAGCCAATCACGCACTCGCACTGCGTTGTATATTACGATACGAATAGCTGTGTTAGAAAGACATCGCGATAGGTGGTAGTTTGTCTCTTTACTATCTCCTCAAAATTACGATCGATAATCATTGCGTCTTGACTGAGCTGAGGTTCGTGCTTATCAAACCTTGAATGCTTTAACAACGTAGAATTGTGATAACATTGTTTCCAATTACGACCCAAATTAAGTGTTTTTTTTTAGTTTTGACTTAGTATTAAAAGCTCGGCTCGAACTTCGAGCTTTTTCAAAATGCCTCGAGCCGAGCCGAATAATGAAAAGCTCGACCAAAAAGCTCGAAGGTTCGAGTACTCGCACACCCCTAGTTTAAAGGTTAGGCCTTTATGCAGGGGGATGTTGTTTTCAAAGGGATTAAGATTAAATTCCACCAAGAGTTACATAAATATGGTTCATAACTGAAACGGTACTTGAATAATATTACCGAACAATACTTACGGTCTTGATCATGGATGGATGGTCCAACATCTTTTTCATGTCCTCCAGAAAACCCATGTCAAGCATACGGTCAGCTTCGTCAAGAACAAAGAACCTTACGCTTCCGAAGCTCACTTTGCCTCGGTTCACAAAGTCATTCAATCTGCCTGGAGTAGCGACCAGGATGTGGCAACCGTTCTGTTGACAATGTTCGATAAATTTATGACATGAGGAATAATTACTGGAGTTTTAAACTACCTGTATTCAGTTGGAAACTAGACATTAAATTAAATCAGAATTCAAATATTTGAATTTATGTGATGCAATTTAAAAAAAAGTTGATAAGTAAAGAAATTCCAGTAAAGTACTTAAGGTTATATTGTAAATGAATGCCAAATGGCTGAAGGAGTTGTCTGTAAAGGGACAAGTTCAGCTAGCTCACCTGAGTAAGGAGCCAGGTCTTAGATATCTAATAAAAGGTCACCAAACATAATACTGATATTTCCTACTATAATCCGTTCACAAAATTAAGGCAGTTTAAGAGCAAGTTCCCCCACACACTTTTTTGCTCAATGTATGTTGTCGATTGATATTTTAGTTTAGTAAATGAGTTATAATAATCACTTCTTCAGAGGATTTGAGACAAACTAGGTTAAGGGTTCCCTTTGAACTACTCGCTAGCTGAACTCCTTATAAAACAAATACAGAACTTGAAACTCCTTTAAATAAAATCCCTGTACAATTTTTCTTTTAAGTATGGAACATCAATACAATTACTGCTACAGGTTATCCTTGATATCTCAAGTTAATTTCCACATACAACAAGAACTTTAAATGGACATGAAAGCTGAATAAAGCTGATTTATACTCACGATTAGCTTTGAAACCTGGTAGTTGGTACCAGTTCCTCCGTAGGAGATGCATATTTTCAGAATGGATCCTTTGGCGAACTTCCTCGCCTCGTCGAAAATTTGAATCGTCAATTCTCGGGTCGGTGAAACAATTACCACCTGAGGTTCACAAGTCTCACCGTCAAAGACTAGATCTGATGGTTCGTTCATCAACTTGTGTATCATCGGAATCAAGAATGCGGCCTGTAACAAAAAACATCTCAACATTAACTTCAGTCATTAAATTATTTTAACGATTTTACATTTTGTACAAGACAGCTAAATTTAAACAATTAGTTGAAGATGAACGGAGCAACAAAACCATCTTTAGTTCGGACTTTGCTGCGGATTACCCAGCGCAATGTGTGCTATTTCACATACCTGCTACCAGGAACTACCACTGGATAAAATGTGGATCACTTTGTATGTACAGTAGAACCCCTCATATCCGGCCACCACGGGACCAAGCCCCTGGCCGGATAACGATTTGGCCGGATAAACCAACCTACTATGAAAATGACAATTCATACCTAATAATAATAGGTAATCAATGTATGCAATCAAAAGTATCATTTAATTCTGTTCTGGGATCATTTTTAGAAAAATAAACATGTCTGTAAAAAGGAAAAAAAATATTTGTAGGTTAAAGTCGGTACTGTAATAAATGAATATACAAATATTATGATTCCAGGTAACAAAACATATTAAATGGAGGTAAAAATGACAATAAATTGTACTTAGAGTTCATTAGGACTTAAATGGTACTTGCATTTCTACTCAACATTCTTAACCATTTTGTGAAATACAAAAATTAATGTACTCGTACTGTACTGTACTAAACCCACTTTGGAAATAATCAGCCAACTGATCAGAGGTTAGGCCTACTAGCTCAACTGAGTATAGTGACTCAGCAAATAAATGTATAAACAAACAGATAAATAATGAGAACAATTTATTTTATGACTTGAGCAGTCACAAAGACTAGTGCTTGTATCTAAACGTCTGTAAGGTGTGAGAAAAAAATGTTGATATTGGCTTCCTGGAAGGGGCCGGATAAACAGGGGACCGGTAAAACCAAGGCCGGATATGAGGGGTTCTACTGTACAGTAAATTACTGGAGTGTTTAATAGCTAACTTGACACAGACACTGCATCTGCATTTAAGTATGTTGTCCGTTTTGGAATGAAAATGTTGTAGTTGAAATGATCCTGCTGCTTTCAATGATTAAAAATTTATGATTTCGCTGTAATCACAGAATATCATCGTAATGACTGAGGGAGGCAATCACGGTTCCACCATGTGCAGAACATGTTCTTGATTTAGTCGCGACCATGAAGAAAACACTGAAACACTGAAATTGCAGTCCTGACCATCCCTACAATAACTTAAAAACATATCTATTACATCAGTAATGTCATGCTTACCGTCTTTCCAGACCCGGTCTGGGCGCAGGCCATGAGATCTCTCCCTGCCAACACATATGGGAGCGCATGTTTCTGTATGGGAGTTGGCTTCTTGTAGCCGGACTTGCGGATGTTGTCCATCAGCAACGGGCGCAGATTTGCGTCATCAAACTCTCTGAGTGGCTCCAATTTGTTATTTCCAGTCACCTAAAAAATTCATCACGTTAATGAAATGTACAAAAAATAAAAGTAGGCCTACTTATAGAATCAATTTAGAAAATTCATAGAAACAAGTGCAGTACCTTTTACAGTTTTCAAAGGATTTCCAATAACATTCTCGACAACATAGCCAACAAAACAGTTACGAGTGAAAGTGAGTAGAAAACAAAAAGCTTACTTTGACTTTGATATTTTCGTAGGCATCAAAGTTGATACCACTAGAGATTCCACCTCCGTACAAGGATTCGTCGTCTTCCTTTGGTTCCGGTGGGATGTACAACTCAGGTCGAGGCTTTTCTGAAAAATCAAAACATTTATTAATACGGTAACAACCCACATGTGTCGATCCAAACTATTAAGGCACCATATCAAGGCATGTTATCCAGACCACGCAAAAGCTAGATTGCACAATAATGTCCCGGGCTAATGCCTAGAGCGTTCTAGGGAAAAATATTTAAGGAATTTGAGGACTTCATATTCATTTCACTGAAAGTGCACTACTTAAGACTATTTAATTATCACAATAACCCACCGTCTCCACCGCCAGGTTTCTCAGTCTCACACTTTTGACATTTGCTTCTAAATGCGAAATTGCTGTTCCCGCATTCGGTGTCGGGACATATCCAGTCTCCCTCTCTCCTACCTGGAAATTCAAAACCATCAGAATGCAAGGTTACGTGGTAACACAAGTATCGTGCAATATGAATGAAAAATCATTGACCAACAGCATGTTACTCTTAACAAGGTGAACCTATTATTTCCCTAACGACAATAGTTTTCACTCACCTTCACCGTCTCCGTTCTCAGTTCTACCACCTCGGCCGCCAAAACCTCCTCTACCTCCCCTCCCCCTGCCACCACCAAAGGAACCTCCTTCATCTTCATCGTCGTTCTTGAATCCATAACGTCCGTTACTACTCCTATCATCTCCTCCAAATCCGCCGCCACCTCTGCTTCCAAATCCTCCGCCTCCTCTGCTTCCAAATCCCCCGCCTCCTCTGCCTCCGCCTCCGAATCCGCCACCACCTTCAACAGAACACAGATTATGTAATTAAATTAGCCTTGATGATCATTTTACAACTTAATAGGCAAATCATGTCTACGTGTGAACAAAAAGCCAGACACAAATGTAATAAGAATGTAAACTCTTAAACAAACTAATTGTTTAATTAATTGTTGATTAAACAACTCTTAAACGTAATCGGTAAGGTAAACCAAGTGACTTGCATCAATTCAAGATGTAAAAAAATAAATTCTTCAGTATCTGGAATCTGAGCACGTACTCAGGCGGGGCGGGAGGGTATTTAAAACATGAAAAGAATATTATCCAGACCTAGGTGCATAATTATTGCGGGTAGGCTTCCACTAGTTCGCGAACCAGTATGATCGGACCATAGGAACGGAGGTTTATGGGGTGAAAATTTGATACTCTCATTATTGCTCTTTAAACTTTTGCTATTTATTCTTAACTTATTTTGTAGAACTAAGGTTTGCTTAGTGCTTATTATATTTTGATCAACTTTAGTAATTTATATATTTTCATACCGTACTATAAACATTGAACAAAATAATCTTTGTTAGCAGCCAACCAAAGTACTCATCAAATCTAATGTTATTTAAATAGGGCACACCCTACATTTAGATATTTTCAAAGAAAATTTATGTTAATGAAAATTCAATCAGAATGTGAAAATTAGATAGTTCTGAATGTTTGCTGCAGCGTGAGGTTTTGCTTATTCAACTCTATTTGGCACAAATTCTTTCTCATATTACATTTATAAAAATCCTAAGAACCGCAATACTACACATTTGATTTAAATAAATTAATATCACTAAATATAACCTCTCACGTCCTTATCTTTTACTTTTAACCTACTGGTATTTGATTTTTAATATTAATTGCAAGCTATTTTATAAATAAATATAGGATGGAGAGGACACAGCTAACTCACCTGATGAAAGGTTGCAGATGAGTCAAAGAACACATAAAATCACACACATAATGTGTAAAGTAATTTAAGTATATTATGTGTGTGATTTTATGTGTTCTTTGACTCATCTGCAACCTTTCATCAGGTGAGTTAGCTGTGTCCTCTCCATCCTATATTTATTTATTTAATCCAAGCTAAATGCTTTTTCCTAAAAACATAAGCTATTTTATAAGTATCGTACAGGGTTAAATCTAGTACGAGTTGGTTCATCTAAGGCCATTGTTTGATTCCTTACCACCACTGTTTCCATCATCCGGTTTGTCAGTCTCACATTTCTGGCATTGTTTGCGCCAGCCAAAATTGCTGTTGTTACACTCAGAATTAGGGCAATTCCAATCCCCCTCTCTTCCACCTAGAAATGGATATTTCAGTTAGTTTATTGTTGGTATAGAGGTTGATAATCTCTGCCGGTATGACTGATACACAAGATGAGGAAATAAGACCATCATGGACAAAAGACAATATTGGTACCTATATCTGAAAATTGGAAAATAGCTGATTAAATTGATCCTTTATCCAAACATTGGTTCTGTTCCACACCCAACCACAATCCTGTTGACCATTCATTGACTCACCATTTCATTACTTAAGATCACTATAATAGTTTCTTCTCATGCTCAAACTCGGTGCTGAAACAAGATGCTGCTAAGCGATTATCTTAAAGAAGGTAATTACTCAGGTTTGTCAGGTAAAAGTTAGTTGAAGGGTTTGTAGTGAGTGATTTAGAGAAATTCAACTAAGTATTGGCCTACCTCCTCCAAATCCTCCGCCACCTCTGCTTCCGCCTCTACTTCCAAATCCGCCGCCGCCTCTACTTCCAAAACCACCACCACCTGCAACCAAACAGAGGTTACGTTATTAAATTAGCCTTTCAACAATTTGGATGGTGAATATTACCTTATTCAAAACAATACAAAACAGAACCCACTCAAATCCAGACCTAAGTGCATTACATATTGAGGGTAAGCTTCCACAAGTTCGCGAACCACCATGATCAGACCACTGGGAACAAAGGTTTATGGAGTAAAAATTGGATACTCTTCATTTTTTTCTGCTTAAAAAATTACTTTTGCAATTTCATTCCAATTGTAGAACTTTCTATATATTTTCATAGGCTAAGAAAATTGCACTAAAAGATTAGGCTACCTTTTGTTAGGTTTTCTGTCAACCTATGTTCTCATTCGACCTAATGTTGTTTAATGAGGGAATAGATTTTTTAAGGAAATATTTAAATGGAAATTGAATCAGGCAAATCCGTGGAGAAAACCGTAATGTTGAATGTTTGCTGTGGCGTAGAGTTTAGATAATTCAACTCTGAGACAAATTCTTTCTTAAATTATTATCATTTTTATATTTTATTTAAGAATTTGAAGGTTTGTAGAGACAAGTTTAGAGAGATTTAAATATTTATTGGCCTACCTCCTCTGTCATCATCTCTGCCTCCTCCGAATCCGCCACCACGACCTCCTCCTCTTCCTCCGAACCCTCCTCCTCGGCCACCGCCTCTGCCTCCAAATCCACCGCCTCCTCCGAATCCACCACCGTTGTCGTCATCGACGGGGTCGAATCCTCGTCCTTTTCCTACTCTGCTTCCAAAATCAGACTGGAAAGCGATAAATATTTATTAGTATACAAATAATGTAAAATGGACTCTTGTAGCAATATAAACATTACGAACTGAAGTGAACATTCACGGTTTTACTATTCATTGCCTACCCATTCTTCAAAACTGACATTAGGGGACAGTAACGTATCATAAGATCAAAATCTCAAAATCTATACCTATAAAATAAATGTAGTATTTTAGGGCCTAAATTAGCAAACATAATGATTAACTGGATTTAAGACTATTTGTTCCCGATTTGCGACTTCAATCTGAAAACGATTTATAACTTAGGCAATTTGCTTTATTGGGCCTAAATGACATGCCTAAGTTATTCAATTTAGAATCAGTTTTACATGACAAGGTTAACATGAATCAAAAATTAGTATTCCTGAACATCTATTACCCTATATCTAAAGTTACCTGAAAGGAAGATGCGGGGGGAGCAGCAGGAGTTGAAGGACCATCATCCCAGTCATCGTCCATGTTGAGATTCTGCAAGTCAAAAATTCTAGGCTAAGTTAGCTAAAAAAATATCCTAACTTAAGTTAGCTTAGGCCTACGTTAACGCTCTGTGTGGTGTTTAAGAGTTCTTGTAAAAATTTAATCAATTTGAAACTAGGTATACAAAGTTGAGCACTTTAGATGCATAGCCTACGCATAGGCCTACTGATTAAAAATCTTAGGCCTAATTTAACTTAGGGAGTTTCGGTCTAGACCTACTAAGTTAACTTAAGTTAAACATTTCTCAAACAGAACTTTAACCCTAGATCTGGCGGTCATTTTATTCACCAGTGGCGGTAATATTTTGGCCGATTTGTAGTGGTACCATATATTTAGCAAAGAGCATTTATATGTGAATATAAGTAGTACACACCCTATATATTTTCAGTTTCAGCTGATAAATGTAGAATATAGGCCTAATAATATAAAAATATTTTTTCTTAGCAATGCGTTTAGGAGTAGGCCTAAGTAGTTTAGCAAAAGGTTTGCAAATTTTTGGATTAGGATATGCAAATTATAAATTTTGAAAGCAACCCACAAAATAATTGTTTTACAAATTTTATCTAAATGTAAAGGTTGTGTAAAATATGATTAACTTATCTAAGAAATACATCTTGGCCTATGTTTTTTTAAATTCTCACAAAATAAAGTTAAAAACAAATTCTACATAAGTAGGCTACCTACATATTTTCTTTTTTGAAAAACTACAACGTAACTTACCGTATGTTCGGAAATAATAGAATGCATTAAGCCTAACAGAAAATACATAAAAATGATTCTGTACAATAGGAAAAAAAAAAAGATCTCTGAGGCCTGTCTGAAAATGTATAGTTATAAGGCCCCGTTTATGCACAAAGAGCGGGAGCGGGGCGATAGCGGGCCCACTCCCGCTGTGAATGGGGCTGTTTATGTACGAAGAGCGACAGCGGTAGCGGTTGGTTAAAGGAGAATGGAAGGGGGACACAGTCTTGCCAACTCAAACTCTGCCAAACAATTAACACAACTACCTACATAATTTGTCCTAAGTGCACATGCGCGTCAAGTTGGCAACCCTGGCTTCAGCCGCTCCCGCTCCCGCCGTGCATAAACAGTCCCATTTGACTCAATGTAGTTGAAAACCGCTCTATCCCAAGCAACCGCTGCGATTTCTAACTACACAGTGGGCGAATTAGAAACCGCAGCGGGAGGTCAACCGCTACCGCTCTTCGTGCATAAACAGCCCCATTTAACTCAATGGTGTTAGAATTCTAACATTTCTCAGCAATTTAGGTTGGAATATATTAAAACTTTGAAGATTTTTTTACGGAAACATAATTTTTATGACATTTTTTAAACCAAATAACTTAAGTTAGCCTAAAATGTTTACAATCAACCCCATAGATTCAGAGGTAAGTTAATTGTAGGGAATTTATTTCAGAATAGGCCTAAGTTATGTACTTATACTTATTGAAGGTACGGTACAATTAAATTGACAATCACCAAAAACAGCTGTTTTTGTAGTCAGGTGACCAAAACTTTCCACCGCCAAAATCTATTTTGAACTCTCTAGTTTTTCAAACTAAGTTAGTAGGCCTACTAAGTTAAGCTATGTTTCTCTCTTCATAATACTCACTCAATAATGTAACTTAATTATGCATGAAAATTGGGTTTTAATACGGTTTTTTATATTTTAATAATAGAAAAAAAAACTACCCATGTCGTCTTGGTACCGATAATCGACCAGCGCAACTGAGAACTCGCGTTTTAGTGGTTGAAGATCGACCAGTGCCTGATAGCCTAGAGGGTTAAGTTTTTAAGTTAAGATCTTACAATTCTTTCAGGCATCCCTTAGGTACTTCAGGGTTGTTACTTACTTAAACTTAATTTTGAAAATAAAATTCCCTGACTTTTCCAGGTTTTCCAGACTGATATTAAGTTATACCTTTTCCAACATAGCCTACCGTAAGTCGATATCGATAGTCATCACCCTGACACCCAGACTTAACAAAATTCCCTGACCTTACCAACCCTGAACTTATTCCTTAAAAGCTTAGCCTAGACTTGTTTTACGGTACTTAAGTTAGGCCTAGGGCCTTACTGTGCGGATTATGAGCTTTACAACAATAAGTTTTAACTTAACCTCAAAATACTAAATAAGGCCTACAACTTAAACATCAAAAGATTAAAATTTCAATGAGAAGCGATTGGAAAATGGATCTAAGCTAACCTTAATAACTTAGGCCTAGGTAAAAACAATAAAGTTAACTTAGCCTACCTAGGGTGACTGGAGTCTAAACCTTCGCTAACTCATCACGATGTTGTCCCCTCCTGGCACTGCGGAGTGGGGGAAGCACAGCATTCTATTGGCTGAGGGAACACCATTACTAATGGATAACGTGCCACGCTGACAATGTAAAGGTACCAGGTTCGAATCCTCTCGGGAGCACTAACTTTTTGTCTAAGATTTTTGCATGATCAGCAAGTTTGGTTAGGTTATGACAGTTTAATTTGTTAATTAAAACATTATAAAATTCAATTTGAGCTATTATAGTTTTAGTTTAGAACTATTTTTTTTTCTATTAGTAAACCTTCGTTCGATTTTTTTATTATCAGCAAGTTTGGTTGGTTTTGTTAGGTTATGACAGTTTAATTTTATAGTTAATCTATACTATTATAAAGAAGAGGGGGTGTCTGTGTGTGTGTTTGTATGAGCTAATCTAAAAAAATACTGATCCGACTATGCTCAAATTGCACACAAATGAAGCTACAGCTCCGAGGATACATATAGAACTATTGCCGCTTCGATATTCACCTAGGGCTTTGCCCCGTGGGCTTTCAAAAATCTGAGATGAGAGATTTAAAAGTAAATATTGATTGATGGTATCCATGGTAACAAAGAACAAACCTAGTAAGTTTAAAAATGTAAACAAGCAGAACTAACTAACTGTCAAATTGATTTTGATTTCACAATTCCACCCAGCTGGTTCAAACCTTATTAAATACTGCACGAATATTAGAACAGAGAGGGTAAGGATTATAAATTTAAAATAATTATGTCACTAGCCTGAATGTAAACATTATTTAACATTACCTAAAGGAGCTGCCAAACCATATGTAAATGTAATTTCATTATTATAGGATTGTTTCGGTAACAGTACTTCATTTGTTTATGATCTAACTATACTGAGTCTGTTTGTTAATTATACTTAAATATACTTAATTTTGTGAAATTAAATGTTGTAATAATATTCATTTATTTTTATAATAATTCATTGTAAAAGAAATCATTCGATGGATATAGGAAATAATCAACATTCTATATTGCCTTATCAACCTAGGCCCTTATCCTGAGTTATGAGGTATATTCTTTTGATTTATTTGTTTGTAAACAGTAATATAATCCCCCTGTCCCAGCAAACCTATAACTGAGCGAATTCCCGTTTGCCTGATTATAATTTCACTAAAATATGTTAGAAAATTGCCCTATTAACATGTTTGGAAATATTGTGATAGGTTTTCGTTTACAGTGCAAACCATTAAACACATTCTTTTATTATAGGTATATGTGTGCTACACTATAGGATACCGTATAAATTAAAAGACCATATTTTCTTAAACCGTTTCCTCTCCCATCACTGCAATTATCATGTTCTACTTATATGCCAACCCCGTACGAAGGACGGGTATTCTACTAGTAAATTATAAAATTGAATTTAAGGCATTTATAATTTTATTTTATGAACAGAACTATTTTTTCGATTAGCAAACCTTCATTCGCTTTTTAATTTATATCTTTTTTTATATAATCTGCAAGTTTGGTTGGTTAGGTTAGTTTATGACAGCTTGGTAATTCTGAGCAATTACTTGGTCAACCCCAATTTTGTTCATATTTTACTACGGTCATCAGGAGGTTCTCAGAAAGCAAGAAACATATAATTCAAGGCCCGCAAGGTTAAGTTAGGTTAGGTTAGGTTAGGTTAAGTTAGGTTATTAATTAACCTAACCTAACCTAATCTAACGTAACGGTACTGTTACAATTGGCCTTAGAGATGTATTTGAGACTAAAAAAAAAACATAATAAGTTAGGTTAGGTTACATAGAAAAGGATTGTCGGAGGAACCACTAGCCATAGCCATAACGATACTGTCACAACTAACTGGCCTTCCGCGCGTCTCCCGCAAGCCACTGTTATCGCTTGTACTTTGAACCTTCTTATCGCTCGGCAACCTGTACGATGGCCTTGCGGGCCTTGAATTATATGTTTCTTGCTTTCTGAGAACCTCCTGATGACCGTAGTAAAATATGAACAAAATTGGGGCTGACCAAGTAAGTAATTGCTCAGAATTACCGACAGTTTAATTTTATAAATATTCATTTTTTAACTTATTGAAAAACAGCAGTATAGTTTTATGCATGTAAAACAACGCGGGCTTGTTTGGACGCCGTCTAGAGGGGAGGTGGAGGGAGAATCATTTCCCCCACTCCGCAGCGCCAGGGGACAACATCGTGATGAGTTAGCGAAGGTTTAGACTCCAGTCCTAGGGTGACAACATTTTCAGGACTCAGTTAGGCCTGAGGAGATAGGCAAGACAAATTGATTCCAAATCAAAGAGGGATAAGTTAATTTGGTCTCTTGCAAATAAGTTATCCCAAGCTAGACATAGGGTAGCCTATGGTGCAACTGAGTGATGGCCTCCAGATATTAACTTAACCTAGTTTTAAGCTGGGATAGGCCTACTCTATTTCAGATCTAGGTGTCTGGTGTACACCGATGTAATAACGAAAGCAACATATTCCGAACTATTATAGTATTAAGAAACTATATTTTAAGTGAAGTTATTTGGTTATGGGTCTAAGTTTGGCAGGACATGAGTAGACCTGCTTGAGAGGAACCTTCGTTCCGATGAGTATTAATTTGTTATTAACTCATCTGATTGTTGTAGTGAAAATAAATATTAATAGTCGTAATACTCACCTTGAGTTTATGAGCAAAAGAAAAAGCCGGGGCTCAATTAAGTCAACGTGCTCTGTAGGCTGTAACAGAGAGAAGAGGATGAAAAATGGCGATGGCGGTGGTGGGATGGGTTGGTTGGACTTGGACAGTGAACCAGCAACAAGGAAAAAAGAAGATAAAGATTGAGATTGCCGAAATGCCAATGCCGAACGCGAAATTGCGGATTGCCGGGTTCCGGGTTAGTTTCGTTCAGTGTTGCCAGAGTGCGCTTTCATTTCAGGCTAAATTCCCCTTTAAATCCCCACTTTGTAATGATGTAGGAATTACGTAAATTAATAAGAGTAAATATAAGTATCTTACATCCACTTTAGTGAGAGCTAAGAAGTGAGGATTGCCAAAGGCAAAAGAAAATCTTTGAATTTCTGATTAAATTAATCGCAAAATCACTGCACAGCTTTGAAATGTCCAAAACGGGTAAATTTTACTTTTTGGTCAACCCTGGTTAGCAGGTAGTTTTTGGCGCGACCGGACGTTCACTTCAGACCAGGGCAAAATTATTACGAGTTGAGCCATTGATCATAATCACAATGATATCTTTAAATAGCGTTTTATACATAATTCCTTGTTACAATTTTCGTATTACTGCGATTTTCAGTTCTTTAGTGGAGATAAAATTCATAGATTAAAAAAACATACTCTCGTCCCGTATTATATAGGTATTTTTTTAAACATTGATATAACCATTACTAATGGCAAACTGAACGAAAAAGACCTCTTATTGGGTGAGGGCTAAAATATGTAGTTACCGGCACTACAGTACATGGTCTAAAAGATTTACAAAACTTTAAGTGATTTCCAGGCATGATTTTACAGACCTGAACTAAGGCCTGATTTCGTCAGAAAAACATATATTTTTGACAATTTTGCTAGTTAGTACAGGAGTAAGTACTCTGGACTAATCTTCCTACTCAGACAAAATAATTGTGGGGACTGTAACATAATTGTCTCCCTACAAGTTGAGTCCAACCCGACTCAAATAAGTGCTTTTCCAGGTCCCTTTTCTTTTAGCAAATTTCCCATATAGGGAATAAGCTATCAATGTAGGTCTCATGGTAAGATCTAGACCCGGGACCGATTTAATTTTTTGATTTGCGCAAAAATGATCCGATTTTGATGAAATTTGGTACAAATGTGTAAACCTACGTTTATACGAACAAGTTCTTGAACTAGCATATTCAGACTATGGGAACGAGGGTTTATGGGAGTTTTACGGAGTAAAAATTGATTTTTTCCCATTTTGACCCTAAAAACACAAAATTTTATAATTTCTCTCAAGACCATTTTGTATAGCTTAGAAAAAGAAATAATTTTGTATATTGAAGCGTTGAAGTGTTTTGTATGCCCAACGGTTACGGAGATAAAAAAATTTAAAATTTACCATGTTATTCTTATGGAGAATAAATAAACTGTTGTAGTTTGCTTTATGGATATTATATTTTATTCAAATTTGGCATTTTTGTTTATTTCATACTAAGCTATCAACATTTCAATAAAAAACACACCTCAATATCTTCCCCGTAGCAGCAAACCTAAGTACTCACTAAAATTAATGTAATTTAAATAGGAAATAAATCTGACAATTTTAGAAGAAATCCAGCCGGGTAAATGGAAATTCGCTTATTCTGCAGGTTTGCTGCGGCGGAGGTATTCTTGCTTGTGGCAATCGTTTTGTTACCTCCTCAAAATTAACTAAAAAAAAACACAACTTTATAATTTTTTAAACAGGAAACCACAAAATGACACGGAACTATTGTGTAAGGAAAGTTATAAGGTGTCGTGTAGCCTACAACATACCTAATAACTTTTCTTACACAATGGTTTTAGTTTCTGTGTCATAAAAATATAACTATAACTAAACAGTGTAAGGAAAATTACTAGGTATGTTGTAGGCTACAAACCTATAGTTAAAACATGCCTAGTAATTTCATTTACACAGTGGTTTTGGTTTATGTGTCATTAATGTAGTTCTATTTTTGGGGTTTACTGTTAAAAAAATTTTAAAGTTTTGTTTTTGTTGACTTGATTTTGATGAGGTAATCAAACGACTGCCACAAACAAGAAAAGGGGCCTGGATAAAAGCACTTATTGGAGTCGGGTTGGACTGGATACAGCGAAAGAAGTGTCATCAAGAAAGACATATATTTCCCAATTTTAAACAAGTGATGGGAAGTCATTGTTAAAAAAGAGGAAAAGCACTGGCCTGAGAACCGACCCTTGATGCACTCCACTGATCATTGACTATGGATGATCTGTCAAGTCACAGACATCACTGTTTTCACCTCCCTGTATTCTCTTTGCATGTAAGAAGTAAGTCAATCTAGTGGCAGCCTTTATGTTGAATGAATAGCTTCTGTTTGGGAAAGGTCATGATCACCGAGTCCTATAATATTTCTCACCTTTGACAACAAACAGCAGCCACAGCAGGCAGTATTGGATCCTGATATATTGAACCAAGCCGACCATGATATATTGTGGCCTTTGTTGACTTTTTAGAGTTATCTAGCAATGTATGTTTAATCAATAGAAAATACACTAATTTTTTAAGTGCTTAGAAAAGGGTAAATACGATCAATATAGGCCTGAAGTTATCACATGGACAATTATCCCATTTTATAATTATATAGACTTCACATCATCAAAGATTTTCTAAGGACTCAGGAAACTGGCCAGACAGGAATAAGGGGTGGTTCATTACATTTAGAGTGAGTCATAAAAACACATTTCTTAATGGCCTTAAGAAATTCTAAATTTAAACCATTCCTACTACTCACACTTTGAAATGGGAGGTTTAACCTTGCACCGTTTTACAATTATACCAATTTATAACCACCGATTAAGGTAAGTGAAAACACAAGTTTTGTATTAAACACAATTAGTATTTAATGAAGCCAAAACTCTTCACAATAATTACAAAATTACGTACAACAAAACAAATACATTTGGCACTGGCGATACACGGCCAGTCACCGATCCTACGACAGTTGACGATAGATATGATAGGAATTGACATGAAAACATTGATTATTGTCCCTGGACTATTGATACGACGATCTACTCAACCCCAGCTTCTAAATGCCTCACAAAACTACGTAAAATAACATTGGTTACGTATGAGAAAATAGTCCAATGTACACAGTTGCATCATGTTACATCGACAAATAACATATAAAAGTATAAATAAATGACCCCAAGGCTAAATTCTAAGTTTGTCAACATTTATAAAAAGCTCTTTTCATTGATAGGTTGTCACAAGGTTAAATAACAACGGATGTTTTATGTACACAAATGATAAAATGGTGACTAAAGTAAAATAAAAATTAGTTGTATGTGTTACACAATAACTAAATTAGTAACCGAAAAGGTAAGTATACAATCGATTAAAAATTTGTCCATAAAAAATATGTCAAACGACTACAACAGAAAATAACATATCAGAACCACGTACAGTCTTGGAATGTTTGATATGGCTATTTCACTTAACTAGCAAAACTGTTAGAAAGAATTAACAATTGTTAATACGATCTTACTCCAGGGAAGTTGAAACATCCACAAAAAGGCAGTGAACAATGACAAATTTTACATTTTAATCAAATGCAAATCAGTGTGAGGTAAACCTTTTATTCTAAATATCATAAATTAACTTGTTAATCAGTTTAAAAACTTAGAGCCAGTCATTGATAGTATGTACAAAGTAAATATATTAAGTTTTATTAATAACTTGATACTTGCAATTAATATAAGAGTTTATTCAAGAAGTGGATACATTTAGTACACAAACAGCAAGCACAGAATATAAAATAGATCAAACATTTTGTCCTACCGAGTGAAGCCAACTTCCAATCCAGTTTTCCCGCGAATAAAACAGCTGTTGTAAATAAATAAAAAACTTACCAACTTTATTTGTAACAAAATTTTACATTACTACGTTAATTTATAAAAACTATATTTTTTTTCTCAGTCAGCCAATAGGACTACTGGCAAACCTCCAAACTAAGTTTGGTAATTAATTGTAGCTTCAAGTAAAAAAATACAAAAAAACGCAATGACTTTGAAAAACATACTTTCTTATGTTTTAAGCGGCATGATTGGCTTTTCCCTACACGGCCAGTAATACTATCACTATCACATGTGTAATGACTCATTTGACATTTTGTGTTCGCTGTTTACAAGTAAGAACAATACAGGCCTTTTGACATACACTCAAGAAAACGTACTATAAAATATTTGACTACTTTTGAAACTAGAATGTTTTGATTACCTTTGTTCCTATGAGAAAATTAATCAACACATTGTATTTTGTTAATAATAGGGTGAAAAATTCTAAAAAAATATTAAATCTCCATAAACTATAAATTACCCTGATTTCTTATACCATGCTTAATCTAAAACTAAGTTGAACGATATGTACAACGAGAAGAAAACGAGAGTTTTATTTGGCAACAAACAAGGATAATATTTCTTCAACAGAAATTGCTGACAATGTAAAATTTAAACTGTCTAAAGTTACCAACAATAGTTGCCTTAGCGTATATTTAGATTTTTTACGGCCTTGTGATAGAGTTTAAAGTTAATTGTAACACTTAACATAAAACACTACAGTGAGGAGCACCACTACATAATTAACTTTAAATATGACCTTTTACTACAAAACTATCACATGTACACTATAAAATGATGTGGAAATATATAGGTACAAAATTAAAATTGATCAAACTCAAAAGTAATCACTTTAAGTATAATCATTAGGATTCATTTTCTACAATTTTGAGTGGTTATAGGACTTGCCTAGCAATCAAAAGGTTGCCGGATCGATCCTGAAAAAAGTCAGTAGCTTTTTGATAGTTCAAAACTGGACCCAGCTGTTGCTGATCATTAGGCTTTAAATAAATTATCCTGGCTAATGAAACAGCTGATCTTAGCCAGAAATAAAGCTACAAAGATCATCTCACTCCATTCTACACTCATCTTTCACTCATGTTTAGGTTAAAATTCACACCTAGGTGGCGTCTCCATCCCAATTGATAGTGATAATTTAAAATTATTGAGTGAAAACGAGTTTTGGATACTGAAGTAGACATCCCATCTATATGGACCAACTGTCGGCATTTTTTCATTAGAAAATAACCAAGTTGAGTGAGCCAGTAACAGTAAGTGCTATACCTTTAGCAATATAGGAGTGCCCGTGAAATGCATATGTTCAGGGGGCACTCCGATATTGCTAAGGGTACGTAGAGTGCCTTAAATTCTATTTTCTACCTTATTTGTTGTCACTGAAACAGTTGACATGATTATATTTGATAGTTGATACTATAACTTAAAATTAGTCTTTATATCAGTTTTACTTGGTTAAAAATCTGCAAATTTGAAAGAAGTTAGTAATTTACATCAGCACAATCTGTCGGTGGCTCATTTGAACGTTAATTTTGATTTAAAAACTGCTGACAACTTTAACATGGGCATAAAATGACATCTTCTATTAATAGTCAAAGGTAAAAATTATTAAAGACGTAATTGATTAATAATGGTGCTTTACCACAAGACCGTAAAACTTGAGAATCTAAAAGTAGGCATGGAAATAACTAGAAATACAAATAAATTCATAAACGTTCATAATCATTGAATAAATGGATATAAAAATAAATATAAAAATGGTTAAGACTAGAGTTAGCTGCTCATAAATAATAAAACATACCGTAAATCAAGGAGATTAATAAAACACTGAACGAACACACAGTGGTCACAAAACTCTGGAATTGCTAAGATTTTGTTTTTTTGTTAAAAGAATTAAATTTTTTAAACAAACAATATGGCGGATAGTGTTCTTTTAACAACACAGTAGAAATATTGTTTATCTTAAAAATAGAAGCTTAGTAGGGATAATAAAAATTATTTTATCTACAAAATGCCCATGTAAATAATGTCTGCATTTTCTTTTTTAAATTTAAATGTAAATAAACTTGATTTGTAAGAGGTTTGAGGGGTTTTCAACAAATTTGATATCTTCAAATTGTAATTCAAGATAAATTCCATAACTTTATTAAGTTTCTGTGTTAATATTGAAATCAATCTCATTGTTTGTTTCTTAAAATACCTTTACGTACCAAGGCAAAATAACCTATTCACTAACAAATAATTACCAATACAAAAATTTCTAAATGAAATTGGTAATTTAAATGTATAAAAAAACTACGTCCAGAGTTTTTTAACACCCTGTATATACAATACATAAACATTCATAGAAACTATTACAGCAAAGGTAGACTCAGTTCATTTTGCAAGGTTAAACACTAAAATTTATTACATAAATCGGAAATCGTTGTCCTCATTTTAATCTAGGGATGTATGAAATATTGTCGCTTTATTCAAAACGAACACAATACACCGTTTTCAGTGTCTGGTTTAATCTTTAGTACAAACATATCTAAGGTTATATGCTAGTTATAATTTCTTAGAATAATTTGCATTGAACTATGCAGGTTTCATCACCATCAAGTTTTAAAAACATTACTACTTATATCAGCGGTAAACAACAAATTGTATTAGCCAAGCGTTTGTAAGTACTTTTGCCAAATATGTATTTCAAACGGGAAAATTATCGATTAGAAATAATAAACAGATTTAATATGCTACAAATCTTTTTGTGCTTCAGACTAAAACAATGATCAAATCTTTCCCATCGAACAGATAAAAGATCGTAATGCATCACTAGTATTTAACATAACAACATTTAGGCCAACAATATATCGAAAGTTGAACACAGAACGAAACAGACCATGGACGTGGTAACATACTAAACTATTTGGAAGCCACATAAAGGAGTATGGAAATTAACGGTAGTTTCACTACAATTATCTAAAAATATTACAGTAGGACGTCTTTGGTTAGCTTTCGATTCAGTCTAGCCGAGTCGTTTTAGTAACTCGTGAAAAGACTGTTAGATACCGACAGCAACCGACTACTATACTAATCTTGGATCGCAACTGAACACAAAAGGGAATGCTTAGCTGGTTCAATGAAGCGTTGATTGGTGAACAACGGATAGTAGGCCTACTAATGTACAGTTAAATGCCCAGTTACTAAATTAGAGAAAATTAAAATAAACTTTACAGCCTAATCAAAAGGTTTTGAAGGGAAAATTACTTATGTACATGTACAGAAAAAATGTGAAAGCTACTAATGAGTAAGAAGTTTATGTCGAGTTGAAACTTCTTATGATGCAATGATAAATTTGAAAACCATCTAAGCAAGAAGTGGCCAATCCTAGGTTTTGATATGTGCTACGTTTTGCAGGTTTTGATAATCGGTGGAACATATATAGAGTCAGACGTTTTCATGGTACATGAAAATAGATTTTGACATTTTTGAAGCGCATCCAAAAATCTTGTGTAGCCAAAACCATCCCCGAAACATTGAATGTTACAATTAATTACAGATTAGGTACCCTAATTCTGCTCCGGCCTAATCACCTAACCCATTTAGATTCTCCCCTAAATTCCATTCTTTCGATTAGTTAAAGTTTTTTAGCAAAGCAATCCTCTACAAAGGTGAAAATGGGGAGATAATTTACACTAAATTCACCCAGGATCACCTCCTAACGGAATAGACCCAATTCGTTGTGCAAAAACGTCTAATTCTGTAAAGTTTTTTAATATTGACTGTTAATACTAATCATATAAACCATATACTTAACATAAGCTACTCTACTCTGGTGGGTTAGAAGGGTGTGTATGGCAGTGAATGCGGAGACAAGTTAAGGAGGTACGTAGGGGGGAGGCTTACGGTAGGTAGGGGTGGGTTTGGGCCTCCCTGAGTCCCTAGAGAGGGGGAAGGGGGGCGGGGGCTGGTACGCCTCCGTGTCCGACAGAAGAGCCGTCCGCTGGTGGTACTCTGGCGGAGGCAGTGGGGGCTTCTCCTCCTTCATGATCACCGGACTTTTATTCGCCGGTTCTGGTCTTTCTTCCAGTTCGTCCTGCGGAAAATAAAAAATTTCTGATGGAGTAATGTTTTTATGCAATTTGTTTTACCCATTCAAGTGTTATTGTTATTAAAATGTAGAGACTACAGATGGGCTCCGATCCGGAAGAATTGGGAGTGGACCTCATCCGGATAGTAAAAATTCCAGATAATGGGATTTAGAAAAAGCATACAAGACAAAGACTCACCGCAAGGTGAACACAATAAATTGTCTGTAAACTGCAAAAAAAAACTACGTTAAACTTAAATTTTACCAAACAAATTTATTTTTACACCATGCGATTTTTTACTATCCATATGGTTGGCCAATAATTGAAGTTCTACTATATTATCACACTGTACTATACACACCTGGAATATGACGGGGATTCCTTTACTACGGAAGCTCTGGCGCTCGTCTTCGCTGCCGACAGACATCTTGCCAGTTCTGTGTCTTCTGTACAACACACAGGCCACCAGACCGGCACACAGCAACATGGCTGCAGACGACAAACGTAGCACATCAGTACAACAAATAACACAACAGCTGATAGTCCAACAGACAGACAATTACTGACAGGATTACAAGACAGTTCTCTAAGAATAAATGTTGTATTATTAGTCTATTTCTTTACTTTTCCAAGATATTGTTAGTATTTAATAAAGCTAATTGATGAAAAATACATTTAAATTTTACAAACAATTTTAACAGCTATAAAGGAAGTTTTTTGACACCTTTGGAAAGAGTTGCACAAGTTGTAATTTTGATTGATCTAGTTATTTTAGTTGTTTTATTGATGGTCAAGTTTTGATTATTTTCTATTTTAAATCAATATATATTTTATATCAACGAGAAATCAACTTTTATAGCCTAGGCCACACTTAAGATCATTGTTTCCATAGATCAAATCTTGAATATCACCTGCATTCGTGAAGACATTATAATCCTGCCATAGTGGTGAAATCGAGAGCATCCCTCGTGATCGGTAGACATTATCACCGTTGCCAACATTGCACCAAAATATTGAACGTCAACCCTATCCCACAGCATCAATCGGGGGAAATGCTCTTAATTTTCTGGTAAAACTGCGACTTTTAAAATCCGAGCCATCCTTACTCAAAATCCTGGGCAAAGGAAGGTAGTAAAATGTAGTACAAAGCTGAAATTTCAGTGATAATACCATCAACTTACTGACCTGCTATGACAACCGCTGGTACAACCACTGTGATCAAGTACTCTTCGTGAGACCTAGACACGGGCCGTACGTCCCCACTGGGGTAGACTGGCTCAATGGGGTGAGTCTCTGTCAGGGCTCCCTGGCATCTGTGAAAAAAATGCTGTATGTTATCGAACACTTATATTCAAAATATTAATATTTTCAACAGATGTCTATTACGATGACTTGGGAGGATGAGCGAAAGGTCCCCAAAAACACTAGTTGCTAGTGGTATTGAAATTAACAAAAGCAATGGAGGCAGATGAACTATTTTTAAAACTTAAAACTACAGTAGTATAACATGGTTGGGGCAAGCTGTACATCTCCTACTGTACAGTCACATAGGCATCATCATCGTCTCTCGTGGTCACGGAAATTTCAGAAAAATCTACAATATCTCTCATGGTCTTATAGACATCATCATCTTCTGCGATCGTGGCAAAATCTTGAATACCTCTTGCGGTCTTGAGACATCTTCATTGTCTTTCAGGTTCGTGGCAAAATCTTGAACAACTTCCATGGTCTTGTAGACATCATAATAATTAACTGTCTCCTGCGGTCACAGCAAAAGCCAAATATTTTGGTTGCAAAATCTTTACAGATGCTTTCTGCCATCAGAACAGTGAAAGTTCGGCTCCAGCTTGATTTTTTTTACTTGGTGCTCGATTACTCAAAATTTTAGGATATACTCGGAAATCAACTTATATAGATCAATTGTATTATTTATAACCCAAAAGTTCCCTAAAAATCTAACTATCTCAACTTTTTGCATCCGAATGTGGTATGGGTCCCAATTGATTCAGATAATTGCAGTTAACTGTACTATAAAAAAGAACAAAGTTTAGGGCATTTCATTGAAACAAATGTGTTAGAAATAACTTGTACATGTTAACAATTACTCGACTTTAGTACACAGCCATTTGATCAAATAAAAAGATAACCTTGATTCTTTCAGTTGATTCTATAACCTCCATAAGTAGATTTTACAAATAAAGATACAATAACCTTTCATTTACATACTATAGTGATTCAAAACTACACAATTATGATATTCTATTAGTGTCAACCAGTGAAATAAAATACAATCACTTAAATAACAAACAACTGCACAATGAACTTACAGGTACAAAACAGACATACACTCCAACCACATAATGTTGACAAATCATCGACAGCACAACACAGTGTATGTTATCTATGGTGTTCAGGTGTAGACTACATAGTGTTGAACTACAGCAGTCATCCAGTTCACCTTGAGCTAATAACTGGCTGTGTGTGATAGTGATTATCCGTGTGAAAAACAGTGTGTTTATGGTAATTAAATACCTGTAGTTTGTTGTGTAATTTGACAAAATATCACTAAAGAAATCACTTAAGTAATGTTATCTGTAAAAATAAACAGCAATTCGACACATACCCCATAGCCATTAGCTTGTCAACAACCCTTGTGGGCAAATTGCGGGGGTAACTATGACACAGAGTAAAATCACAACAGTTGTAATACATTTTGAGCCACGATTTTTACAGAATTTTGGGTTGTACCATTTTGTTTAGAGTTAAAAGGAACATAACATACCGTGTAAAAACATTGCTGTGGTAAAAATCTGATTTTCTGTTATTTTATGGAGTTTAAAAGGAAAATTACCATTAAAAATAAAAATTTTAAAAAAATATTGGAGGTACTATAGATTAGTAACAAAGTACAAACACACCAAATCTCATCGAAATCGAACAATATGTGTAGTCTGTAGCTTTGTACACATCTAGACACACAGATATTACTTCGAAAACCACTGGTTTGGGTTCAGGAGGACTAAAATGGATATTTCCATGCAAAACTCAAACTCTAAAATTTAAACAATAAATACTTTCTCCTTATACTGTACTGTGTACAAGGAGGGAAAGTAAAACCCAAACATAACCGAAACACAATTATATAAATGAAGCAAAAAGTAAGATAGTGAGGGGTTGGGTAATGTGTGTTTTATTTGTGATACATATTTTTTAATATCATTATTGTAAAACATCAAAAATGTATAGTATATGACTAGCCAAAGACTCATTTCAATCATGAGTACAAGTTTCTAATTTTTACTAGCATGAAAATTGAACAAAAAGAATCATAACAATTAATGATACACCAAATTACAGATAATAACAATTTTTTTTGTAATTTGAAAAATACAAAAGATAAGATAAGATCAATAAGAATTTGGCTAGATGTTGTGGCCTGACAGAAGCTGAGATCAAACAATACTTGAAAATGGTCGGAGACGTTGTTCCCTTCCTTCGGTATACATATATTTTCCAGACTATACTCCGTTCACAAAATTTAGGTGGTTTGAGGGGAAGTTCACGAACCACTTTTTTCTGCTTCATGTATATTGCATCTGATTGACGTTTTGAAACATCTCAGCTATTGAGCTATGTATTAATTCGGATCAAGACGTGATGAGCTATGTTGAGGTAGGATCAAGACGTGGAGGGGATAGATTTCTACCCCTAAACCGCCTAAATTTTTTGAACGGAGTATAGTAACGTAATATACTTCTGCTTCAGATTTCACCAGACGACACTAAGTTCAACGTACCTGGCGGTGGGGATGAGGGAGGCTTTCACCACGGGAAACTCTGGCCCTAGCACTGTGTTCACCTGGTTAGACAATCGGCTTTCGTCTACTAGGAGTATCTGCAACGTAACATGTCAGTGAATTTGTAATGTAGCTTACTCGGGAGTGTCAGCAACAGACACAAATAAATAACAAGATCCATTTATATAAATCCCAAAGTACCCATGAACTTTAGAGAAAACTACGTCACACTCCCATAAACCATATACTTAAAATGTTCGTCATGACGAGAAACCTTGCACAAAACAATCCGTTATTTCATTAATTGCCCTTTAAGGTCGTAATTTCTTTCTAAAGGGAACTTTCCATATACCTACCTAATGTTAAAAATACCTCAGCTGTACCAAGCCAACACTAAATAAACAGGCCGTAATTTGAATTACTGCATGTTCCAAATCGGCCTGCCCTCTGTTTGGATTTTGAAATACCGAGTGTATTACACATGGAAACACTTTGAAATATCAAGGTATTGTCTACAAACTGAACTTTTATTCTGAATTATCGAATGTTCAACTGTATTTACCTGTCTCAGCTGTTGAATCTGTTCGTGAGGACAATACTCGGTAGGCAAGGATCGGTTGTGCCACACAATATGTGTCGGGTTGTCCGTGACTCCGCTAAACACTATAGCACTGGAGTTCCTGTCCCCGAACAACTCCGCTAGTCGCTCCACAAAGTGGCGCTTCATCGCAGGGTTGCTAGCGAAGTTGTCGTAGTCGATGTCTATGTCCATGGAGAACTCGACGTTGTACAACACCTTGGCTGGTGGCTGCACTACGACAACCAGTCCGTCGTAGGCTGTCAGTCCGCCACTGTCTTTGCACACCTGTGGACACAGTCGTGTCAGATGCGAGTTTCACCATTGATACAATTTTTATGTCCCATATTCTTACTACTATGGGCCGGAACTGTTTTATACAAGGCTAGATGGTAAGTAAGAGTTGTTTATGGTAATATTTGAGCAGTTCAAACAGATTCAAATGCTTTTTTTCTGCAGGTTCCTGTGGTATTTATTGTTAAAATGGTACAAGCTTTATCGCAGCATTGGAACGTCATACTGACCAGTTGGTACTCCTGTTTGCCCACATCCGAGCCAGACATGGGTATGCCGTAGAACTCCTGGTTCTTGGTGTCAAACTGCAGCCAGTGTGTTGGGTTCAGTGGTGATCTGTCCATGTGCAACACAGACAGCTCCATGTTGCGAGTGCTGCCGTCCTCGGGGTCGTAGAATGTGTCCTGAAACACAGGTCGATTGGACTGATTCAAATTGTGGAAAGTATATCCATACCAATTAAATAGCATTAATTTTACTGAACCATTTTCTAACTTTTAAGCATGTCACCTTTACCGAGAAGATGACATTTTCTGCAATTGATAAATACCTGAGTAAAGTTAAACTTGACTGGGACGGTGGCGTCGTCCTGTAATCCAGCTACTAGGTACTAGGAGGTCACGAATTGTGGATATTATAGGCATGCAATACTCCCTGGTGTGGATTAACGTCCGCACAAGTGAGTACAACGACTATCCGCAGTACTATCCTGATAATTAGACCAATTCGTATATACCAAGGAGAAAATGTGGTTCGGATTCCATAATAAACAGTAGGTCCCTTAGTTGCCATTAGGTGTAGGGGCTATTAATTAACAGCTGTCCTAAGGAATATGTCGGCCTTAGTCACTAACAAGACTACAAGATCGCGCCACTCACCCTACACTCATCTTCATTCATACTTGGCTTAAAACCTACTTTGTATGGTCGCCATTTGATTGAAAAGTATAAAGTATAAAGCACGAAGCAGAAGAGTTTTAATTTCACTGTGTGCTATTAATTAATGTCATTTGGTAGCTGGTTTGATCCCAAGCAAGATACCCAAAGCGATAAAATAAACTTGTTCTCGTTCTATCATCTAGTTTACTATATACAGTTGCCTATGGCTTGTGAATCTGTCGGCATAAATAATCCTGACATATAATTCCCGTTCTTAGAATGTACCACCACAGTGGCATCTACATACTAGCGGTTAGGTTAGCATATCACAGGTTGGGAACACTGGCGTAGCTACACATCTAAATCCTCAAAACCACTAGAAATTACACACCTTGGGTACAGTGTACAACATTTGGCAATGGGACATGAATTCAGTCGCAACAGTTCAAATAATCTTGACATATAATTTTTGTACAACAACGTACCACCACAGATGCACTTGCATACTATTAGTGGTTTTATCACAGGTTAAGAATATATTAATCAAATCCTCAAAAATAGTATAAATTATACCTCGGGCACAGTGTAGACCAGCAGCTGCCCCAGAGTGGCGTTGATGATGTCCACCTGGTTGCGGATGGTGGGGGAGAAGTTCTGCGTGGAGGGGGGCAGCTTCTCCGGAGGGGAGGGCGGAGAGTCACACGTACCCTTGCCTGTCCACGACACTCTCACCACCGTGATCTGAGGGGAGAGCAGATGTCTGACAGCGTCCGTCGGCTTGCCATCCTCATTGGCTCTCAGCACCTGCAGGACATTGGTGAGATGTAAGGATTGTAAGAAAATTATTGAAACCTACCTTTTCCCTTCTGTGGATCCGAATTTGGATTATAATTCTCTATAATCCACTACCTAAATCTTAGGTACAAAGAAGTGTTGAAAAATAAAAGAATGTTTGATATATCTGATTTAAAAATTACTTCAGATTAGTCCTAGAGGGTCACAGCATTATGATAAAATACTTTGGTGATTGGCGAGATTCTAAGGACGCTAGGCACGAGCCTGGGATTGTTTTTCACATTACTTCAGGCTAGACCTAGGGGTTGCGGCATTATCACTTAAATAAAATCCATTGCTGACTTGGCGGGGATCGAACCCGGGACCTCAGGGACTGAAGTCCCGCGCTCTAACCACTACGACAGCTCGCTCCCCAACATAGTAGACATGCATTAAGTCCACACCAACCCTTATGGAACTCAGTTATAACCCTTATTAGTTTTTAGTTTCTGACTGATGTAGGCCTTAAATCTGTAACTTACTTTGTTGTTTAAATTATTTAAAGTAGCCTAAGTTATTTAATGTTATAGGCCCTAATTGATATGCTAACCACTGGACATTTTATCCTTACAGATTACTGAGACTTCTTAGCCTAAGTTACTCTGATATTGACCTCAACTATACAAAATGTTCTTTTTGTAATTTGTTGCAATAAATTCTTGATTCTTGATTGATTCTTGACTCAGAAAGTCAGTACAATTGAGCTGTATTTTGTACAGACACAACCTTATTATACATCCAAACTACTGAGTCTGCTAAACTGTCTTGATTTTTGATGGGTAACTAAGAAACCTACCCTCTATTTCCACTGATTGTATAAGTAGTAGTGAAACAAAGTCTCACAACTCATGATTAATAGCTGCACTTACTTTTGAAAACATTTATGATAAGAAAAAATTGAATGTAGTATCAGCATTTAAAATAACCCACAGGCTGGGATGCCTTAAAACTATAAACCCACAACTACAAATATATTGATTGTGATTATACAAAAAATCCAGGTAGGCCAGAGTACAACACACAATACACATAAAACCAGACTATTTCATCCCCTGAGGAATTTTGTAACGTCGAGAGAGAGAGTTGGACAAAAAAATTACAATTTTTTTTTGTGAATTCTTTCTTCTGTGCATAATATAGCCATCCTGAATGCTAAGATAAGCTAGCTGCTATTCGCTTATTCAAAAATCACAATCTTAGCGTTGAACCTTAGCCAATAGCATACCTTGAGCAAGTTGTCAATCTGTTCCCTAGGACAGTGGTTCCTGGGCAAGGAGTCGTTGGTCCATGTGAAGGTGATGGGGTCATCCTGAGGTGTGACGCCCAACACTATGATCTTGTCAGAGTCAGAATCACCATACAGTGCTGCCAGTCTGTCTACTAGCTGTAGCTGCCACTCCACTGGTGTAGGTGTGCTCTGCAGTGCCAGGTCCAGTGTCAGGGCATGAGTCACCTGTACATATATTGAGTATCAACACTATGATCTTGTCAGAGTCAGAATCACCATACAGTGCTGCCAGTCTGTCTACTAGCTGTAGCTGCCACTCCACTGGTGTAGGTGTGCTCTGCAGTGCCAGGTCCAGTGTCAGGGCATGAGTCACCTGTACATATATTGAGTATCAACACTATGATCTTGTCAGAGTCAGAATCACCATACAGTGCTGCCAGTCTGTCTACTAGCTGTAGCTGCCACTCCACTGGTGTAGGTGTGCTCTGCAGTGCCAGGTCCAGTGTCAGGGCATGAGTCACCTGTACATATATTGAGTATCAACACTATGATCTTGTCAGAGTCAGAATCACCATACAGTGCTGCCAGTCTGTCTACTAGCTGTAGCTGCCACTCCACTGGTGTAGGTGAGCTCTGCAGTGCCAGGTCCAATGTCAGGGCATGAGTCACCTGTACATATATTGAGTATCAACACTATGATCTTGTCAGAGTCAGAATCACCATACAGTGCTGCCAGTCTGTCTACTAGCTGTAGCTGCCACTCCACTGGTGTAGGTGTGCTCTGCAGTGCCAGGTCCAATGTCAGGGCATGAGTCACCTGTACATATATAGAGTATCAACACTATGATCTTGTCACTGTCAGAATCACCATACAGTGCTGCCAGTCTGTCTACTAGCTGTAGCTGCCACTCCACTGGTGTAGGTGAGCTCTGCAGTGCCAGGTCCAATGTCAGGGCATGAGTCACCTGTACATATATTGAGTATCAACACTATGATCTTGTCAGAGTCAGAATCACCATACAGTGCTGCCAGTCTGTCTACTAGCTGTAGCTGCCACTCCACTGGTGTAGGTGAGCTCTGCAGTGCCAGGTCCAATGTCAGGGCATGAGTCACCTGTACATATATAGAGTATCAACACTATGATCTTGTCACTGTCAGAATCACCATACAGTGCTGCCAGTCTGTCTACTAGCTGTAGCTGCCACTCCACTGGTGTAGGTGTGCTCTGCAGTGCCAGGTCCAGTGTCAGGGCATGAGTCACCTGTACATATATTGAGTATCAACACTATGATCTTGTCACTGTCAGAATCACCATACAGTGCTGCCAGTCTGTCTACTAGCTGTAGCTGCCACTCCACTGGTGTAGGTGTGCTCTGCAGTGCCAGGTCCAGTGTCAGGGCATGAGTCACCTGTACATATGTAGAGTATCAACACTATGATCTTGTCAGTGTCAGAATCACCATACAGTGCTGCCAGTCTGTCTACTAGCTGTAGCTGCCACTCCACTGGTGTAGTTGTGCTCTGCAGTGCCAGGTCCAGTGTCAGGGCATGAGTCACCTGTACATATGTAGAGTATCAACACTATGATCTTGTCAGTGTCAGAATCACCATACAGTGCTGCCAGTCTGTCTACTAGCTGTAGCTGCCACTCCGGTGTAGGTGTGCTCTGCAGTGCCAGGTCCAGTGTCAGGGCATGAGTCACCTGTAAATATATTGAGTATCAACACTATGATCTTGTCACTATCAGAATCACCATACAGTGCTGCCAGTCTGTCTACTAGCTGCAGCTGCCACTCCACTGGTGTAGGTGTGCTCTGCAGTGCCAGGTCCAATGTCAGGGCATGAGTCACCTGTACATATTATGTAGAGTATCAACACTATGATCTTGTCACTGTCAGAATCACCATACAGTGCTGCCAGTCTGTCTACTAGCTGTAGCTGCCACTCCACTGGTGTAGTTGTGCTCTGCAGTGCCAGGTCCAGTGTCAGGGCATGAGTCACCTGTACATATATTGAGTATCAACACTATGATCTTGTCACTGTCAGAATCACCATACAGTGCTGCCAGTCTGTCTACTAGCTGTAGCTGCCACTCCACTGGTGTAGGTGTGCTCTGCAGTGCCAGGTCCAGTGTCAGGGCATGAGTCACCTGTACAAAGCAGCATAGGAGTTATATTACACCTTGACGTCTGAAGTAATCAGAAACGGTGGCGGATTTTCAATTCTATATGAGAAAAAATTATCCTTAACTTAACCTTTCGAGGCGGTTAGACGAATCTATCATAAAAAAAATTACTACAGTTTGACCAGACACTCTTGTCATTACCCAACCCGGTAGGTGGTGACATCTGACAATGAATCAGTGAACTGTTTCCAACTTGGACAGCACATTGTCGATCAGCTGTTATCTTTTACAGCTGTTCCTAATCATAGTAAGTGTGACAGAGATGTACCTAGGCCTATTTTTTTCATCAAAACCATGATAATTTGGTATGATTGAAGGTTATGAACTTTAGAGAATCATGTAGTGTAAATATGGACCTAAAATTCCAGTTGATACCCTCCTAGGTCTTTTTGATTTCTATTTTGAGGAAATTCTGAATCTAATTGGGCACCATCACCTATGCCGAAACAAAGGGCACGCCAAGATATAGTTTGGCACAATTTGGGAATAAACAACTATAACGAGTACTGACCGTTCTTCTGCCTTTGTGGTGTTGTACAGACAGTTCCAATGTGTCATTCACCACCAGACCTTCGCTGTCCCTTGCTTCCAGAGTGAAGCTCCATTTGGACACATGCTCCTCCAGTGGGCTGCGGACAAGTCATATCATTAGACACTTTATCTTCCTCATTTATAGAACAGTCGCTATTATATAGAGTTCAACAAGTGGCTTGAATGTAGAGCCAAGCTAAGTCTAACAAATTAACGTTTTTTACGCGATCTCAGATGACGACAATTAACATTTCAGTCATCTCAGGAGACGATGATTATGTCTCCAAGACCGCAGAAGATAATGATGATCTCCGACTGAATGAGGTGGCTGTCCAGGATTTGGCTGTGATTGTGGAAGACAATGTAGATCTTTGCTTGACCGCAGGTTTTGGTTGTGCGAAATTAAGTATTGTGTCAGGAGTGTGTGCTATGGTAAAGTTTTGTATGGCCTATTGTATTTAAAGTTACAATAACATTAATCCGTGTTGTGTCCAGTAGAATATAATCAACCTAATAGTGTCATTTAAATCTATAATATTAAAACGAAACAGGGTTTTTTTATTTCACGATTCTGAATCAACCACTTGACGGATTTTCATGATTTTTGTGTTGAAAGAAAGATAATTTTGAGAACTAGGGAATGTCGAAGCCATAATTTTAGTTTAGGGTCCCAGTTTTTTAGAAATTAAGTTTTAATTTTCAAAAAGTCTAGCAGCCGACGGACGAGTTAAAGTCGTTTTAGTGGTGGTTTAACTAACAGCTGGTTTCTAACTGTCATTGAAATGTTTATGTTACAAGTTGTTTGTATACAAAAATATTGATCCAGAGTTTGCCTACACACTATTTCCCCTTAAAATGCAGTTTATTACATACCGTAAAAGATCTATGTTATCAGAAGATTGTGTAATTTTGAACTAAACATTTTAAACGTATAATCAAGTTTTGTCATAAATGCAATCCGTCTAAGTATAAGTGCTTAATCCTTTAAGATATAAGTGGTTTACGTGTTGATACATCTTTTTCTAGATGTGTGAATATAAGTATGACTGCATACAGTACACATGAAAATGTCAACCGGTGTAGTAGGTCTCCAGAAAACTGACCAGTAAGCTGCAGGGTGTCAGTAGAAACCAAAATCGATTCATACCATATCATAACTATCCCAGTAGTACTGTATGATTCAGAAACTTGATAAAGGGGTACATTACAAAAGGCTCAGACCTCGGATGGGCTGAATAGGCTTTGCATGGCTTAGAGAATATACTTCAACTTTTAAAAGTGTATTCCAAGGAGTACTACAAGGTAGACGACCACTTGGAAGACCAAGTAATGAAATACATCTTCAGACTGGTATCTTCCTTAGAAATGGCAGGGGATAGAAGAGAACGGGAGGCCAGGATCATTTTAGAGGTTTCAGTGGCCAAGGTGGTAAAATAAGGTACGGTAAGTGATAGTAGGCCTATGCAGTGGAAGGTGGTATGTAGCTACTGTACTCAAAGCCAGTTTGTGTGAAGCGGCCACCAAGTTGTAAACTAGCTGTTCTGAATCATATACAGTTTTAATGGACTACTCGATTCCCGTACGTAGGACGGGCTAAACAGCTCGTTATATTTTTAAATTACAAATGGTAGGCCAAAAAATTTTCCCCCAAAAGGGTTAGCTTGCTATTTGATTAGCGGAACTCTGATGTACATTGTATTGTCGTAAATAACACTTACAGTGCGATAACTTCTTGATTCTCCGGGTTGAAGTGGATCCAAGAGTACTTGAGGGGAGAACCCTCCTGCGTCTTGAGTGTAAGGTGAAGTTTCCGAGTGTTGCCATCTTCCAAGTCTGAGAATACAGTGTCCGGGATAACATATCTGCAAAAAGATGCAAATAGCTTTGGTTTGTCAATATAAAACGTTTAAGTTGAATAAATTATGATTATCCTTTAACAGCTGATAACCATCAGTTTTAGTAGTTTTCCTGCTAAGTCGATGCTGATATGATATGCCGCTTTTGATATGTCTTCTTTAGGGAATTGAGATTGTCTTTAGAAGTATCAGTTATAAAATTAAAATTGTTGCAATCCTGACTCTTACCAACTCTAGTTGTTGCAGGAAACTGACCAGCCAGTGAGGTATTGTGTATCTATCAGCAACTGAACGATAGGATGTTCTCATATAATCTACCAAACTCACCAATTGGTAATAGTTTTTCTAAACTCTACTCTTACACAAACAAACCTCTCTGATCAACTAAATGGCTTTTACTTAATATCTAGAAATAAATAAACAATCACTGACATTTCCTGCAGAAAGGAAAGGCATGAGCCATTTTAGAGTTATAAATTTTATTTTAAATATTAACAAAGTCGAAGGAAGAAGACTTTTTTTAGAAGGTGTCTTAAAAACTAGTGGTTGGCCAATGTCTTGGACTTGTTAGAAATGTTATATATGTTCCTAGACTTATGTACTTTTATCTATATGAGCATTCACCTATCTTTTTTTTTGTTTGCTTAAGCATACCGTACCTACCTATGTTTTATCTGTGCATGAATTACCTTTACAGGGTTTCATATTACGGAAAAAGGAATGAATACACAACTACCTTATCAAAAAGAAAAAAAAAGAATTCTAGGTAGTTAAAGCAAAAAAAGTTCATATTGAACATATTTCTTCTTTCCCTTGTAGGGGCAAAACATCAAGTTGATAATATTGTGAACTTTTCTTGTGTGCTTTTAAGTACTTGGAAATCTTTTCTTAGTTAAGTTATGTATTTGTATATCCATTCCTTCTTCCTTAGTCAATTCCTAAGCCAAGTACTTTTTCTCTAAAAAAAACGTTACAAGGTTTCGTCAGCTTTCCCCTAAAATCAACTGTGAAACACTTGACTGACCTGAATGGTTTCCCCGCCGTGGTGGCCTGACGGGGCAGCTTGCGGTTGATGATGGGTGCCGTGTTCTCTGGCACCAGCTGTGGCGTAGTCGCCCGAGGTGTAGACTCTGTAGGTGGAGGTGAGGTTGTCAACGCCTCGGTGGACGAGTGTTCCGACGAGCTTTCAACAACCAGCGGAACTGTCTCCTGTAGAAGCATAACTAATTATTATAGATACCAACGGTTTTCGTACAAGATATCTTTAGAAAAGTAGCTGAATTGAAATTATTTTACAAAAAGAACAAAATTTCAGCTTGACCTCGGCATCCATTCAACTTTACACATTCCACATAAATGCACACAAAAATAATATTTGTGGGTTTAAAAATTGCCTGGACATACACACTACAATAAATGACACATTGAAAATCCCCCAATGAAGGCTGGCTCTAAAAGCTGACAATATTTGATTTGAAATTATATTAATTTTAAAATTCCTTTTGGTATTCCCTCCCTTCAAAAAATGTCTAAAGGCATTCTTCCACGTAGACAAATTCTAATCAATACCACTGTATCCTTATTACTGTTAACTATTAAGCTTTTTTCACCCTAGAATTAAAACATTTGTTAAGTTTTCAAATTCTAAAAATTGTGATGTTTAGTTGCTAGCAGTCCCTAACATACAAGTACTTATACATATATTCTTTTTGTACTTATGACCGTCAATTACAATATTTACGATGTTCAAGGACTGAATAAATTGCTATGACAGTGATGTATCAGTACCTGAAGGACCGACATTCAGATTTCAGTACAGTAGACTCCCTCTTATCCAGACCCCTTTTAACCGTACATGGTTTAACCGGACTACACTTGGTGGAAATGACATATCTTTAACCGGACAATTTTTATCAGCATGTTCAACTGGACTAGATTAGCAGGAAGCGGGCGGCACTGAAACGACTGTTCTAGTGGGAAAGATTTGAGGCCAGTGATCACGTGTCTAAATACAATGCTCTCCTAAATTTAAGTCAAATACTGTATACAGTATACATTTAAACGGTCCGTTTTAACGAGTCTTTGGGGACGTCGGCTTAACCGGAAAATTCGTTATCCGGTCTGACCTCGGGTCTGTGGAGTCCGGGTAAGAGAGTATACTGTACCAGGATTTTGGTACCAACAGGACATGGGGCTAACGATGAAACGCAAGGAAGGGCCTGACATTGACAACAAGGTAATGTATCACTACTCTACTACCTGAGGGGTGGACATTTCCGGAGTGACAGAAGGCTCCACTAGACTGATGGCGGGTGTAGGAGCCACGGAGAACTCTTCCAGAGCTTGGCTGGGAGTCACCAGCACTGTGGAGAACGCTGTTGGCCTCTCAGGATCCTGCCACAGACATCATACTTAGAAACATGTACTTAAGTTTCAAGGATATTTAAGAGGATGGCAGACATACCAGAATGAGAAAGAGTCCACGCTGGCACAAGAAACAGAAAAATTTACAGTTTACGATAAAATGGAATATTTTTCTGACAAAGTATTTTCAACCAAGGAAGGTTTGAGTTAGAGATGTCCAATGGTGCTCACATACAAAATTTCATCTAAACCGGACCACAGGTAAGTAAAAAATTGGCTAGAGAAAGGTTCATAGGGGCGTCTACTTCAGTATCTGTCAATACTCTACTCACATAGGTAGGTGTAGGCATGATGGTGGCGAAGGGTACAGGACTGGTAAGCAGACTGGTGTACGTAGGTTCCGCACTCTCCACTTCCCCGTGATGATGTCTGTGGGGGTGAACCTCCGAGGGTACGACGGATGTAGAAGGTTCTGAGAACACGGGGGATGCTGCAATGGGGATGATTCTCGGCTCCGGAGTCGCTTCGTCTAGACTGTTCTTACCCGAGACCTCTGGCAGATTGTCCAGGTTGTCCTCGTCCAGATCTAGGTCTTCTGTGTCGTTCTCACTGTCACCCGATCCAAAGATCTGTTGAAGGGATTACATTATAAAACTGGGATGAGTGTCAAATTAATTTCCCCTGCTTTTGGAATCAGAACCAAGAATTTCATTGAATTGTAACTGGAATCAACAAAAATGAAACATCAATCCCTATGTAGGAATGATGTTTTTTTAACAACGTTCCATTGAGATTATGGTAACTTATATCAAAACATGAAACTTCATTTTATTCATCAAAGAATTATTTACAGCTAGGCCTAAAGTTTTGGTGAAAGATAATTCATAAAACACAATAGACTTCGGTTTACGTGCTGGGACTCGAGTCCGCCTACAACACAAAAGATACACTTTACTGGATTTGCTATCTTCACTAAAATCCTAATAACCCCTTGTGCTATACCTTACATCCTTCACCCCAACCAATAAGCAACATAACGAGAAAATTTAACGCTAAAAGAGCCTGTCAAACTTTAATCACCTGGCGTCTGTGCCTGAAGGGAGGCCCGGTGGAACTGACTGATAAGTGCCAACCGACAATGGGGAGTTGCAGCACTTCCGCCAAAGTGCCGTCGTAAGCGTCATGTTTGATTTGCTGAACCTGGGTAGAATACTTGGGCAGCACCTTACCACTGCAGCCAATCTGTAGACAAACACAGAAATAATTACCATAGTAGGTAAAGTAGATAATTAAAGTAAGTAGTTAAGAAGGTAAGTAGAAGGTAAGTGGTGGCTAAAGTAGGTAATTACTGCTTGAAAAAGGCATCACAATTGCTAATTCTGTATTCGTACTTAAGAGTTGAGTCAATTCTAATAAAAACCAGCCAAAGCAAGGTCGGATAAACAAATAGGTGAAATAACACAGGCAATAATATAATAAACGAACTAACTAAATATTGAGGTTAGGTTCCAACAAAATTGCTTGATATTAAATTTTGTCAGTAAGCTTTAATTTATTGACAAGAATTAAATAAATCACTTTTCCTATGGTTTACATAAATGTAAACATATAGAAACGGTAAACATAAATAAACAAGCTATAGTAGAATCTATTTTGACCATCACATCGGTTTTTGTTAGGTAAAATCAGAAACTAAGAGAATCAAAATGTTCACAAGTCTTCCTCACTTTCACAGGAATGATAAAAAAAAACCTCCAATCAGTTCCGGCGGAATCAAAGTTAATTAATTCATTTTTTAATTTATCCTAATCTTAACATAAAAATATATATAGCTAAAATTCTTAGTGTACAATTCTTTCCAAGCATTCACTATATTTCTTTTACACATCTTGAGGATCTTAAATTATTTTTCATTTTCTCCCAACAAGTGGTCATTTACTAAAAAGTTTTGCATGTCATTCAACAAGATTAAGCTACTCTTCTACAAGGAGACATGGTGTAATCTTTTTCTTGTTAATCAAGAACTTATTTAGTTTACTGAGTATCAACAGTTTCTTCAAGAGTCGAAGATCTGAGCATCTTACCTGCCATTGGACGACTGTAGACTGGGTCGACGTTTTCCGCTTCACATTCCCAGGACCAGCGGAGATAGCAGAATCGGTCAACATGTCTTCTACTTTATGAGGTATTAAGCTCAGTCTATCCTGCAATCCAGATACAAGTGTTAAGTTTAATACAGTTAAATTCATGTTACTAGAGATTGACGTGTTTGTACTTTTAGTTGGGGCAGGATTTTTATTTGCTCCATGATTTTCAGAACGGGAGTGGGGCAGGATTTTTCTTTCCATGCAACAAGGGAAAAACCTTTGGTTTTAAAATCTCAGTAAATTCTTGTAAACAGAAACATAACAAACACAATCAATTTGCAGTCTTTATTATTTGTGCAGTCTTAAATTTTACCAGCAATAAAATACATGGGTAACAAAAACAGTTTGCTAAAAACAAAAATTATTTAGTGCATTACAAACAATGCTAGCTAATCATTGTCAGGTGGTTAAGACAACTATCTCAGAATTTTTCCACTTTAAAACACATGTTGATTTTAAATTTCTAACAATGAACTATTTATTATAAGAACATCATACATTTTTCAAATAGGTAGTAACTACACAGCAATCTTATCTAGAATCAATTAATTTACTTCAAATTTTGGACTATTCAGCATCATCAAAAACCTGGCTAGCCTCAATTTATTATTTGGTTAAGTATACGTAATGGAAATCATAAAGTGTGTGTGTAGTCTATATTCATCACACTTGACGCCATGGCCACTATAATCCATGAAAGCTGCATAGTCTCCCTAGATACAAAAAATCATAGACATCTCCCGCAATCGTGGAGAAATCCTCATCATCATAATTCAAGATCGTGGCAAATGACATTTAATAACTGTTGAAACAAATCCTATCCCGAGAGAATCCTAAATTAATAAATCCCCACTCCAAAGATCAAGAAGATACATTAGATTCTCTTATTCGGACTTCTTGGAATGAAGGCCAGCCCATATAAGGGGTTTTCCAGTTAAACCTACGTCCCCTAAAACTAACGATACATGTGCTGCCAAACAAATAATTGAAAACTAACTAAAATATTTTAAATTATACTTAGGAGAGCATTTTATTTCGACACTTGATCTTCCTTGAGAAGTTGTTTCAGTACCGCCCACTTCCTGCCGATCCAGTCCGATTACACCAATGTGCTGATTAAAATTGTGAGGTTAAATAGATGTAACTTTTGCAGAGTGTTGTCCGGTGAAACCAATGTAAGGTTAGTCCTTGGAGACTAGCGGCCATTTTGGATAGTTTCAAACTGCTGAGAAAGAGTTATTATCATCGTCCAAAAATTTTTTTCAAACACCAAAGTGATTATAGTTTAAATATTTAGTATAGGCCTACTGTGAGATTAGAAATGTTCTTTGTAGTTTTGAATTGTTCTCAAAGGGAGTCTATGGAAGCTTTCGGCCATCTTGAATTTGTCCGCCATAAGAGCAATGTTAATTAGGTTAATTTCAAACAGCCGCTGAAGAGTTATTTACCATATCAAAATATTTTTTCAAACACCAGAGTGATTGTAATTTAAACATCTAGTAAACTGTAGGATTAGAAATTTTTTCGTAGTTCTTTAATTATTTTACGAGTTAGAACCTCTAGGCTCCAAGGACTCTTAGAGGGTGTCTGGATAAGGGGGAGGCCACTGTACATTTTTCCTGAAACTTGAGACACCTCATCCCTAATTTACTCGTAGTCAACTTACTCGAGGCATTCCCAGATAACCAGCCAGGTTAGTCAGAATGGAGATCTTGCTGTCCGCTGAGAGTGAAGAGTACTCCTTGTCCAGTACTACGGTGATGGTAGACACATCCTCTCCTGGCGGACAACCATCCTACGACAAGAAAAACCTTAATATTATTTTGCGTTCAAAAGCCTTTTACTCTTGGGGCGCTAGGCTTAAGCTCACAATTGATTTTCACATTACTTCAGGATAGAGCAAAAAGTTGCGGCATTATCATTTAGATAAAATCCATTGGTGATTTGGCAAGATTTGAACCCGGGACCTCAGAGACCGAAGTCCTAGGCTCTAACACTAGACCCAATTCTAAACGTAATGGAAAGCCTTTAGGGTTTGACTGAATCTAAATAATTGCAAACACAGTTTTTGGAAAGTTCACTCATTTGCATTGCTCAAGGTAAAATTTGTGGATTAGAACACTGTGACTAAAATTAAAATCAATTTATTGTTAGTTAAGTACAAACAAAAATTAAATAAACAGAATAGGCTGAACCAAATCATCAGTCATTTTACAATATGATACTCTTTAGCCACTTTTGTTAAGTTTGTTGCTTTTGTGAGCTCAGAGTAGAATTTTGAGTTAACGTAACATTTCTTGAGTTAAAGAAGACCTCAAATGACTGGCTGAAATTTTGTAAATATTCAAACAAAATTTAATTGATTTTTTATGGAGTAGTTCTTGCCAATTCTACCCAGGCGATTCAAAACTATTACATATGCTACGATTATTGTTGTCAAAGAATGTATTTTGGAAAACGTGTTTACACTTTAAACACATACAGGGAACCAAATAAATTCCATACAACTCGGGGAAATAAAAAACAAGACTCAGACAGTGAGGAGTTTTTCTGTAATTTTCACTTAAATAAATCTTTAATTGTAAAATTAATGCTGTAATAATTTCTGTAAAGGAGTTAGTAGTGTTTTCTTAACTGAACCGGTAGCCTTTATCAGGAAATAAGTTAATGAGAGTAAATCGAGCATTTAGACGATGATAATATTACCATATACTGATTCAACAGTCATTTCCGTTGTATGAGTAGGCCTAGGCCTACTGATAAGACTATGAAATGAACAAAAACTCATAATTAGCCAACACTTATCTTATCCATTTCCCAGAACTGGACTAGTTACAACATTTCTTCTTAAAAAAGTGTTACTTCATATTTTTTATACACTATTTATAATCATCCAAAGGCTGTGAAATTCTGGAGCAAAATTTGAGCCATGCAATGTTTGGATTAAAAAAAGAAAATACCATTGGTAAAATTAGGGATGGACGGGATTGAATTTTTAGTTCGGGACGGGACGGGACGGGATTTTTATTTCCTTCCCGATTTTCGGGACGGGACGGGACGGGATTTTTTTCTGTGCATAAAAAGAAAGTACTGTATTGCAGTTACCAAAAAAGACATACAAAATCAATTTTTACCATTTGTGGCACTGATCTATAAAAACAAAAAAATGGGTAACAATTTACAGGTACCTATAGAAACTTGTGACTCGCGGGTCACGGGGTGATCATCTGTATGACTCACGGTCACGGCGCGATCGTCGTCATGACTCACGGTCACGGCGCGATCGTCGGTATGACTCACGGTCACGGCGCGATCGTCGGTATGACTCACGGTCACGGCGCGATCGTCGGTATGACTCACGGTCACGGGGTTATCGTCGGTATGACTCAAGGTCACGGGGTTATCGTCGGTATGACTCGCGGTCACGGCATGATCGTCGGTATGACTCGCCAGATTGACTCCGCGGTCACGGCGCGATCGTCGTCATGACTCGCGGTCACGGCATGATCGTCTGTATGACTCACGGTCACGGCGCGATCGTCGTCATGACTCACGGTCACGGCATGATCGTCTGTATGACTCACGGTCACGGCGCGATCGTCGTCATGACTCACGGTCACGGCATGATCGTCTGTATGACTCACGGTCACGGCATGATCGTCTGTATGACTCACGGTCACGGCGCGATCGTCGTCATGACTCACGGTCACGGCATGATCGTCTGTATGACTCGCGGTCACGGCATGATCGTCTGTATGACTCACGGTCACGGCATGATCGTCGGTATGACTCGCGATCAAGGCTCGATCGTCAGAATGACTCCGCGGTCACGGCGCGATCGTCGTCATGACTCGCGGTCACGGCATGATCGTCGTCATGACTCACGGTCACGGCATGATCGTCTGTATGACTCACGGTCACGGCGCGATCGTCGTCATGACTCACGGTCACGGCATGATCGTCTGTATGACTCACGGTCACGGCGCGATCGTCGTCATGACTCACGGTCACGGCATGATCGTCTGTATGACTCGCGGTCACGGCATGATCGTCTGTATGACTCACGGTCACGGCGCGATCGTCGTCATGACTCACGGTCACGGCGCGATCGTCGGTATGACTCACGGTCACGGGGTTATCGTCGGTATGACTCGCGGTCACGGCATGATCGTCGGTATGACTCGCGATCACGGCTCGATCGTCAGAATGACTCCGCGGTCACGGCGCGATCGTCGTCATGACTCGCGGTCACGGCGCGATCATCGGTATGACTCGCGGTCACGGCGCGATCGTCGGTATGACTCCGCGGTCACGGGCTTATCGTCGGTATGACTCGCGGTCACGGCATGATCGTCGGTATGACTCGCGATCACGGCTCGATCGTCAGCATGACTCCACGGTCACGGCGCGATCGTCGGTAGGACTCCACGGTTACGTCGTGATCGTCGGTAGGACTCCACGGTCACGTCGCGATCGTCGGTAGGACTCCACGGTCACGTCGTGATCGTCGGTAGGACTCCACGGTCACGTCGTGATCGTCGGTATGACTCGCCATCACGGCATGATCGTCAGTATGACTCCGCGGTAACGGCGCGATCGTCGGTAGGACTCCGCGGTCACAGGGCGATCGTCGGTATGACTCGCGGTCATGGCGTGATCGTCGGTATGACTCGTGGTCACGGCGCTATCGTCTGTATGACTCGCGGTCACGGCGTGATCGTCGGTATGACTCCGCGGTCACAGCCCGATCGTCGTTATGACTCGCGGTCACGGTGCGATCGTCGGTCCAATAATCGCGGCCACGGCGCGATCGTCGTTATGACTCCGCGGTCACGTCGTAATCGTCGAAATGACTTCGTCTCCTGCGTTCGCGGACCTATCGCTCGCAATAACGGCGTTATCGGCACTCGCGAAGCGGAAAAATCGCCGACGATCGGACCAAATCCCGTCCCGAAAAATTCCCGAGTCAAATATAATCCCGTCCCGATAATCGGGAATATTTTTTTCCCGAAAAATTCCCGAAATTTCGGGACCCGTCCATCCCTAGGTAAAATCTAGTGTTTGTTAAACATTATCTTTCACTAAACTATGTTGAGTAATAGTTTTATCTATACACAATAAGCTAATAAAAAGGATAAAGTATATCACTTGACAAGGTGATACGGTATTTTTACAATCCCAAATGCGCTTCATGATAATTTATTAGATCTGAGATACCTTATATTTTGTAGCCTACACATACCAGTCTACAAATTACCCTTTTTCCCCCACTTTGGTTACAATTTCCCTCAAAGACACTAATTTTTTGTTTTAAGGACACAGTAAGAAATATCCTAATTTTAAACTTTTTACTCGCCAAGAAAAGGACTCTTGATAAAAATTTGTTCAAGTCTTTATAACATAAAATGCTACACTTTACTATGAGTAAAATTACACAAATGCTTAATGAAGTTCAGATTGCGATGTGGTGACGTTAGGAATACAGACCTTAAGGAGAACTTGATGAGAATATGTGTGCGGAAGAACTTCAATGGCAAAATAATCCTTGACTGAGTGTTTTTGCTGCTGGCCAACCGCAACCATCGCAATGTAAACCTGCAACCAATACCACATTAAACCTTCAACAAACGTTGTAGTCCGATGATTGCAGAGTCCGATAAGTAATTTTAAGGTTCCTAACTCGATCTCGAGAAAATATTGAAAAAAAAAATTCGGTTTGAATTCAAACATAAGCTGTAATTGGGACATACCTTTTACAGACTAGACTATTTTTCTATTCTATTTTTACTAGTTACCATTGTAGTTTTTTGATCGGTAATTATATTATTTTCTAAACTTGTTATCTTTCCCCGTTATATTTTAGACTGTTAAATTACTTATGCAACATGGCAATTGTAGGCTACAGGGTCTTAGCCAATGTCAATGACATCTGTATTACTATGCAAAATTAAAATGTACTAGTGTCCCTGTTGCTCGAATTCGAGCAATTGCTAAGTATTACAGGTGCTATTTTAAAACAAATAACAGTCATAATTTCTGAGGACTTAAAAATATTCGACTCAAAGATTATGAAAATACTCAAGATGTACACAACAGATCGATATAATCAATCATTTTTCAAAACCTGATCTTGTTTTTTAGTGTTTTCTACAAATAGCCTTACTCATAGCTGCATTAGGTTGTCCATTATAACGACTATAAATAAAAAAAAAAAAAGTATTATTTCTATATTTTCTTCTCCTTGGTAGTGCTCTATGACTTTCCTGTGTTTCCATAGTTTGCAAATCGGCTCTTTCAATGATTACTAAGAAATGCAGCACAGTGTTAGTTCAGTTTTCTTTATATCAATTTATCCAGGCTCTCTCGTTTTTTTCCATTGTAATATTTACGCCAACCCAAATTCATTTCAACTAATTCAGTAAATGTTTGTAGCAAACTGTTAAATTAGCAAACTATGACTGTTTACAATTAACATATGTTCTTCTCACTTATTTCTGACAACAGCTGGAGTTTTATAACAATTTTTGCTTCCCATGGTAATCTTATGGAGAAATACAAAACTTTAAAGGGCCTCACTCTCTAATTATTTCCCTAAAACAAAAGTTTCCTGCACAACTTCACGTTACTCTTTCCAATGACACCAAAAACATGTCAATCGGTTCAGTAGTTTCGGAGGAGTAATTGTCACAAAAAACCTGCTTGCGTATTAAATAAGTAAATAATGTATTACCAATTTGAAGCGAGGTTAGGCTATGTTTACAAACTGATGTCGTACGGTTTGAGATCAAACTTACCTCCCCGATGTCTTCCTCCCCCGGCACTCCCTCCAGTGTCCCTGTGGAGGAGTCTAACCTCAACCAGCTCGGCAGAGACTTTCCACCGGCACCTGAGGCCTGTCAATCACACAGATAAGATCAGAGTTCCAATATCATGTAGAAAACATCAAAAAGAAACCTCAAAATAAATAACTCACTACAGTCTCTCAACCAAAATATTTTGAACCAAAACAGTTTAAGAAATACCACCGCTGCAGCAAATCTGCCGACTAAGCAAATTTCCATTTGTCTGGATTGATTTTCAATTAATCTATTAAAATAAAATTTATGTTTAACGAGTACCTAGGTTAGCTGCTACAGAGAAACTAATAAAGTGTGTTTTATTAAAATATCAATAGCTTAGTATGAAATAAATAAATCCGCCAAGTTTGATAAAAATATATATCCATAAACAAGCCAACTACAACATTTTACAATATTCTCCGTAAGAATAACATGGAAATTTTAGACGTGTTTAAAAACAGTTCAAATTGGGTAAAAAATGCATTTTACTACCACTAATGAAAAGTGTGATTTTCAAAGATTTATTTTTAGCCTACAGTTAAAATGATGAGGTCATCAGAAAAACACAGTCAGTTATAAATTAAAATCAGAAGAAAACTCCTTAGATCAATAAGGAGGACAAAGTCAGATGTCAGACTTAATTGACAGTGGACAGTGTTCTTACATAGAAGAATGAGGCTGTTTCTGGAAGACTGACAAAACCAGACAATGAATATCACAGCTATATTTACTCTTTGGACAGGGTCATCATGCTGCAAGCAAATGACTATTGTCCCGTACACTGCTATAATTTACAAAATCAATTCATTGTTATGGAAAACTGGCAAAACAAATGAGTTGAGTTTGATAATTGACCATTATTGATAGTTTAGTAAATTATAAAATGTCATCTATCATCTATCACAAAAGTTGTGATGCAGATTAATTTAAAACAAACTACAACAGTTTACAATATTCTCTAAAAAATAAAATGGGATTTTTTAATTTCTTGATTTTTTTCCTTAACCAATAAGCGTAGAAAAAACTTTAAAATTAAAATCATCTTGAGTTATTGTGCTAACGGATACACACAAAATGGATGGTGTTTTTAGCCTCTGGGGACAAAAAAAAAGTGAAGTAATCCTGTGACTAAATCTTACCACGAGACCTACGGTAATAGCTTATTTCCTATGGGAAATTCGCTATTAAAAAATTCAGAAAACATAAAGATAAAAAATGGTAGCAAATCATAACTTCTTACAAATTAATATCAGCATAGGCGTACAGGTATAAATGGCAGACAGAAGTTTGCTCTTGTTTAAAACAATACTGACTGATGGGAAAAATTATGGTTTAGTGTTCAATGTACATCATAGTTTTAACAGGTTTGTCTAATACCACAGATAAACTCTCTAAATACTATTGTAAGCATGTTCTCATTTTGTTAATGTGAGGTTATTTTATTGTTTAACAAAAAATTGTCATTTATGACCTACAACCTAACCTAATTTATGAATACTGTAAAAATACATTTGAACGTATAGATAAGTGGTGGAGTTAAAGAGCTACTAATTTGCAATTTACACTATAAAAAATACTTTTTCAACATAATTTGTTTCAACACCCTAGGGCTCTAATATAGCATAAAATTTAAGAATGAGAAAAACAAACTTCATTGAAGCTATTTTTGCCCAGACAACAAATTACGAATGACTTTTTCATTGACCTTGAAAGTCTGGGGTATTTGAGTTACAAAGCCACCATTGATAAGACTCTGACCTTCATACAGAGCTTGTTTTCATGTTTCTCAAAAAGAGTTCCAACACAAAGACTATTCTGATGTCATCATTTATATTGCTAGATGGTGCAAATACTTGGAATTAGTCATTATAAGTGGCTATATAGAGTCATACATAGCCCTATCTAAAATCCAAAGTTTTTAGGCCTATGGTTCTATCGTTTAAAGCAAGTGAGAATGTTTTTAAAAAACATACTTAATAAAACTGTAGTTTCCAAATTATATTTTTTATTTCCAATGACTTTTGTATTTTTTTACTAGTCTATAGCTCAGAGTGAGAAATTTTAAACGGCCTTTTACAATGTGGTTTCAGTACATACGTTATTTAAAACTCTGAATAGGTAGCGTAGATCTCAAACAAAACTTTTTCTGGGAGAGAGCCTCCAGACGTAGGGCACTATTCACCCTAACCCCAAGCTTGCTCTTTTAATAAGAAAACTATCTAATGAAAAGTTCCTCATTATCAATTAAAATGAGATAGGCTACATTAATTCCAAGTAGGTTACAGTGAAATCTTTCTAAACTGATAATGTTAGCAGATAAACTCAACTGACTTACCTCATATTTGCTGACGACACCTTCAAAGGCATCGCCGGGCACAGCTACTTGCACATACTTGCCGACATGGGATTTCGAATCAGGAATACCCCAAAGTCTTTTGAGCGGAGCGAGAGTCGGGGCGACTGAATTGTCTTGATCAAAGGCAAAGTCTTCTGTTTGACTAGAGATTACTCTTAAATAACTGAAGAGGAACAAAACCAAACTTTGCTTCTTCATATTAAATTATGTCCTGAAAAAATCGATTGATTAAAACAATAAGTTATTTTAAATTTTGATACGTGAAAGGAGTTTACAGTCTACTTATCACGTTCGCTACCCCAATAGTAAAACATTTGTCATTCATATGGACCGGCGACGGACATATGGGACAACCGGTTTCTACCCATAGACTGCCATTGTTTGGTCACATTAAAATAGACTGACGTTGCATATTTGCGTCGGTGTTCCAATGTTGTCAAAACGCTTACATCTTTGTAACGGCATTGACTATTGGATACTGAAGGTATCGGTCTATTTGAATGCCATAAATTCTTTGCACTGGTCTACAGGGATGTCTGTCGCACAACTGCGTCACTTAGTCTGTGGACATGATGACTGGTGACGTCACATGATAGTTGGAAAAACTGTTCTTTACTTTGCTGCATCACTGTATGTAGGCATATGTATGCTGTATATATGCTGCGTAAAAATTATACTTTTTGGCCGGCCTAAACAATGAGAGTCAGTCAGTGTACCGGTCCGCACAATGATGTGATCACTTTTGTTTAGGCCGGCCAAAAAGTATAATTTTTCAATGTTACGTGTAAATATAAATGTTTCGTGTGTCAGTGTATGTGTATATGTGTACTTCAACGGTGACCAATGCTATAAACAGTAATTAACAAGACAGAAAATTTGACAATGGGGCTGTTGGCCCCGAAACTATAGTCATTATAAAAGACGACTTGGATTGAGGACGTATACAAGGTATTTAACCTATTATTATTATTATTATTCAATCCAGGAGGCAAACATGGATAAAATAATGTATTTGACATACACATACTTTACCGATTACGATTAAACATAATTAAAACTGAGGCTGTGTACAGGTGTACTTCAGCCTAGATCTTCAAAGTACTTCTTCAGCGAGTATAGGCTTTGTCTTTGAAATACGCTGTAAGTATCTTAAGGATTTTCCTTTTGTCAATGAGTACGATGAAGTTTGGTAACTTATAGTGTATTGTTTATGGCTCCATTATGGGTATTTAAAAGAAGCTTGGCATTTTAGGTGGGGATTAATAATCGAACTTAACGTATAAAAATAATTTGAAATTTTCATACTCCAAAATTATATTCAAGGGAAATTCACTGACTTTAGGACAAGTTGTATATGTATGTATGTATGTATAGGCTATCTATATATCTAAAACATATATTGGGTTGTGAGCCAGCTATTTTATTTTTTAGTTTTATTAGCTTTAATTTAACATTTTGATTTCAGACTTTTTTCTTTTGATTTTAGTCCAGTATTGAATTTATAGATTTAAATAAAAAATGTACTGTAAAAAAAAGATGTATGCCAACCACGTAGACGGTTCTATGAACCATTACGGTTTAGTGCAAGTCATTGTGGCTTCCTGCGAGGAGCCTAGGTTTGTAAGGATTCTTTTTTGTTTAATAAAGCACTGTTTTCATTTCATTCATTCATGGCTCCATTACTGAAGGCCTTCCGGGTCCTTGACAGCCTTAACTCTAGGGAAATGTAGTCAGGTGAAGCGGACTGAAGCCTAGTAAGATGATGATGTGTTGATAAACTCTTTGATATTATCCAACACACGTTTTATGCAGATGAGGAGTGTTTTAATACTGTATGTCCAGACTAGCATTGATAGGGTTGCAGTGAGCCAGACCATCGCTGAAGGTGTTTTTTTTAAGAGCATTTTGCAGGACCAATATGTCTTTGGTCATGGGTGCGTGTCCCCATAATGGTACACCATAGCTCACATGGCAATGAAACATTGTGTGATACACGCTCAACAGGTATTTCTCCGTAACCAGATGTTTAATTTTTAGAAGCAGGAAGCATGCACTTGATAGTATTGATAGTGGCATGTTTTACTAGATTGCAGATAAGTGTTTTGGTTTGATTCAGTTTGGAAGCAATTGGCCTCAAACTAGTTTGGAGTTTCTAGTAAATGTTTTTCAGCTCCTGCAAGACTCATCAACCTGCGGTCTTTGTGACAAAAGGGTGGTACATTTCTGGTCTTGTCGATTTTGTTTATCATGGCCGGGAAAAAGAAGCGACCCAATGACAGACCCTTGCAGGACTCCATAAGGTAAGCTACTGTACCTCTCCCTCTAGAGGTGCTGAAATTACCCACTCCATGGAGACCACCAGCTGCCTACCCAAAAGATAGGATTTAATTGTTCTAAGAACTGTGCCACCTACTCCATGACTCTCTAACTTCCTAACCGATAGGGTATGGTTGACGGAATCGAATGTGCGGCTTAGGTCATACAATGTGAGCGTGAGTGTGTAACAAGCCTCAAATGCCTCGCCAACCAAACCTGTGAGCCTCATGACCGCTCATCGCCTCTTTTCTGGCCTTTACGGAATTCAAATGGACCTTCCATCAGAAATTTGTTTGACTTCAGGTGTTCACATAGCTGCAATTCCAAGTTAGTAGGTAAGTTAGATCTTGTAGGTTGGGACAGTTCTGGGAATTTTCTTGTAGGGAGGAAAACCCCCTCTGTTCAAAATGTTGTTTAAGACTAACGATATTATACTGTCGGGTCAAAAAGTATAGATACTCGAGTTTGAGCTTTTATTGCAACGTAACCAGTAGACGTAGAAAAATACAAGTTACATCATAATTTTAAGAATTTATTTCTGCGTTTAGGTGTGTTGGTTTCAAATTTTTTATTCAGTTTCAACTCAGCCTTTCAGCGGGTCGAATGAAAAAAGTACAGGTTTTTCGGCGCTTTACCAACAACGGGCGACTTTAACATTTCATAACAAACAAACTACTTATCTAATCGTCATGAAACTTTTATAGCTTTTAGAAAGTATAGTTATAAAGCATATTTATAAGTTTTAGAATTTTTCGTCAATAAATAAAAATTCTGTTATGGTTTTTGTAAAGGCATTTTATTTCAGGGACGGAACAAGCTAGAAACTCCGATGAAAGCTTAAAATAAAGCTCTTAAAAAGATACAAATGATAAGTTGAGTTGCACATTAGCTAAGTGGTCTTTAATAATTAAAATGGACGTATAATCAAAGCTGTTCTAAAACGCAATAGTGCGTGAAATTTGTACCGCTATCGATCCGCGGGCAGGGAGTTCTCCCTGCCCAGGACCGGTTTTGGCAGCACGGATCAAACCGACGAACATCACTACAATTAAACCTACCCCTAACCATATCTTCACAGTTGCAATCGACTTCCAAACGCACTCCGAAACCTTCTGTTAAAATGGGTATCGCTTGTCATTACACTTGACTCCAAATGAACAAAACACATCGCCTTTAAAATCACAGTAGGTTTCACCTTCTGATAAATGTGGCGCTCTGGGCATCTTGACTACAACGAATAACACAGACAGGCTGAGGAAAATATGTCTAGACCACAATATAACATAGTAGGAATGGAATGTTTGTAATTATGTATGACTCAGTGGTAGGAGTGGAGTAAGGGTGGTTCGTAGGCAGATAACCTCGTAGGGTATGTATGATTAATCGTTCGAGCGTCCGTGCTGCCAAAACCGGTCCTGTGCAGGGAGAACTCCCTGCCCGCGGATCGATAGCGGTACAAATTTCACGCACTATTGCGTTTCAGAACAGATTTGATTATACGTCCATTTTAATTATTAAAGACCACTTAGCTAATGTGCAACTCAACTTGTCATTTGTATCTTTTTAAGAGCTTTATTTTAAGCTTTCATCGGAGTTTCTAGCTTGTTCCGTCCCTGAAATAAAATGCCTTTACAAAAACCATGACAGAATTTTTATTTATTGACGAAAAATTCTAAAACTTATAAATATGCTTTATAAGTACACGTTCTAAAAGCTATAAAAGTTTCATGACGATTAGATAAGTAGTTTGATTGTTATAAAATGTTAAAGTCGCCCGTTGTTGGTAAAGCGCCGAAAAACCTGTACTTTTTTCATTCAACCCGCTGAAAGGCTGAGTTGAATCTGAATAAAAAATTTGAAACCAACACACATAAACCCAGAAATAAATTCTTAAAATTATGATGTAACTTGTATTTTTCTACGTCTACTGGTTACGTTGCAATAAAAGCTCAAACTCGAGTATCTATACTTTTTGACCCGACAGTTCTGAACTTCTGACATCACCTCTCTTAGCAAGACATCATTGTGAGGTGCTATGTGTGTCTATTAAGGATCTGATGATGGTAGAATCACCAAAATGTACATAAATATTAACTTATGAAACAGTCAAAGTTCAAACCTTATGGGGAAATCAGATTAAGTTTATATAAACCTTCTCTTTTGTAGAATAGACTGGTCTAGGTATCATAGCATGAGCTGGTTATCGATGGCCTCTACGACCAGAGCTCGTTGTTAAAGGGCTTAACTTAACTTATTAGCTGCATATAATTGGGACACATTTATGTGTTAGTCTAATATCCATGAGGGGTTGATTGTAACAGAGATGCAGCAGGTTTTTGGACGCCTTTTGCCTACCTCCACATGCTGATAGCCTATGTCTTAAATTATGTTTTGAGCTAATTTGCTAACTTGGTCTTTATTGATATTGTTGGACTGTTCAATAGGCTACAATAAATTCACCTATGGCGTTTTCCCTGCAGTCCTACACTAAGGACTAAAAATACACTTATACCCAACTTAAGTTAATTCTTAAACTAGAATAGGCTAAATTATATTCCTCCTAATAAACTGAAATAAGACAATATAAGAAACTTATATTGAATTAAACTTACCTTATTTAATAAAAACACATTAGCCTGGATATTATTCACATTACAACGCTCCCAGTTTATGTATTTCGCCCCTGTACCTTTATCTCATTGAAATTTTGCTAATTTGATTTGATATTAAAACTCTCATCAGTCTGCTATGTGCCTGCTACAGACGACAGAAATAAACAACAAACCTAGTCAGCGCAAATCCAACTGCATTAACCACACCCCCGACCACTGCAATTTAAAAATAAATATTTAGATTTTCGTTCTATCTAATCCTAGTAAACACCATACAAACACAGTTACGATTCCCCTGAAAAGAAAAGTCTATACAAACTAGCCCCTCGCCCTCACTCCCATAGACGGCAGACCGAGACAAATAAATCAACGAACCACGCACATCTGCTGATCAGTGACATTCGAGACAGACTCTAGGCGCCGGCAGCAGTTCAGCAGCTGAGGATATTGACCCTGTTGATCAATTTTCCGTATAACACGTTCCTTGATATTTTTAATATGAATACATAAGCAATGAATTTGGGAAAAATCTGCAATCGAATCTTACAAGTAAAGAAGACAGCCCCGATCTGTCATCATATTATTCGTACTATTCTATCTTGCCCACTGTAACAGATGATGTAAATATTTAAGAACATCACTTATATTCTTTTTATACATGTGTAATAAAATTATGAAAAATGCGTAGTAATTTATTGCTTGTAAATTTTTAGTGATGTTTCACATTAAATAAAAAATAATTATTTGATTTTACTGATGCCAAGCCACTTTCATTGCACATTCCTAATTTATTGTGTTTTGTCAGTATTACTTCTCTTTGGTGTTATGTTGTGGTTTATCCCTCAACAGTCATCAACATCGAAGACTGGACCAACCCCCTATTTCAAATATGTTTGATTTTACAATCTTAAATTTTAAAGCTGTTCCTGAAAATAATAAACATATTGGAGGCCGACCTTGCTTTTACTTAGTTTCTTATAAGTATAGTAAGTTATAAGTAAGTTTCTTATTCGGGGAAGTCAATAATCGTGGGAGATGATTTTGCCGTGATCGCGATCACGGACGTCGACGATGACGTTACTGCGATCCCGGGAGACGATGATGACGTATACATGGCCGCAAGACACGTTAATGATTTTGCCACGATCGTGGACGACGACGAAGACGTTTCCGTAACCGCGGGAGTTCATGATGATGTCCACATGGCCGCGGAAGATGTTCATGACCTTGGCGTGACCGTGAAAAACAGTGATGATGTTTAAGTAATTGAGAAAGATACATTTTGGATTTTGCGGTGATCTTAGAATACGACGATTATCACGATATTACTTTGAGTTTTCTGGACTGAAAATATTAGGCGGGCACACCCACGGCCACCTTTAACTACAGGCCGCGGCCTTGTAGAATTGGCAACGTTGCAAGTGGTGTTGTTTAGTGTCAGACGTCCCATAAGATAACATGGCAGACAGGTGACATCAGCTCATTAATTTGCACTTTATTGATTTAAATTTAAATTTATGAACATAAATTTATCAAAATATTGAAAATAAAACATACAGAATTAAAAACCGAAACAATATGAATGAAAAATCTATATCTGTACATTATAAGCGGAGTCAAAATTGACAAAATTGCCATAGTCAAGTAACCAATCTTTTAGTAAATCCGCAAATACCATTAGCTGCTTCCAAACAAAACAGCTGTTACAACACCACTTGCGACGTTGCCACTTCGAAGGCCGCGGCCTGGAGTTAAAGGCGGCCGTGGCACACCTCTATATAGTACACGCGGCCGTGATATAGTACCTTAAAGGTAGTTATTGGATGTGATAAGAAGGGTAAACTTGGAAATTGGCTATTTAGAATGTTTCATTGCTGCATACATTTTTTACTTGAAAAACACCCTATTAGTCTACCTAAAACTTGGGTAAAACTATTGAGATTTTTTTTAGGTATCGGTATCGAGAATCGATAAATGTTGGTATCGACCCATCACAAATTTTATCAAATATCTGCTGCAATATATTTTTTTGATTTGAATGTGTAGTAGTATATACTTAAAATTTAAAATAAGGTGCCGATGGTACCGGAACCGAGAATCGATTTTGGCTAGGTACCGGACGACCTTCTAGTCGAAGGGGGAGGTGCAAATGTCGCGCATGCGCACAAGCTGTCACTGTTGTTATTTTCAAAGTAGCAGTAGCAGTTTTGAGAACCTATTGCGTTACTTCCCGTTCCCGGTCACTACACCTTGTAACGTTGTAACCGTTAACGGAGTTGCCACGCATACTCACTCAGTTTGACAGATATTTTGGTTTGTTTGTTTTGTTTCCTTTAACAACCTCGAACTTCTAGTTAAAGTTTGCACTAACTTAGACCAAGGATGAGTTGTGTTAACTTTGATTAATTTTTAAATATGGAATGTAAAACCTGTAATAAACTATTTTCTTCGGCGTATTCATTAAAAAGGCACCAAAGAAATGTGCACAGTGGTACTAACAAAAGACTTACCTCGTCCAAGTTGTTATGCCCCGAGAAAGAATGCAATCAACAATTTCTCTGGTGGTACAAACACCTTAGAAATCATATTCTACAAACTCACAATATCAACATCTCACTTGAAGCTGAAGAGTTTGTTTTTCAAACTGACGAATGTATGTAGATGTATCTCTTATAGGCCTACCGGTACTTCTAAGGCTAAATTAACTTGTATTTCCAGGACTTAGCACAGTGTTGGGACATCGAAACATCAGTAACGTCGATATTAGTATCGATCGACCTTTAAACATTGATGTCAAAAGAATATCGAAGTCAAAATATTGATAGATATTGGAGAAAAACATCGAGGTTTAGTAAAACAATAAAATGATGGTAAAAAATAAATATCTGAGTTAATATACTAATTTATGCGCTACTAAAAAAAAATATTGGAGTGAAATTTTGATAGTAGCAATATCGGAGTAAAATATCGATACTAAAAATAAATATGTGTACTAAGCTAAAAAGGGTGTAAAAGTGTATACCAACACATCCTATAGTAATATAGGCATAAACGAAAATAATAATAAAATCCACCACTTTTCATTTTCATTTTTATTAAACGGCAACACCATTTTACAAGTGGGTTTAACAAGATTACATTATACATTGTGCATTATACATACATACCAACGACAGAGCCATTTGAAAATGAGCGAAAAACAGTTTCCAGCTTAAACACAAAATCAATAGACAATCGATAAAAAAAATGGCTGCACTTTACTTGACGTCCTACACTCATTCAATTGTTTTTTTCGATTCGATATTTTCATTCGATTGTTTCATTTGATATATCGTTTGGTTAGTTAGGTTAGGTTAACCTTACCTAACTAACCAAACGATATATCGAATGAAGCAATCGATTAATCGATACATCGATCGATATTTTCATTCAAATTAGTGTAGGACGTCAAGTAAAGTGCAGCCTAACAATCTATCTATACTATTATAAAAAAGAGGTGGTGTCTGTGTGTGTGTATGGGAAAAGTAAACGCGAAAACTACTGGTCGGATCGGGCTGAAATTTGGCATGATGATAGCTCACATTCCCGATTAACATATAGGCATATTTTTATCCCAAACATCCTTTCGGGCTCCTCCCCAGTGGCTCTGGAGTTTCCCATGTTAACCTTATGAGAAATGAAATTATTGAATCTTAACAGCTGTTTCAATTAAACAAGTTGGTTCTGTTCTGTGATGTTCAATAGCATTAAAGTTACAAGGATTACCAACAGGGTGCAGCACTAGCACTATTATTTCTTTTACATTTATGACAACAGCAAAAGGTGAGTGAGCGTAGCGAACGAACTTCAACCTGGAGGCGAGTGAGCGTAGCGAACGAGCTAACCTGAAGGCAAGTGAGCGTAGCGAACGAGCTAACCTGAAGGAAAGTGAGCGCGGCGAACGAGCTCCAACCTAAAAATGAGTGAGCGTAGCGAACGAACTTCAAAAAGAACCGAAATTTCTTAAACCATGTCCTCACTCATAACTGCTATAAGCATTTGATACTTTTATGCCAACCCCGTACGAAGGACGGGTACTCTGCTAGTATAATATAATAAATAACCACTAAATGGTTAGCAATATAATTCTAGCCTAGCCCTAGAAAGAGACCTATGCTTCACGGATTTAGTCAGTGCCAGTGGTTTGGAGAACTTTACTTTTAACCCCTAACCCTGCAAACAGCTATAACGGTTACACGGTGGCCGTGGAACGGAACCAAAAGTTTACTACTGCTAAACTGTGCAATAACAGTGACATCATAGCAGTGCTTGTGCGCATGCGCGACAGCTGCACCTCCCCCTTCGACTAGAAGGTCGTGGAACCGGTACCGATACCGACTTTGAAAAAGTAAGTGGTACCGGACCCATTACTATTTCGAAGAATTAATGAAATAAAATTACTTATTTGGCCATTCATTCAATACAGAAATAAAACATACACAAATCAAACTAAACCAAACCACATAATAAAGTAAAGAAAATAATCAGCTGAATTAAAGCGGGGATCTTAGAGATAGATTTGGGAGGGAAGGGGTCTCTCCTGGATGTTGGCAAAACTGACTGGAGCCGACACGACACGACCTGGACCAACTGGACTGTGGACCGACTGGACTGGACCTGTTGTCGGCGTTGTCGGCTACGGTACGGCTATCATCAACATCAACTGTCACTGCAGACTCTACTGACTGCGACTGCTTTTGTCACTTTGTCAGTGTTTATCTTATGTGTATTTTCATTGGTCATTCGTTGTCAAGGACTAAGAATTTGAGGAATACTATTCACTATCAATAATTATACGTGTTATGCTTCAGTTAATTTATTAGTCAGTTTTCTACTTTAAATTAACAGTTACTGTACTAGGTCAATTACCAAAAATGTCTGAAAGCAAGGAACAATCAATCAATCAGTTATCAACTGAACCTCCTCCTCTCTTTGATAATGTAGATATTTTTGATAAAGACGAGGATAATGATGATTTGTTTGCCTCTGCCATGGATGTGAGTTTATAAACCTTCTAAGTTTAAGCCTATTTCGCATCTTATGACCACACAATAAAATTAACTAATTCTCTCATTTCAGCTTAGGCCTATTTCTCATACAGGCTAGACCTAGCCTATTTTGCTAGTTTGTTGAGTATTTAGGAATAGCGAAACATATTAATTAGATATAATATTCTATATTTTTATCCTGTTTACTTTGGAGGACACTCCGGAACTGCAACTCGGTGCTTATGAGAATATTAACCTACTGGAAACTAACTTAAGATTGACATCATCAACTTAGCCTAAGTTACAAAAAAAAGCTGTAACGCAATAGGTCCTCTCACTCTAGGAACCTAGATCGGTAGTCTTGGGATGATTTAAGTTAACTTAGGTGAGAATGGGTGATGCTATCGCTTGAAGTAATCCTTCAAATAATGATGATCTGTCTAATTTTACAGGATATTGGAACTCTGAACAACGAGAACAGTCACTCTCCTAAACCTTTATTGACAGAGCTACCCAAACTACAGTTGAACTTTGTAAGTTTTGAATAGGTACCGGTAGTTCACAGAGTAAGTTCTCATTTTCATTGATAGGCCTATATCCATTGAACTTTGCTACTGTCAACATTTGATTACTATATTCAGTTTTTAGGTTAGGCCTTATAAGTTACGCATTTAGTTTAATGTGGTGTACCTCCTCCGAAACTAAACAAAACATCTTTGTAAGTGTTGGTCTACATTTCAAAAATCTAAATTTTATTGACAAAGTTAGGGGCTGCATGGGCTGCACTGTAGTATCTGTCCTACACTCATTCAATTAATATAGCGATCGATATATCGGTTATTTCATTCAATCCCGGTGTATCAAGTTTGGTTAGTTAGGTTAACCTAACCTAAGTAACTAGATGAAATAATCGATATATCGAATACCTAATCTATATATCGATATTTTTCATTCGAATGAGTGTAGGACAGATACTAAAGTGAAGCCACTATATGTGCCTGTAATAAACATAAAGTAAGCACTAGGCATATGAAATAAATTTAAATTACAAAAGTTATATTGTATACAGTACCGTACTGTAAATACAGTGCTCTCTAGGCCTACATACTGTCCTAACTTATCTTTCCTAGTTACGGAATGGCGCACTTTATTCACATGCTTCCACTGTTGTTTTCTACTTATTAAAATATTTTTTTTACATCAATTTGATCCAGGATAAGTTAGTTGGAGTTCCCGGTTCGGATAGTTGGACTCACGTAGCCTACTTTGTTTAGGTCTATTATATTACTAACTGTAGGGCCTACCATACAAATTTTAATTTGAAAATTTAATATTTTTTACATTCAACGTAATTATTTTACCTGTATTAAGGACAAAGGAGAGCAGTCCACGCCAACTCCAGTCGATGAGTTTGATGAAGAAGTTAAGCTACAGAGTCCTGAACCTCCGAAAGCCACTAAAGCTTCGGCCGAAGAGGTAAGTGGCTGGAAATACTGTTTTATTTTAGTAATCAGCCTAATTCAAACAGACAAACCATTTAAAAATATACATAAACAAATACAAAATAAGAGGTAGTCATTAATTAAACATTTTCTGTGATTAGCCTAGGACATACTTATATAGCAAGGTGTTTCTTTCAACAGCGTAGAAGATTACAAGTGTAACGAGAAAACAGTGTGTGTATAAGCTGGAGAAAAGATGGATGGTTATTGAAAAAAACCTTAAAAAATATCCTTCAAGACTAAAGTAAAATTGTGTACATTCCAAGAAATAAAAAGGATGAGAGTCACTCTCAATTATACACTGACTTTTAAATGATTAACTCAACCCAGTATGGGCTTAGAAATCTTGTTGATTGTTCAGTAATACATTGGATATTGTGAATATGTTAACAGATTGAGAAAGATGGCAACGATCAGTTTATCGAAATCACCATCGGCGAGCCGAGTCGTGTGGGAGAAGGAATGGCTTCCTACGTCGCCTACCGAGTTCATACGCATACCAACATTCCATTGTTCAGAAAGAAAACCTTTGCGGTACATCGGCGATTTAGCGACTTCCTCGGACTCCACGACAAACTTGTGGACAAATATTTGCGGGCAGGAAGAATCATTCCTCCGGCTCCCGAGAAAAGCATGATGGGTAAAATAGACTAGTTACAAGGCTATCATTTTACAATGAAAAATTTTTAATGTGGCACAATGTAGAAGTGTTCTATACTTTAATATTACAATACCTTTAACATAAACTCATTCCTCTAACCGTTACTACTACCAAATATTACTCAAATAATACAAAAAAATATGTTTATTGAAAAAAAAAAATGTGGACAAAACATTGAATACCTTTGCAATCTTTTGCTGTAGCCGATGCTACTTTCTTGGTTGTTAAACCCTGCTGATTGACAAATGCTTAAACTGATGAAAGTTTGAAGCAATCAAGTGCATCTAGGAAACACTTGGCTCTTTTGCATTGAATATCAATACTGTTTTCAATGGTTACAATGGCTGAAAAAACATTACCACCAGTGTCACTTGATTGTTCGATAAAATTGCGAATGGTTTCTACCGCACGCCGCGCTTCCTTTATTGTAACGAAGTGAAGCTGGTCGTCTGTCCCCGTCTCGTCGTCTCCACCCAACCCATCGTCGTCTGCTTCTGCCTCGTCCCTGTCGGCCACTGCCGCCACTATCTCGTCTTCTGTCAACGTTCCGGCGACTGCTACATCGTTGTCGACTTCAACAAAATCTTCAAATGCTGTGTCATTTACATTACAGTGAGTCATTATGGCATTCCATTCGCTCTCGATTAGATCTTCAACAGGATCTGGTGTAACTGTGACGATTTCTGGTTCAGTTTCTCCATTTACAAATCCACACGTTTTAAAACAATTAGCAATTGTTTCTTGAGTTACATTTTCCCATGATTTGTTTGGCATTCTCATCGCTTGTAGGATATTGATTGGAACGATGGCTTTCTCTTCTTCGATATTTGATATATGTCTTACAACTTCTTTCCTGTAGAGAGTCTTGAAATTTTGTATTATTCCCTGTAAATAATAAAGAATAAATTCGAATTGTAGAGGCTTGAGTACGTGCAAATTCGAATTATAGAGGCTGCCTAAAGCGTAAAAATCACTTTGAATTATCGGTATATTATTTTTCGAATTTTAGAGGTTTTCTGATGGGAACAGACAAAAGTTTCTAATTATAGAGGTTTTCGAATTATCGAGGTTCGAATTAGCGAGGTTCTACTGTAGAAGGCACAGATTGTAATCTGTGATTCGCAGAGTTTATCTCCATTGCTAAATTAAACTAAATGTAATAATTCTACTTGATGATAAAGAAACTTGAAGCTAGTTTAATGAGTTTTGGGGCACCATAGTGTTTTGAAAAGACATTCACATGGCCGGCTAAAAGCAAGCGTTCACTTAGTCGAAGAAATCCGACAATTCTACATCAGAAGTCCGAAAAATTTGATTGGCGATTGAAGTGTTCAGCTGAACAAACCTAAATTGGTCACTTTATGATGTTATCTGTGAAAGAAAGAGTCTTTGTGCCTAAAAAGATTCAGTTAAAACATCAGATAAACCCGCCGATCGCCTTCAGCGTACAGACATTGCCAGTTTTTTGCTCATATAAGATTGATGAAAATCTGAATTTTACTAAATCATTCTGAATCGTAAAAAAGAATGAGAAAAAAACTTTGTTCTTTTTCCCTTCAATTTGACGTTTAAATCGTTTATTTATTTTGAATAGTCCCTGAGCAACGACCGTTTCAAATCCCGGCATTCTTTTAAAAACACCCTGTACTTTAAACAAATTTTATTGGACCTACTTCTATTCAAAGGCTTTATTTATTCTACCTAATAATATTTATTAGTTCTATTAAATAAATTTATGTGAAATCACTACCATGTGGTAGGAGTAGAAAAGAGAGTTCAAGGCCTGAAGAAAACTCTTTATAACCTTTCTCAGTTGAAAGTAGGCACTGTAAGTGACAATGAAGTATTTTAATGTTTTGTGTAAGTGTAAAGTTTTGTGTTTCTTGAGCCAGCTTAGACTCTTTTCCAGGAAAGCCTGTTATCCTAAAAAAATTTAATAGGCTACAGTAAGTCATTCGGTTTCTTTTCCTATGTAGGAACGACCAAGGTGAAGATGTCTGGGCAGAACGAGCAAGGCCCCTCGTCAGAGTTCATAGAGCGGAGACGTGCTGCGTTGGAGAGATATCTGCGGCGAACCGCAGAACATCCGACCTTCAGAGTAGACCCGGATTTCAGGGAGTTCCTGGAAGCGGGTAACTATACATCAGCAACTAACACCCCTTATAAATCATCCTTGTAGACGTCCAGAGGACGATTTAAAGTTAGTCCATGTGGTTTTTTGTGGAGAATGTTTTGTTGTTAATTTCTATTTTGCTAGTTAAATCAATTAGTGGTCTTCCACGATTGAAGAAAAAAAATGTTTTTACCTGAAATCAGGGCATTTGATAGAAAATAGGCCAAGCCCAGCATTTACTATTGCGATTGCAGAATGCTCCTACAAAGATTTTGCAGTAAAGAATTCACACTTATGATGTAATTGCAGAGGATGATGATTTTGTGACTGCAGGTGACTAAGATGATGTCTACACTACTGCGGGAGATATTCAAAATTTTGCCTCAATCACGGCTTTTGCCATTTTTATCAAGGATAGGCCTACTGTAGTTTTAGGTTTTTAAAAATTGTTTCTGTGAGCGATTCGGATAGTTGGAATAACAATCCATGCTGTACTACGGTGTCTAAAATAAGCTACAGATTTTACAATCAGACGAGAGATCTACTTGCGCTGTTCAAAGTCGGTATAGGTTTGGAAAGTAGGCTACTGGGGCTGTTAATGGTCAATTGTGAGACTGGGTTTAAAAGCTATCTGTAGTATGTAAATTTCTAGGTTTGAATTGAGAACCTTTACATTTTTAAAAGAGCTCTTGAAGAGGAATAAGAAAGAATTTTTAAAAGGATTATGTTAGAAAATTAAGATAATTTTTAAAAATTATCTTGTTTTATAGAAACTTTTTTGTCCAACCGTTTTACTAAATCAAATTTTTAGTGAATTGTTTGAGATTGATGAATTAGTTCAATTTTATTGTGTTGTGTAAACTCTAAGGTATTTTATTTAGGTTCTTGATTTTTACACCTGAGAAAATATTATGTACAGTATTAGATTACTCAATAAAAACAAAAAGCCTAGTGTACTAGTAAAACTGATGATTTTATATAGTTTGTTAAAGTTTAGTTTACCCTTCTTGTACTTCGTGATAAATTTAACTTTATCTATATAAAGTTTTGTATATCCCCTTATTACCTTTTATTCACCTGATTGTAAAAATAAGCTTTCACTGAAAGTCAGTTAAATGTTATCGACTCTTGGATAGGTTTAACCTTAAGGTTAGATTTTTTTAAATCCATCCAAACACTAGTTGTTTATGTATTGCTTGTTTGTTCAGATATGGAACTGCCTAAGGCCACAAATACATCGGCTTTGAGTGGTGCTGGCGTTATGAGGCTGTTCAACAAAGTTGGCGAAACTGTCAATAAAATAACTTACAAGATGGACGAGAATGATCCGGTAATCATTTCAGATTTGTCTTTGTTCAGATGGTACATTGAAAGCGAGGAAAAACAGCTCAGACAGTAACTGCAGCTTAGTTGGAAATTAGAGAAGTTAATAAACAGCTAAGCCTATCAAAAAAATATCAGCCTAATCAAAATATAACTGGATATTACAAAAAACACAATTTTATATTAAGAATCAAAATCTGGGTGATGTGAAAAACTTGTGCATTTTCAACCCAGTGAAAATGCAAAATAGGCATAAGGGTTACATTTGAAGGACTGTTGTTCAGATAGCAGCTAACCTAAATGAGGAAAAGTTTGTCCTGGTAATAAAAACTCACAACTGTTAAACACTATACACACACAACATTTTAAATATAATAAATCACTGAATTGAGGAAGGTCTGAGTTAGGAAGCTGGGTTTAGTATAAGACTGGTTAGAACTGGCCTTAATATCCGAGGATTGCCAGTTAAAGTCTGTGTGTAGGATAATTTTTTATCCTATCGTAATTAGTAATTTCTGATCAGAATTAATGCTGCCTTTTAACGTTGTAAACTAGTAACATCAAGGTTCAACTTCCTAAGTTAAGGAGTTGGTCGTATTGAAAACTGGTATCACATGAGTTGTAATTAAACTTTTAAATTCACAGTGGTTTGAAGAGAAGGTGCAGCAAGTAGAAAGTCTAGACGCTCAGTTGCGCAAACTATTGTTGAGTGTTGAGACGCTAGTGATGGGCCGCAGAGATCTGGCTCAACTCACATCTGCGTTCGCTAAGTCTGCGGCAATATTGAGCAACTGTGAGGAACACTCTTCGCTGTCTAGAGTCCTGGCTCAACTGACTGATGTGGAGGAAAAGGTACTGTAGATAAATGCGGGGTTTCCTAGCTACCGAATTTGGCTGCAGAATTGTAAAGGCCGTGAGAGGTTTTGGTGCCCGCATTTTGGGTGAAGCCCCTGCCGAATGTCGTCTTGTGAAGAGTTAGTGCTGAAACAGGCAACTGTATTTGGCAGCCGAATTCGCTAGCTAAGAAATCTCCCCTTCAGCTGCAGAAATGGGTAGAAATTACGAGAGCTGTGTAGTAAATAAAAGGCCTCCATCGAGTTTCTGTAGCGACCATGTGAGCTCAGATTCCCTTTGCCATGTGCTTTACTTTATTCACTACAGTTTTTGCTAGTTTCTACCCATGTACAACGATTAGTCTTGTTACAATAGAAAAATAATAAAATATATATGTATGAATTTTGTTTTGTGATTAGATTTCTGTAGTTCAAGACACCAATGGCTATTGAAGTCCATTGTCAGTTGAAGAATGAATGGAGCAAAGTGAAAATGTGCGTAGGGGTTCAGAATAATTGGTGGTCGTAAAATTTACACAATGTTTCAAATGTTTTACATAGTGTGAACCGGCTGCGATCATTCATCTATCTTGTTTGAGACAGTGACCAAAGTTAGAGGAATTTTGTGTGTGTGGATTGTCAAATTAGGGGATGTCTTTACGCAACCATCATGGGCAATGGTAAATTAAAGTGGAAATGTGCGTAGGGGGTTCATAATGTTTGGGGTTGGTCGTAAAATTTACCCAGTGATTAAAGTGTTTTTCATAATGTGAACCGGATGCGATCATTCATCATTGTCTTGTTTGAGGCAATGACAAAAGAGGAATTTTGGGTGTGTGGATTGCAAAATTAGGGGATGTCTTTATGCAACCATCATGGGCAATGGTAAACTCTGCTACGCAGATATCTTAAACACACTGATCGATCAGCAAGCAAATTTTTATCAATTCTAACCTGTCTTGATGGTAGCTGATAAACGCCCGCTGTCAGGAAATATGTGCCAATAATGTGATAATGTGTCCTTCTGCAAACGTAAGTCACTCATTTAATATGTTTAAACACTTAAATGCAAACATATCTGTCAAAAGGCAATGGGTTTCAACCTAATTGCAGAAGGTAGGCTATGCAGAAGCTAATTCCTGCATGGCAGAAGCCCCGATTTCTCCTCACTTCATTTTCAGCTACAATAACTAAAACTAATCTTCACATGTGTGGGAAATTTTTAGTGTTGTAGTGAAAGTTGTTTACTTCAAAGTAAACACAATGGTGATGTTTTTATATTTGAACTAACGTGCTCGGCTACAATGGGAGCTTAATGTAATTTACGAACAGCCCTAGGGTTAACATTTTTATAGAAGTTTTTACGGACAGACTCATTGTAGTTATTTGTTCCTCTATCACAATTTATCGTCTTTTATTGTAACTATACATATGCTTATAAATTTGATCTGAACACAGGTTGCCAAGACTTTACCAGTGGAGTTTTTTACCAGTACTTTGTTTGCAGGTTGAAGCGGTACATAACGATCAGTCCAACACCGACTTTGCGATTCTCTATGAGCTGCTCAGAGATTACGTAGCTCTAATCGGATCAGTCAAGGTGAGTTCAATATCAGAATCATTTATTGTTCTTTAGCAATAAACAGCAATTCATTGTTATACATGCAATAGACAGTGTCATTTTAACTTACAAAATAACATACAATACAATAATAGATAGGTTATGAGTAAAACACAGATTATTAAAAACTAACAGAATACACTTCATAAAATTCTTGTAGGCTGTAAAAAGGGGTTTGGTTCAGCCTTTCATTAAACAACAACACTCACAATCTTTCATTAAACACTTTAACCTCCGGAAATTTACAGCAATGATTTATCTTGAATAATTTCAATCTTACTGTATTAAAACTATCTTGACATAGAATATGGCAGGTCTAGCTTTAAATAGGCCCTAACTCGAGTCATTTTGGTCCAATTTTGATGAAATTTGGAAAGAAACTTGTAGTGCTGGATCCACTTAAATAAGTTGATGACCCGTCAAGATTGGGTCGTGGGAACCAGATGGTTTGAAATGCTTCAAAACAAATCCTAACCAAACAAATGTAATTCACTTAGTCTGTAGGTTTGCTGCAGCGGGAGTATTGTGTAATTTTAGCCTCTGGTCTGTAGTTCATAATGTTGTAATATTTTTTCTAGGACGTGTTTCATGAACGTGTAAAGGTTTACCAGAATTGGCAACATTCCCAGCTGATGCTCAACAAAAAGAGGGAACAGAAAGCAAAGCTGGACTTGGCAAATAAACCAGACAAGGCTACTGTGGCTCAGGAGATCGTTGAGGTAATGTTGGTATAACTGCTGTACTTCAGTGCTACTGCTAAAAAATAGATTTTGAACAGGTTATTTGTGCTAGTAGTTTGACTATAGACAAACAAATTAATTATAGACTGACAGCAGTGCTGTGTTAGCATTCTGGCTTTCACCTCTAGGAGTGCCGTGTAGTTTCGGCGCACACTGCTGCAGCATCAAGCGCTCGCGAGCTTTGCAATGACAAGTTGGTAGTTGGAGCCAGGTATGCCAATTTCTGGAGAATTCCCCGGAATCCGGGAAGTAGGAGTTTGTTCTGTTATATTTTTGTGTTTTAAAAACGTAGGGGATTTAAAACAAAATTTACTGTTTCCTTAAAATTACGGAATTTCAGAATTTTGTTCTTCAACCAAATCAAATCAAATCAAATATATTTATTTCCATTCGGTACAATAAAGTACAATAGGATAGGTCAGATTGCATTTTACAAATTGTCATGAAGCAAATTAAAGTAGATGTAAATATAAAATTAAACTTAAATTATATAGTATATAGAACAAAACAATTAAACAAACAATTTCTCCTTCAAGCTGGCCTGGAACATCAATAACAGATAAAATAGAAAATAATTTCTGATAACATCATATCTTAATAAAAAAAAGAGAGGATTAGTTTTCAATAATAGTTTTAATGTGAAGAATGATTTATAGAGACTATTAATTAATAGAGTGTGGGGATTTGTATTTAAGTGTATAGAACGATCTAGAAAGCAATTTTGCAAGAAAAAAACTCATTAAGTGAATAAAGTGGGTTTATTAATAACCAGTTATAAAACTTTCTCTTGAATTGTTTGACATCATATTTTGAGATAAGGCCAATGAGTTTATTGTAAACCTTTGGAGCTACAACAACATGGCTGTTTATAGATTTTGAGAGCCTGTGGTAGTCAATGGAAGTATGATTTTTATTTCAAGTATTATATCTGTGTTCATGGAATTTTAGTATTTGTGTGTTATTTATTACATATACAGTTAAATCAAAGATATACAGATTAATAATAGTAGGAATTTTCATTCAAACAAAAAGAGGTTTACAATGTTCATCAAGTTCAGATTCAGCGATAACCCTAACGGCTCTTTTTTGGAGAATTAAGATTTCATCCACTCTACTGCAGTTACCCCAGAGAATTAATCCATATCTAATTATTGATTGAAAGTAGGCAAAATAGGCAGTTCTAACAGAATTTGTTTCCAAGCAATGAACCAGGCGTCTTAGGAGAAATATTGTTCTTGATAGTTTTGGTGTTATATAATCAATGTGAGATCCCCAGGTAAGAGTACTATCTATTTTTATGCCCAAAAATTTCACCGAATTAACTGCGATATTAATATCAGTCCCGCTATTAGGGAGGGGTCTTAGGCTGAAAACAACATTCTGTGTTTTACTTTCATTTAAGAGAAACCAATTTGCTTTGAACCAGTCTGATGATGTGGTGAGGGTATTTTTTGATAATAAATTTAGCTGTTCAAAATCATTATTACTGTGGAAAAAGGTTGTATCATCTGCATAAAGAATAGTTGAGGAATTAACTGAATTTGGGAGATCATTAATGCATATTAAAAACAAAAGTGGACCCAGGACCGAACCCTGGGGCACACCCACATTTATTGATATTTCTTGAGACCAGAGACCATCAGTGTAAACCCTTTGTCTTTGTTTAGATAAGTAAGATTTTATGAGCTTTAGAGCAGAGCCTGTAATTCCATAGTAATTTAATTTTTTTATTAGGTCATTTGGATCAACACAATCAAATGCCTTGCTAAGATCACAGAAGGTGGCCTGGGCATATGACTTGGTCTCAAAGGAAGAAATAATTTCACGAACTAGTTTGTCTACAGCTTGGACTGTTGATTTGTCCCTTCGAAACCCGAATTGACAATGATTGAAAATTTTATTGTCTTCAAAAAAGGAATAGATTTGATCATGAACTATATTTTCATATATTTTTGAAATTACTGGAATTATTGAAATTGGGCGGTAGCTTAAAGGTTCGTTCCTTGGGCCCTTCTTATGAACTGGGCATATCCTGGATATTTTTAACTGATCTGGAAAGACTCCCTCAATCAATGAAAAATTTATGCAATATGCCAAGGGTACTGAAATACTAGGAATAATACTTTGTAGACAATTGTTACTCATATTATATACATCACAGCTGTCTGAATTACTAAGTCTTTTAGCAACCCGTATAATATCTTCAGGATTTACAAGTTTCCATTGGAAAATATGTGGGGTTATAACTGTATTTCTTAGAAAATCACTGGAAGTAAATTTAGTGTTACCAATTTGTTTTTTAATATTTGCTACACTTTCTACAAAAAAAGTATTAAAGACATCAGGTGCAATGTGATGGTTGTTTGCTTTATGTAAACCACAACTATGAGTTTTAATTATGTTCCAGGCCGCTTTACATTTATTTTTACTTTCTTCGATATATTTGGCATTATACACCTTTTTAGCCTTATACAAAGATTGCCTGTACTTTTTTGTTTTTTTTATAATCATTTAAATAATTCATAAGATTTAAAACTGGCTGGCTGGAAGTTTTCAGCAGGCTCTTCAGAAACACAATTCTTTCCTTCATAGCTTTTAAGTCCTTGGTGAACCAACCAGATTTTTTGTTTACTTTACTTTTATGAAGTTTATTTTTTTTTACAGAAAATTGCAATATGTTGTTAATTATTGTGTTAAAAAGCATATCAAAGGCTTGTTGTGAATTTGTGAAGCAGTTACCAAAGAACTGTTTTTCCCAATTATAAGACAAGAGGCTTAAGTTAATTTTTTCAAAAGCAGACTTAGGAACCACAAAATCTATACATTTACCTCTCTCATCATCGATTGGGTTGTCTCTAATTTTTTGAGATGGGGGTTTATTTTTCCTAAACTCCATTCCTACTAAAATACCATCATGATCAGAAAAGGGAAACTTAAATATCCTGGAAAACTTAACCTTAGGTTGTGGTTATTCAACCATATTAAAAAGTGGGTTTGATACGTTGGTAGAATTTCGTTTGCAAGGGTAATAGTACTGGTAACAGACAGTGAGTTGACGACAGCAGCGAATCAACGAACACTTGAGTACGCTCTAGCGGCACATCGTGGAACCTTCCTTGTCAGTCTACAAATGTATGTTAAATAATTTTTTTGTCCATGGTTTGACTTCCATAGTCTGCTGTCATAATAAAAAACTAAAGTCTTCAGGCACAGTATACTATCAAGTCATTAAAACTGCAAATTGTATCACATAACATGCAACGCGTTGCTTATTAATAAAAAAAATTAAAAGTATTGCAGTTTTATCGTTTGGATTTTTTCAGTGGGAAGCAAAGGTTGAAAGATGTCAAGAGGAGTTCACAAGCATTTCCAAAATGATCAAAAAAGAGCTGGAAAGATTCGACGTGTCTCGTGTGAAAGACTTTAAAGCCACCATAATCAAGTATATGGAGGAGCAAATGACGCATCAACAACAGGTAAACATATCTAACTTGTGGCTCAAAGCAGTAAAATATAAAAGAGACGTTGTATTAAACAATTGTGGATATTAGTAATGTGTCAAAACCGAATCTCAAATCTCAAAACCATCAGAACTTGGAATGGTTTTGGTTTTGAATTTCAATAGGCGAGTTTTGGCATTTAAAAGTTTCAAAATTGAAGGTATGGCCATTTTTGGTTTGGAACTGCTGACATTTTTTGTGTCATGATTAGTCACTTATTATTTCAGGGGGTGTCAATTTCTTTCAGTTTTGAATGCAAAATGAACATTTTATTAGCCTATCTGTATTTTTTAAGGCCTTGACTCGGCAATTATACAATTTTTACGTTTGGGTTTCGAGAATCAAAATTCGGGATTTGATTTTTCAAGTTTAGATTTTGTGATTCCAAAATTCTGGGTTTGACCATCAGTAATGAATATAGTTATAAATTGTATAAATAATATATTCATTCCAAAACTTAATGAAATGTTGTTAACCCTTCAGGTCCTAAATGCTTGTACATTAGTCATCTTGTATCATTATAAAACTTCCACTTCTATTTATGAATTTATGTGTGCCCATCAAAAACAGCCTAAAACTGCACTTGTCGTGTGTTCTAACCTGGGTGCCTAGAACACTGGGTGTTGGGATTTACCAGTTATGGAAGTGTCGCAGGCCGTTGGGTCTCATCAATGGCCAAATAATCATTGATCAATGATCAATGTCAGGCGTTTCCATCCAACCAGAGTAGCTCTAAAGATAAAGGGTTGAATCGTGTTACCATTATTAAATTGGACTTTTCCAACTTTTGTTGAATCATATCTCTATCAAATCTGGTGCAACTCATGAAGAGGTTACTATCTTCTGCTGAGGTTGGTGGAGACTTATCGTAAGTAAACAGGGGACGGCTTTGGTGAGGTTGAAGATGGATGTGGATTCCTTGTGAGTTGCACCATTGGCTTTGGTACGCTGAAGAATACATCCCAACATCCCATCTATATGGACCAGATACATCAGATACATCTATATGGACAAGATTTTTATTCAAAAAGAATGTAGCCTATAGTGAGCCATTCACAGAATGCACTAGTGTTTAAATTTCTACTTTCTACCTTATTTATTGGTAGTGAGATGATTGAGTTTACATAAACGATGCTATAGCTAGTAGTATTCCTATCAGGTTTGACTTGGTTAAAAAGTCTGCGTATGGGACAGAAATCAGTAATTTACATCAGAGCAATCTGTTGGTGGCTCACTTCAACTACATCCATTTTGATAAGAAAATTACAACAACTTTAATATAGGGATGGAACGTTTACGCAATCTATCATTCTGTTTTTAGGTTTACAGAAAACTTATTTTTGTAAGAATTGCGCTCATAAAATTTGGTACTAAGATGATAAATATAGGTGTAGCTAAATCAATTAATAATCCCTTTTACTCAAAGAGTATGGTACTTAATCTGTCTTATTGTTAATTGGCACAAGATGTAGGCCTATTCAATCATGCAAGTAAATCCCTGAAGAAAGCTGGACCCCCCCCCCCCCCCGCCCCAAGTTTTGGAGAAGTCACAGATGTTTAGATTTCCAACCCCTTAGAGTCAAAGTAAAAGAGTGACCCACTAAGCTAGTTGTGCTACCTGTGCAAATAACTAATTTATCAATATCATGAATAGTTTCTGGTTGATTTTGCTGTCATTTAACAGCTGTATTTACATGTTTCAGCTGATCAAGCACTGGGAAGCATTCCTGCCAGAGGCCAAAGCTATTGCATGAACAGTGTGGCACGTAAATTCTGCGACCATGTATTACTGAGTTTTGTAGCACTCGTTATATTGTGCTGCAACAAGTTGTTTTGAACGTTGAAGATACTTCCAAAACATTTATTAATCACACTCAAGATGTTGTGCAAAAACAAAAATTTTCCCCATTCTCGGTGATTTGTTAAAGATGTGTAAGTAATTTTGTAAATTAACATGATCCCAGAAAGGTAGATAAGTAATTTTGCTTATGCAATGTCTATATCATAAAACAAAATTGAAGATATACCTAAGATATACCTGACATTAAATGGCTTGCAACCTCTACAATCATTTCATGATTTACATGAAATGCTGAGTCCAAATATGTTTATTTGTGGAACGTCTTGAGAATTAAGACTGCTCAAAGCAGTTTTTTTGTATATAAGATTTCTATGATTTTGTCTTTTATTTACCCTTAATATAACACAATACTTCTGATAAGAGAATATCGAAACCTTGATTCTATGTTGAATATTTAATCAAAAACTAGAACATAATTATTGTTTTTTCAAAGATTACTTTATTTTTGTGTCTTGTAAAATCACATTACTAATGTTTGTTGTTTATTTTATTTGAGTTTAAGCTATGTTTATGCCTTTTGTAAAGTATGATAATTTTTCTGTGCTTATTATATCTTTGAACTTGATAATCAACTCGAGTTTTACCATAATATTATACTGTGAATTCAATAAAAGTGCATTATATTTAATAATTTGTATTCCTTACTGTGTTCACATTTTAAGACACAATAGTGTCAACAATATACTTTATTTGTACGTTATTTAAAATAAATGTATATCTTACCACAACATTATTTTTGTTTCTCAACCTGTCCAAATCAAACTCAAACCAACCTCAATGTCGTTGGATGATACTTTTAGTTACATTTGTGCATTTCTTTGCTTTTGAAATTTTGTGAAGGTCTTATTCTTAGAATACAATTGGTACACAAATCTATCTTTTATAAAACTTTTTACCTTGTAGTTCTTTAGGCTACACAGTCCAATATATTCTAACATGGAGTATATTACAGGCACAAAATCAGATGTGTATTTCAGAAAATTACTTGTAAGAGGAAAACACTTAGACACAAAACTTGGAAACAAGAAAGAGTTGAGGGCTGTGTTAAGAGTAGTCGGTTGAGTGGAAAGTTTAGCAAAACGGAATAAACAAAATTGTGAATGTCAGATTCATCTTGGGTAACGTCAGCAACAACAGGGGAATATTGAGTTGAGACACTTTGTCAGAATTAAACTGTGTCTTAGTTTAAGTTATACAAAGATATAAAGATGCCATTTTTCATTGGACTATTATATCAATTAATGATGCTTTCAACAAAAAATAATTTTATTGCAACAAGACCAGGGTTTGGGTTGTTCCCAGTGTTCCCCATACAAATAAACGGTTTCAGCAATCTGACACATACTTTCTCCCATTAGCAACCTTTATCATGGGTAAGCAAGCACCTATGATATTTTATAGGGGAAATCACAAAATTTGCAATTACTTTTGAACCATAATTTGTACAGCAATGGTGGGTTGCACTATGTTGTTTAGAATTATAAGGACCATCAAATACAAACTTCAAAACGGGAATTTTTTGAAAATCCTATTTTCTGTTAAATTTGATGTTACAATAACTTTTGAACCGTACTTTTTACAGAAATGGGAGTTATACAATTTTGTTCAGAATTTAAAGGGCTATAACATACCAAATTTGTATCAAAATTGGTCGTGCTATTTTTGAGAAAATCTAATATTTCCATTATTTTATGGGTTTTGATGGGAAAATCACCATTAAAAATCAAAATTTCACAAAAGTGAAAAAATGCCTGAAGATACCATAAATTAGTATCTACATGCCAAATTCCATCAACTTTGGACAACAGGTGTGGTCTTGGCAATGCCAGTCACAATCAAACTGATTAGATGGAATCAGATAAGATGGATTCAGATGTCTAACAACAAACAATCTCAACCCAAGATTAAACCGGAACTTATATAAACAGTATATAAAGTTGGGCTGAACGAGTTCTTTAGTTAATTTGTGCTTCCCGAAAGGTATTTATAATTTTTATATTGTTCTTTATCTGATTTTCTGTTTTTTTTTATGTTACAATAACTATTGAATCACAATTTTTACAGCACTAGGAGTTATACAATTTTGTTCAGAGTGTGAAGGAATTTAAAATACTAAATTTTTATCAAAATCGTTTGTGCTATTTTTGAGAAAATTGAACTTTTTAGTTGTTTTTATGAGAAAATCACCATTAAAAACACAAATTAAAAAAAGTTAAAAAAATACCTGGAGATACCATAAATTAGTATCTACATACCAAATTTCATCAACATCGGACAAAAGGTGTGGTCTCGGCAATACCAAATGTACCAATCAAACTGGACTAGATAGAATCAGATATCTAACAAGAAACAATCTCAACCTTTCCTTAAAATTTCAACAAGATCAGACCAGAACTAAACAGTATAAAAAAATCAATATTCAATTGAACTAGACTACACACGTGTTTTAACGTTTAACATCGTTTCCCTAAATTTACTGTTGTAAATGAAACCTAAAATAAGCCTTTGGTCTATTGATTTAAGTCAGAGTTTGTTACCTGCAGTTCAAGGTAGCACAGTCAAAAAAGTTTTACGAAGTTGAGTTTTTCCAAATAAAAAATTGACGAAAAAAGAAACCTGGATTTCATAAGTAGTCCAATATGTTAAAATGTTTGCATAAAATATAATATGCAAAATAACTTGTTGGCATAAATTCATCCAATACATCTCGAGACAATCAGCTGTTTGTCTATATCTAGAATATCTAGAAGGCTTTTGGCTTAGTCATTGTTGCAATGCCTTCTTCGTTTATAGTTTCGTTGGTTTCGTCATCTTCGGCAGTTATAAGCATGTTACTTCTTTGGTTCTTAGTTCGTCTGAATGAGTTCTTTAGTTAATTTGTGCTCCATGAAAGGTATTTATAAGTTTTACATTGTTCTTTACCTGAGGTTTTTTAATGTTGTTTTTTTTTTTATATTTAAAGCAAAGCAACAAAACTGTACCTTCCCAAAACAAATGAGGTTAGTTCCCCTAACATTCTTTTCTGTTGCAAGTGTAAATACAATACTGATAAAATAATATTGTCTGCAGCAGATGATAGCTAAATTAAATTTTAGGCTTAAGTATAAAACAAAACAGAAGGCAAGAGTTAACTACTATTTAGTGGAAATAGTTTAGATTTTCGGCTAAAAGGACTTGATAATGGTTTCGCTGTTGGTAAAACATTTTTGGTGTTCAGACGTGTGGCTTTTTGCTGCAGACCTGATATATATTGATTTAAACATAGATAAAACACACTCCCTTAGTAGATTTCTCATCCTTATGGAACAGTTGAAGCCAATTTTATTGGTAGATCTGTCTGTTTGCACTGTAGAGGTCGTGTTTGGTTTACCATTTGTTTCTTGTTATTTCAGTAATTTAAATCTCGTTTAACCAAATAAAACGATCTAATCAGAAAAATAACTCGTCTTCTAGTTATATAACCAAACAGTAAAGCAAAAATCATTAGATTTACCTTTAAAATAATACAAACAAATGTTTTCAACACTAGCGATCAGTGTCACCGTACATGAACTAGACACGAAAAACGAGTTTCAAAATTTAAAACGGGATTAGAAGTCTACTTGTGTTGGTTAGTCTATGATTTCACTCAGTATCTGGAGTATATTATCCAAGGTTAACCTCAACAGCAAATAATCTGCAATTTAACTGCTTTAACACAGTTTATTATTCTCGCACATTCTTATCAGCTGATTTGAAACTATAAGTTAATATTCACATATTGCTAGTAAACATCATCATAATCAGCTGATATTATTTCGAGCGCTGTGATTGGTCTACTAACACGTTCAACAATTCATTCCTGTTTATCATGACTCTACATGTCTGTTTAAATGTTTAGTGTTGGATATAAGGTCAATGAATTTAAACGCAATTTCGTGAAGGTATAGAAGTGTTTAAGCAATTCCCGTTGTGCGATTTTCCCCATGGGTTGAATCAAATCATATTAGTATGTCAACAATTCTATGTAACCAATTTGAATGAGGTAAGCCTAACCTTTTTTAAATAACATTTGTTTTCTGTATTATCTTACTTTTACTATAGGATATGGCTATTGAATGGATGTTATGGTATTTTTTTAAATTAATTGAAATTTAGGCAAGTACTAGAAGTGAAAAGTTATCAAAAGTTAGTGGTGTAGTTCTATTACAGAAATAGCATGTCTTTATTATGGTACTTTATTTATTTCAGTATTTTGTTGTACGACTGAGACAATTACTTGGAGCAATGGAAACCTTTTTTTAATAATTTTTCTAGCTAGTTATTTTAGTTTAATTATTTATATTCACAATTTTTTTCCCAAAGATAGCAAGCCTGAATAAAAATTACTATAAAAATTTACTAAGTGTATAATGCTTTTTGCAGTGTTATATTATTGATTGATAGGCCTATCGATTTCCAATATACTTACACACTACACTTTCCATACATAAACCACCATCTTAGTAATATATACAGTATATTTAGCACGTTATTTGATTGTTGCGGATATTTTTCATGACATTAAAAAAACAACAATCGAAACCGATTTTAGGTCCCTAAACGCGAAAATCCTTTTACGAACCGCGATGGCAAATTTCCACAATAACTCCTTGAATAGCATTAACCTATTATTGCCCAAAGATTGAACTTAAATTAACGTTACAGCTCCCCATGTTAGTTGTCCACTTCACAATTCACGTTGCCAACTAAAGTCAGACAGTCCAGTAGTGCAGGGTTGATCACGTTGTCAACTAAAGTCAGACAGTGCAGAAGTGCAGGGTTGATCACGATTCCAACTAAAGTCAGACAGTGCAGTAGTGCAGGGCTGATAACGTCGCCAACTAAAGTCAGCCTGTGCATTGTGCAGGGTTGATCACGTCGCTAACTAAAGTCATACAGTGCAGTAGTGAAGGGTTGATCACGTCACCAACTAAAAGTCAGCCAGTGCAGCAGTGCAGGGTTGATCACGTCGCCAACTAAAGTCAGACAGTGCAGTAGTGCAGGGTTGATCACGTCGCCAACTAAAGTCAGACAGTGCAGTAGTGCAGGGTTGATCACGTCGCCAACTAAAGATAGACAGTGCAGCAGTGCAGGGTTGATCACGTCGCCAACTAAAGTCAGACAGTGCAGCAGTGCAGGGTTGATCACGTCGCCAACTAAAGTCAGACAGTGCAGTAGTGCAGGGTTGATCACGTCGCCAACTAAAGTCAGACAGTGCAGTAGTGCAGGGTTGGTCACGTCACCAACTAAACTCAAGACAGTGCAGTAGTGCAGGGTTGATCACGTCGCCAACTAAAGTCAGACAGTGCAGTAGTGCAGGGTTGATCACGTCGCTATCTAAAGTCAGACAGTGCAGTAGTGCAGGGTTGATCACGTCGCCAACCAAAGTCAGACAGTGCAGTAGTGCAGGGTTGATCACGTCGCCAACTAAAGTCAGACAGTGTAGTAGTGAAGGGTTGATCACGTCGCTAACTAAAGTCAGACAGTGCAGTAGTGCAGGGTTGATCACGTCGCCAACTAAAGTCAGACAGTGTAGTAATGAAGGGTTGATCACGTCGCTAACTAAAGTCAGACAGTGCAGTAGTGCAGGATTGATCACGTCGCCAACTTAAGTCAGACAGTGCAATAGTGCAGGGTTGATCACGTCGCCAACTAAAGTCAGCCACTGCAGTAGTGCAGGGTTGATCACGTCACC